TTTTCTTGTCTTCTAAAGCATTTTTTCAGATAACTTTCTCTGTTATTTTTAGAGCTTCCAATCATCAACTTGTAGACAAAAAAAGAATTACAACTGAAATGCTTTTTAAGCTTTCAAATCTGAATTAAAATCTCGCACTAACCCTGGGTTATCTTAACCCTGCTTTGAACAACTCGGCCCTGGTGTTTTGACCATAGCAAGGGATTACCAAGAAGGGAAAAGGGGAAAAAAAGGGAAAAATGCCTGTAGAGAAGGGCACAGAGTAAAGGGGAAACATAAAGAGTGTAAGAGGTGATTAGGGTAATTAAAATAACAAACACAAAATAAAGGGCATGGCAGGGAGTGGCATGGAGGGAGGGGGGAAACAGGTGGGAGTACTGGTGAAAGAAACAACACAAAAATTATATGGGGGGACGGTAAGAGGGAAGACAGGGATTTGGCACATGGGGAGGGGTGATGCAGCAACCTTGTCTCCAGGGCACCTTTCACTGGCTTTGGAGGTGCGGTGGGAAAAGGCCCTGGCATCAGCCAGTCACATGATCACCAAACACACAGAATTTGTGGGTGTATTCAATTAGCATATGATTAAATACGATAAACAAAACATCAAAGAAGGCAGGTAAACCAGAGATTTTATCAGAGCTTCGCCAAGTCGGCTTTTAATAATAATAATAATAATAATAACAGGGTTGTCAAAATATGCTGGCAACCGGCGTTATAACCAGCTAGTTTAAAATTTTTGCTGCCTCTAAATTTTTGGAAAAATGAGAAAAAAATGGGCGCTCAAAAACGTGGTTAAATAGAAAAAGAAAAAGAGACTGTTTTAATCATGCCCTCCATGTTCTTTCTTAGAAAGAACCTTTCCTACCTACGAAACACATATCCCTAGTGATATGTGTTCCCCCACCTGGGAAGCACATATCCCTAGTGATATCTGTTCCCCCACATGGGAAACACATAACCCTAGTGACATGTGTTCCACCAGATGGGAAACACATATCCCCAGTGATATGTGTTCCCCCACCTGGGAAACACATATCCCTAGTGATATGTGTTCCCCCACATGGGAAACACATATCCCTAGTGATATGTGTTCCCAACCTGGGAAGCAAATATCCCTAGTGATGTGTGTTCCCCCACTGGGGAAACACATATCCCTAGTGACATGTGTTCCCCGACATGGAAAACACATATCCTTAATGATATGTGTTCCCCCACCTGGGAAACACATATCCCTAGTGATATGTGTTCCCCCACATGGGAAACACATATCCCTAGTGATATGTGTTCCCCCACCTCGGAAACACATATCCCTAGTGATATGTGTTCCCCAACTGGGAAACACATATCCCGAGTGATATGTGTTTCCCCACCTGGGAAACACATATCCCTAGTGACATGTGTTCCCCCGCATGGCAAACACATATCCCTAGTGATATGTTTTCCCCCACCTGGGAAACACATATTCCTAGTGACATGTGTTCCCCCACCTGGGAAACACATATCCCTAGTGATATGTGTTCCCCTACATGGGAAACACATATCCCTAGTGATATGTGTTCCCCCACCTGGGAAACACATATCCCTAGTGATATGTGTTCTTTCACTTGAGAAACACATATCCCTAGTGATATGTGTTCCCCCACCTGGGAAACACATATCCCTAGTGATATGTGTTCTTCCACTTGAGAAACACATATCCCTAGTGATATGTGTTCCCCCACATGGGAAACACATATCCCTAGTGATATGTGTTCCCCCACCTGGGAAACACATATCCCTAGCGATATGTGTTCCCCCACATGGGAAACACATATCCCTAGTGATATGTGTTCCCCCACCTGGGAAACACATATCCCTAGTGATATGTGTTCTTCCACTTGAGAAACACATATCCCTAGTGATATGTGTTCCCCCACATGGGAAACACATATCCCTAGTGATATGTGTTCCCCCACCTGGGAAACACATATCCCTAGAGATATGTGTTCCCCCACATGGGAAACACATATCCCTAGTCATATGTGTTCCCCCACCTCGGAAACACATATCCCTAGTGATATGTGTTTCCCCACATGGGAAATACATATCCCTAGTGATATGTGTTCCCCCGCATAGGAAACACATATCCCTAGTGATATGTGTTCCCCCACTTGAGAAACAGATATCCCTAGTGATATGTGTTCCCCCACATGGGAAACACATATCCCTAGTGATATGTGTTCCCCCACCTGGGAAGCACATATCCCTAGTGATATGTGTTCCCCCACATGGGAAACACATATCCCTAGTGATATGTGTTTTTCCACCTGGGGGAACACATATCCTCACTAATATGCGTTCTTCTACCTGGGAAAACAGAATAACAGACACAAAATAGGTGAGGGGGAGAAGAAGGAAGAGGGGGGTATGGCAAACAATCGGGAAAGCTGGTGAAACTTGGAACAACAGACAAATAAACCAGGGAAACAGGAAAAGAGGGATGTTGCAAAGAGGGATTGAGGGATGTCACAGAGGTGAGACTGTGAGCAAATAGAATCACAGACACAAAAATTAATGACACTTCATATTATAGAAGGCTCTAGATTTTATCTGAATCACTATAACTCCTACTAAATGCTACGAAAATGTGACAATAAAATTACCTTGATGTAAAGGTTGAGTATTCTTGTTTCTGTCCTGGATGAAAAAGTATTTCTGCTTGCCATGGTGTTTCTCAGCATAGGTGACATAGTGGAAAGCTGTGAGATGCTAAATTTCTGTCATCTTGTGTCACTAACTGGGAAATAAAAATGAAACCAGTGAATGCAAATGTCTACTGCCAACTTTTTTAAATTGATAGACATATCATTTTTATCCTGAGAGTGTCTGGATTTTTCGTTGGGGTCCCATAATAAAACAAAATTTGTTGGAACGTCTTTGGACATATTATTTAATATGTCCAAAGACGGTCCAAAGAGTTCCAAAGACGTTGTAAAACCTTCCGTCAAAGGAAAACCAACTTGTCTCCAGTGGCTTTCCTAACTAAAATGAGATAGTTGGGAGAAAGTCGATCATTCAATAGGCTTGTCTTTTCTCTCATTGGTTCAAGTTGTGTAAGCAGTGAGACTCATAATCTGCAACGCATTTTTAGCGTCACAGGGTTGGGGGGGGAGGTAGTCTCTTATATAGGCTATATAGGTATGTGCCAAGCCAAAGGTTATGGTTTTTTATCCATTTTTTGATCAGGTGTGAAATAGGGTAGGGAAAATCACAGATTTTGGTCTGAAATAGCGTAAGGGTTTCAGGAAGCGTGCCACACACTCCTACCCAATTTTTCTGGAAGTACCCCCCTGGAATTTTTGGTTGTATTTAGGTCACAAAAGGAAAGTCATTGTGCCAGGCGTTCCTTGCGGAGACCGCGGAAACTGGGACTAAGAATCGTTGCATGATCGAAGCCACACATATTTTGCGAAGAAAGCTTAGGAAAGATTAAATTTAGAGCTTTTCCGAAACATGTCAGTCCACGAATTGTATCACTTAAAAGCATTGATTACTTTGGAACAAGTGAACACTACTGAATGATTGAAAAAAATAAGAATCTTAATCAGCAAAATTGCGATGGTCAGGTGTTGTAAGTTGCACTGTATGCAAATGGGTCTTGTGATGAGCATGCAATTTATTTTTGGTGGTGATTGAAATGACCTGCCATGTAAATCACTTTCTTGATATCTGGCAATGATGTCATTTCTCTGGAATCAAGGCCCTCGAATTTTCGTGTATTTATACACGCATATAGCCTGCTACTGCAGAGGTATTTCTGGTCGTTACTAACACGAGTACTAAATCAATTCAGAAACAAATAAAAAGTAGGAAATAAAAAACTGTTAGCAAGTAAAAATCATGTTTCTTGTAAAAGTAATCGCCTCCTCATTTCTCGATCTAATCTCCACGTAGGCGAGACTGAATGCCACTGTAACCACATTCTAGTTAATTTTCAAAATGTGTCAGTTAATGCTGTAATGGCTCAAACTTTTCTGTCAGGTGTGAGAAATTGGAACACAGGAGTGTAGGGTAAAGTAGGCGTGAGATGGAAGTTTTCGATCAAATGACCCTCGGCCCCCCACGTAAAGCTCCCTTATCTGAAAATGAACCCCCCGGGAAAATGGCCAGCACCTCCTTACAGGTAATACACAACCAGCTCCTTAGCAATGTACATTTAAACCTACTCAGAGCTTTAACTGCGGCAGGATTAATGCTTGACTGAAGAGTGGGAGGTCAGGGGTTTGATTCCCAGGGTCTTAAAATGACTGAGAAATGAAGGTACTGCTTTTGCCCTGCAAATGGCTGGACCTTCGCCAGGCTCAGATGACCACATAAGATAGCAGTCTCATCTCCCAGTAGGAGATGTAAAAATAGTGTCCCCAGTAAAATTAATATTATTACCGTTGTGCTAAATACAGTGACACTCAAAATAAAGTGCATTTAAAAAAACATTGTGTTTAACAAAATTATGGCACTTTCAACAATGTAAGCGACCGTTCGTTTATTACGTCCCAGGGGGGTGGGGGAGGGGGTTTGGAAGGGGGTACAATTTTCTAAGAGGCTTGATTTTGGGGTTCAACTTTGAAAATGCACAAAATGTGAGGGGGGTCAAAATATTAAGACACAGGGCTGGCCTTCTATGTAAAAGTTGTCAAACTATATTATGATACATTGAAGCAAATCCACATTTCCTTCAAAAGTAGACAGAAAAATTTGCTTGGGTGGTTCTCTGTCAACAACAAAATGTTACCCATATAAAGCTTGGCCCAGAAACCTATCAGCAATTTCTAGTACGAGAAATGTAGCATGCATGTACACAAACATGCCGATGCATACAGCTGAAATCTGGAAAAAATATAGAGATTTTTTTATTTCCTGAAGAATTTTTATCGTTAAATTAGGATAAATATTTCACATTATATTGGTGTTTTTGTGTTAGGATTTTCTTTATCCTTTTACCGATTAAGTGGAGTGAAATGGATCCGAATCAGAAGCCTCACACCTTGGTTGAGACTTTTGACCGAGCCAACTACAATTCTATCCACGAGTATAATGTAGCTCTCATAACTTTCTTGACTTATCCTGTATCAACATGCACAACTGAGAGTACCTTCAGTGGTATGAGGAGACTGTGTAATAATAATACTGATTGATGCTACAGTTGACTGACATGTAATCCTACCCCCTGGAATGTGCTATATATATCAACCACATTCCGCACCAAGAACAGAGAGATCAATAAACCTTCGAGCCAGTCAACCCTTGTTATGTTTCTTAGTTAAAACCCTGAACTCGTTCATCTAAGCAAAGCTTATTACATGGTGTCAGAAGTGGCCAATCATGGAACACATGAAGCCCATAGGACCTCTACGAATGGACGGCAACGTCGCAGAAAACTGGCGAAAATGGAAACAGAGGTGGGTCCTCTATGCGAAAGCGAGTGGAGTAGACTCAAAAGACGAAGAAACACAATGTGCAGTCTTACTACACACCATAGGAGAAGAGGCACTTTCAAGTATACGACACTTTTTACATTTACAGAAACCGAGGAGAATAAGATAGAACCTCTCGTGGCAAAGCTAGAGGCGCACTGTGCCCCAAAGAAGAACGTCACGCATTTAACGCTTATCTTTTCTTCTCGCACGCAAAACGGACGGCCTATCGCGCCGTTACCGATCTCCGCACAAAAGCCAAAACCTGCGTAGTTTGGAACACTCAACGATAGTCTAATAAAGGACAGAATCGTGTGTGGAATCGACAGCCAGAGTGTAAGGGAGCGACTCTTACGCAACAACGAGCTCACTCTAGAAGTAGCCATAAATACCCGACGAGCCGCAGAGACGAGTAAAACTCAAATGGAGTCCCTTAACAGCTTGGAAGCAGCAGCCGTAAACCGTCACAAAGAACCAAAAACAGCCACCAAGATATCAGCCTATGAAGAAAAGGCAGCAGAAACAACAGCACCAGCAAATAAAACCGTGTGGTCGTTGTGGTTACATCCACAAGCCAAAACAATGCAGGGCGTTTGGACAAACATGTCACAAATGTCAAGGGAGAGATCACTTCGCCCATATGTGCCGCACAAAAGGCGCAAATACTGGCCACAAAACACTCAATGAAATCGAACAGCAGTCAGACACTGACTCAGATGAGGATCTATTCCTTGGAGAATTAGATTCGTCACAAAATGACAAAAACGAACTGTTCACGAAACTAACCGTGAATGAGGAAGAGATCAGCTTCAAAATTGATACAGGCGCACAGTGCAATGTCATTCCCGAACACGCCTATGAAAAACTGAGCAAGAAGCCAAGCCTACAGCCTACTAACGTTAAGATAACTGCATATGGTGGGGTACGTGTGCCGATCAAAGGAACATGCACAATGACAATCAAGAAAAACAGCAAAAACCTTGATGCCAAATTCCTTATTGTCGCCGTTGACAAGGCTCAACCCTTAATTGGCCTTCAAACTTGCCGAGATCTGGAACTGATAAACATTAACAACGATGTTAATGAAGTCAAAACAAGTGGAACAGAAATTCTCGACGAATTTAAAGATGTCTTCACCGGACTTGGTTTAGTCAACGGAGAATTTCACATCGAGCTTCGAGAAGACGCAAGGCCTACAATACAACCGTCACGGAAAATTCCTCTGAGCCTGATGCCGAAACTACAGAAAACACTAGAGAAGCTGACAGAAATGGAAGTAATCAGCAAAGTTGAAAAAGCAACTGACTGGGTCAACAGCCTAGTCATCGTGGAAAAAAAAGACGGCTCATTGAGACTTTGTTTAGATCCGAAAGACTTGAACAGAGCAATCAAGCGTGAACATTATAAGCCGCCCGACAGCGAAACCATTTCTAGTAAGCTCAATGGGAAGCGTGTTTTTACGGTAATTGACATGAGTAACTGCTACTGGCACAAAAAGTTGGATGAAGAATCATCCTATTTGTGCACATTCAACACGCCTTTTCGGCCGATACAAGTTTAACAGAATGCCGTTTGGTATCTGTGTAGCGAGTGACGTCGCTCAGAGAATGGTGGATGAAAACTTCAGCGACATTCCAGGAGTTCTCGCAGTGCACGATGACATTATCATCGCCGGAAAGGACACTGCGGAACACGACCTAGCTCTCAAACAAGCGCTGGAACGCGCAAGATCACGCAACATAAAGTTTAACCGCAGCAAAGTACAGCTCTGGCGTCAACCAAGTGAAGTATCTTGGTGATATCGTGACCGCCGATGGATTCAAGCCAGATCCCGAGAAGATAAAAGCAATTGTGGAAATGCCAGAACCACAATGTAAGCAAGATTTGCAACGCCTACTTGGCATGGTCAACTATCTGTCGCAGTACATACCAAACATGTGTCAGAAATCACAGCCCCCCACGCAACTTGTTGAAAAAGAACATGCAATGGGTGTGGTATGACGAACATCGATCCGCGATAGATAAGCTGAAACACGCACTCACGAACACTCCCGTTCTGCAGTATTTCAACCAAGACAAGCCAACTACAATCCAAACCGACGCCGCAAAGTGGAATCGGAAGTTGCCTCCTGCAAGAAGGACACCCGTGATTTCGCGTCAAGATCGCTGACGAATGCCGAACAGAACTATGCTCAAATCGAGAAAGAACTATTGGCTATTGTATTTGCGTGCGGCGATTTCACCAATTTGTCTCACGACAATGACATAATTGTGCAAAGTGACCACAAACCACTTGAGGCGATAATGAGAAAGCCATTATCTCAGACACCCCGAGAATTCAACGATTGCTAATCAGGCTTCAAAAGTACAATTTGACAGTTCATTTTGTACCGAAAACTGATGTTCATTGCAGACACTCTATCAAGAGCGTACCTAAATGAGACTGTTGAGGGTCCCCAAGACCTCAATGATGACATCAGTGATGATCCACAGTTTCATCACCGAAATCCCAGCGAGTCCAGAAAAGTTGACACAGCTGAAAAATGAAACCGCCAAAGATGCAACACTTCAGGCGCTGAAAGCTCAAATACAAAAAGGTTTCCCACCCCATAGAAAAGCCTTGAGACCAATTCTCTCGCCATACTGGATTGTCAGAGATGAGCTAAGTGAAGCCGACGGTCTTCTATTCAAAGGAAGACAGCTTCTCATTCCAAAAGCCATGCAGAACAGCGTCCTGGAAATGATACATGAAAGCCATCTTGGAATTGAAAAGTGTAAAGCACGAGAAAGAGCCATTGTTTATTGGCCTGGAATGTCACGCGACATCCATGATACTGTTGTCAAGTGCCCGACATGCTTGACACACAGACACAAGAACCAGAAGGAACCAATGATTCCCCATGCCATACCAGATCGTCCATGGCAAAAGCTCGGATCCGATGTGTTTGAACACAAAGGAAAACCGTACCTAGTAGTGGTGGACTACTACTCCAAGTACATCGAAACTAGCCTAATGCGTGACAAAACCGCGGGAACCATTGTCACGCACATGAAGTCAATCTTTGCTAGACACGGCATCCCTGAAGAGCTCGTATCAGACAACATGCCTTACAACAGTAAAGAGTTCAAACGATTCGCAGAGCGACTGGGGATTTGAACTGATCACCTCAAGCCCCACATATCCGCAGTCTAATGGCCTCAGTGAGAAAGCAGTACAAACCGTTAGCGAATACTAAAGAAAGCAAGCGACCCATACATCGGCCTGATGGAGTACAGAAATACTCCAGTGACAGGAATGACATATTCGCCATCCCAGCTTCTCATGAGTCGCACCACCAGAACCAAGATCCCCGTAACACAAGAACTCCTGAAACCAAAGATTGCTACTGAGGTCAAACAACAACTGTTAGCCTGTCAACATCAGCAAGTGCACTATTAAATCAAGGAGCAAAGCCCTTGACAGATCTCAAACCACAGGAAGCTGTCCGTCACGCCAAGGAAAGACCTGGGTACCTGCCGTAGTAAACGAGAAAGCAGAAACCCCAAGATCCTATTTAGTCACAACTACGACCGGACAACAATATCGCCGGAATCGCAAGGATCTGCTACAAACTGGAGAAAACCCTCCTGTAATATCAGTCCCGCAAGACAACGACTTTAATTACACTACAGAAACTCAGAAAACCTCAGCAACCCCCAACAAAGAACAAGACCCTGTACAACCTCCTGAACAACAGCAACCCAACAACCCAGAATCGACGACACCACCTAGACGCTCCTCGCGAATCACTACTCTTCCCTTTAAATTCAAGGACTATGTCATGAATTTCTAAGAACTGAACACTGAAAATTAGAACATTGAACTTTTGTCATACCGGAAGTGTCATTGCTATTATTCGATTATTTTTTTTAATGATAGTGTTTGATTTCATTCTCAAAAAGGGAGATGTAATAATAATACTGATTGATGCTACAGTTGACTGACATGTAATCCTACCCCCTGGAATGTGCTATATATATCAACCACATTCCGCACCAAGAACAGAGAGATCAATAAACCTTCGAGCCAGTCAACCCTTGTTATGTTTCTTAGTTAAAACCCTGAACTCGTTCATCTAAGCAAAGCTTATTACAGACTGCAAACTCCTTTACGAAGGACTATGACAGACCAGAGATTGAGCTCTATTGCAAGTCTAAACATACACAAGCACAAGGACGTAATTGATATCGATGGCACTATAACAGAGTTTGCCCGTTTGAACTTTGATGGTGTCAATGTTTTACCATTTTTTGCCGATAACACTAAAGATAGATGGGTAACACAGGAAAAAATAACAGATTCCCATTTTTGGATATTTTAGGGAATTTAAAGAATACCCACAAAAATCCCAAATTTGGAAGAGTGAGACAAGTCCCAATCTGGGAACTTGGTTGGGAATTCCCTGGTTGGGACTTGTCTCACTTTGCCAAATTTGGGATTTTTATGGATATTCTTTAAATACCCAAAGATATCCAAAAATCGGAATCCGTTATTTTTTCCTGTGTAAAATAAACAACTAATTACTACATTTTCCTTCATCTCTATTTACTAAAAATGTCCTGCAGAAAACAAAGGAGATGGCATTCCGAGACCCCAAAATTTAAAATTTTCTGGGGGAGCATGCCACCGGACTCCCCCAGGTTTGGGCCGCCTTTGGCAAGCTAACTTTTCTTCCCCTGCGTGCACCTTCAAAATCTCACGCTATGCTGCTGACTACCGGTATCTTATAGCAAGAGACTTGGTCTAGAAGGGGTTGGAGGGGGAGGGGGTGCATTTTAAAAATTGTTATTGCCAAGGGGGGGTACAATTTTCATATGATACACCCCCTCCCCCCACCCCCGACACGTAATAAACGTACGGTCCCTAAACATGAAATAACACTCACCCCAGTCCACCCTCTTACATCCCAAGGAACTGACCCACAGTGTGTAAACAAGGCCTAATTCATGCTAAAACAAACTTCCTCAGGATCCTCAGCTCTAAAAGTACTTTTTTTGCTACCTTTACAGGCTTAAAATGCGACATAGACTAAGATTTATCGTTTTATCTTACCTGTAACAAGGTCGGATTTCTACTCAAGCCTTTAGAGTTTGATCCACTTCAAACGCGCTTTAAATAAGGCACCTTACACTTGAACAGTTAAATGATTCAGACATTCAAGGACAAACCACCAAACTGAATAAGGAAGCCAAAGTGCCCAATAATCTTGCTTCACACTGGCGCCAACAACGGTCGCCATCTTGATTTCTTTTTGGCCCCAGATCACTCTCTGTCAAATCTGTTTAAAGGTAAGTCATGTATGACTGCGTAGAGTGAAGGATCCAGATACAGTTCGATTTTGTATTAACAATTTATTCGTTAATTTATCTAGTAAAACTTTGATGTTCTACGATGACGGATGTGTTCCAGTTTATATTGTTAAATGACCCTGTTCCAGGAGTCTCCGATTGCCATACGCAGCTCCCAGGGTCGGCCAAGGGCGGGGCGGGGGAGCGGGGGTTCGGTAATGGAATACAAAATACCCAGAATAGAATAGAATAATTCTTTATTTAAACACAGTAAAATTCGTCAGTAGTATAAAAAATTTTAAATAAACCTAACTACCTTAAACAATATGCAAAACTGTCTACAACTAACCTAACTAAGACCTGCTTTTCATGAATGCCGTGTACACGAATCAGAAATTCAGATGAGCCAATCGTTTAAATTGACTTAAAGATTTATTAAAGATTATAACTGAAGCTGTTCTTCATGAAGTTAGTTCGCGGGAACGGGACAATTAGTTTGTTAACAGAGTCTTAGGCTCGACAAAGTACTCAATTTTTGTCTTGATCCGATTAGCATAAATTCAGTTTTAGCAGTGTTCAAAGTAAGTTTGTTGGAAATAAGCCATTTTTTTAGATTACCTAAATCGTGATTCAAATTTAACTGTATTGAATTCTCATCAACATCTGCATGAGTGATGTATAAATAAGAAATAAAAGGAGACCAACAATTCTTCCCTGAGGTACCCCGCATTTAATTGAACAGATTCTAGAGAGGGAACCATTAACGAGACATCGCTGTGTACAATTTGTCAAATACGATCTCGTCCAATCTAGAGCTATTCCATGTATTCCGTAAAGGTTCATTTTAGATAAAAGGATATCATGATCAACAGCGTCAAATTACCTGAAATTAAATACCCCAATTTACTGTACATACCCCAAAACCCTGCCGACACGAAGACTCAGTAAAAGGAGGCAGAGTAGCCAAGTAGTTCTGAATCATAACCAAGTCCTCTTTGTAGCGTACAAGGCGGGAGCAGAGCCGGTGATGCCGAAGAGAGAGGAGAGGAACTGCCTCACTCCCTTGCTTACTTCCTTCCCATCACAACTTGTGCACCACTAGGGAGAGGTTTAATGAGAGACGAACAGGCCGGCTCGCGAACGGCGGCGGTAGCCGTGTTTTTTTGTAATCTACCTTAATTGCGTTCGTAGTATCCTGGAAATGCTTGGGGCAATTTTAGCTACATATTCAGCAGTCCTAAGTTAATGAGCTTGGAGCTCTGACAAAATGGCGGCCTTCGACCAGCAAGGTGATTAGACAGGCCGGGGGCGGGACACGTACCGCGCGCCCTGAGTTTACGAGTTCGGACTTGTTTGAATAAATTATTCAAAATGGCGGCCACTTGACCAGCAAGGGGATTAGACAGGCCCGGGGCCGTGACACGTACCGCGCGCCCTGAGTTTACGAGCTCGGACTTGTTTAACCTGAGATTAGGCCAAATTGTAGCAACTTCTCGCCGCATTTTTCACCAAGGAAAAACGAAAATAGAGCTTAACCTCAGGTTCTGGTTTTTTATAACAAATTATTCAAAATGGCGGCCTACTAAGGAGGCTGGACAAGCCCGGACAAACCTGTTTTGGGTGAGATAAACCGGTTATTGGAGTGATGAGATGTAGGGCATGTAGAAACACGAGTGGAAGAATAGATCACTTTGCAGTAATGGATGGAAACGAGGCTGGAGAGACCTTATCCTTTCTGCTTTCCTATGTAAATCATGTTGTTCTTATGCTAACTCGTATTTTTCAAGCATAATTTCCATAACAAAACAAAGGAGGTTTGTATCAAAACATGGTCAACCTCAGCTTTGCTTTCACTCGATCGCCAAGGCTAGGGCACTAAGCAAAAAATTATAAAGTGGTCTATTGGATAACGAATTTGGATGACGTAGAAATATAGCACTCGGGTTATTGTTCATGTTATTGTTATTGTTTTTAAGATTTTATTTGGTAGATTGAGGGCTGTATAACTCAACAGTGACTCTTCGATCTTAAGCCTAAAACGCCAAGCACATTTTAAAAAAAGTATCAGTGAAAATATTCAAAGTTAAATGCAAATGATGAGTGACGTATTAAAAGTGGCCTAACTCGCGTTGCGTTGACTAAAGAAAAGTTCGTTCTCAAGTAGATTAAGGCCTGGTTCCTTTACAAATTTAAATTATACAGTGATTATACAAAGGGAGCGCTGTATTCCTTAGTGGTTTTATGGCAGGTAGTCTAATGTTAAATAAAACTTAGACTTCTTTTTTGTCTGAATTACTGTTCTAGATATCTAAGCCCCATCCTTTCTTTTCGTTCTTTTCCTTTTTTCCTTTTTTTAATAACAAAATCCGTTAATGTCGCCGTAAAACAAATTCCTCGATTTTTTAAACTCCAAAGTGCGCGCTACCTGGGCTAGAATGAAAAAGGCGTGGGAAAGATTGCTGAAACGTCCTCTTGTTTTTGTCGGAAAATGAGTGGGAATTTGCCAATTTTGTCTATGAAGAGACGAAAGTGTGGAAATAAATGGGAATTATCCTATCCACCCGTTAATGAAAAACAACTCTATAATTTGGTGTGAAAAGTGGGTACGTTTTGCCCAAGAAGTGAGGGTCAAAAATCTAGTTTTGTTCTAACAACATTCAACAGAAAAGGTTATGAGAATAAAAAAGTGATCACTTGAGGGAAAATGCTCTCGATCTTTTAACAAATTCTTTAAAGAAAGATACAGAGATTAGAGAATTCGCATGTGGATATTAGCGCTTGATCATGTTGAATCCATGGTTGTTATTTATTCACAAGAGTGACAGTCCTGACAGAATGACAAAATGAAACAACTTTATTGTAACTTTAAATAATACAATTTATTCAGTAAAAATTCTTACAACTGTAAACCTAGTGATTGGTTGTTTAAAAGGTTAAGAAATAACTTTTCTTGAGATATTTTTTTCCGACGTGAAACTTGTTGCTAAACTAGCTGTCCCTTTTAGTCACTGATTAAGCAGGCAAGCTTTTATCATAAAAACAAGCTCAGCAAAATACTGCTTTAGGAAACGTCTTAGGTGTATAGGGAGAAAAAATCCTGTTAACAGGAGAGAAACTTAGGTAGAAAAAATAATGGGAAAGTTCAGAAACTAAGGAAATATAAGGTGCAAGAGTAATGTATGGATTGTAGAGGAACATTTTCAACTGTACATTTTTAAATTACTTCTGCAATTGTCAATCACATGATTAGCCACCTCGCCAAACGGCTCTCTGGGACTCTTATAATAATTTATTATCATATAAAAGTAACAATTTCTAGCTTTCTCTCCGATCTTTCAAAATAACTATACAATATCAATAATTAGGAGGTTAAGATTATTTACTTATAAAACCTTTAATGTTTTCTGATAAAAACGCACAAATGGCATTAACACAACGTTATTCTCAGAACGAGTCAAACAAAACTCAATGATCTATGCTCAGAAATGACCTGTCTTCCACTTTTCATGAGGAGAGAGAAGTGAGTACACATTCTGAGAATGCATTTAAAAAGCAGTTTTTCTCCACCCCACAAAACCATTCTGTTTTACCATTTTTAGTTGTGCTATCTGATATTATTTTCTATGATTATAGCTAAACTTCATTATTTATTTAGCACATTTCCCATTGCTTGGCCTAATATTGCCCACAATCATCTTAGTTTTCGATCTTTCCAATAAGTTATATTCAACTTTGTTAGAAATTTGATAACAAATACTGCTCGCTATTCCAAGTATCAGTGAAATTTGACTGGCTTCAACCGTAAGAAAATACTTTTGAATGTTCACATTTTTCAGTAAGTCTCAGTAAGATTCTCTGTTAATTTTTTTTCTACTACTAATGTGGTATAAGACTACAGCTGTAGATACCTTTCTCAATATAATGTCTGTAAATAGTATACAACTATAACATAACTAAACAATAAAAACACCCATAGTTTCAGTCTACCTTATCGTGTTCTTTAGTTCCATTTACAACAGTTTCCTTAGAAACCTGTTTTTGTCCTACCCCATACACATACGTAGCAATCATGACTAAACCAGCTCCAAATACAAATGGTAAACTAACTCTAAACTCGAAGAAATAAACAGAAGCAATACAGGATACTACTATTGAAACTGCTGCGGAAAATCCTTTGAGAATGTTGTCAGCATACTTCACCACAACCCCTACTAAAAGGCCCCCAAATGCTTGCATTGCAATAATAAGCCACACAAGCTTATGGTATCCAAAAAGAAGGCCTTTTTCCTTGATTTGATCTCCATTGTTGACATATACACCTATGCTGCCAATGATGATGCCAAAAATGGCAAGCTGGAAGTTTCTGGCCCAAAGTGAGGTCTGAGTACCTTTCAGAGTCTTTTCAAAGTAAACACCTGATTGAAAAATGAAGCAGGGAATTGTTTTATTGTTTTATTATCATTTTGCCATACACACAAAATATACATATAAAATTTAAAAAAAGATGAGGCAAGGGAGCCCAAGGAAGCCAATAAGGCTTGTGTATAGGACCACCTTTTAAAATAATGTTATCTAATTAATAATTACAATACTGACATCGGCAATTTAACTCTAGGTACGCACAATTTGTTTGGAACATAGAAAATGATCATTAAATAGGATAAAAATAGAAAAGGCTGAGCGTGTAAGTGCAAAACTGAGAAAGAAATAGTGAGAAAAAATAACTGATTCAGCATCATGAAGTTAAGGAAAAATAGATGCCACTTATCACTGATTTGGCACGCATTAAGCACAAAAAAGGGTCATTTTATTTAGATCTAAATGAGTGGCAGGGTGCAAAGAAAGTCAGTTTTACAGTCTGTCATTCGGGCAAGCTGGAGCATGTACTAGCCCACAAGTCATTTCAGCTAACCCCAAAACCCTTTTTGATTTGCAGGATTGATTACCATCCTTCTGTAATTTGAATTTCCCAAAAAAACTCACTTGGCCGAAAGCAAAATCCACTAGCCCCGGGGTATCGGACACGACTTTCTTTGCACGCTGGAGTGGTGATACAAGATGTTCATTCAGTACCCTTAACTCACATGGTGTATCCTATAGTGCCAGCAAGCCTGTAGTGTATATGTTGTAGTTAATTTTTTATCGCAGATAATGTTTATTTTCCTATTGTTTTAACTTCATTAGCATACATTACCATACCCAAAAATAAATTATAAACAAAAATTACCTAAGATAAAAAATTAACTACAACATAAACATGTAAGCCCCTGGCTTCTATATGGGCTTACCTGTCATTACCACTTTGAACATTTGTAAAATAATTTATTTTAGAATAGTGTCTATTATCTTTAATACCGTAAAATTCCGAAAATAATTCCCGGGGCTTATATTTTTCAAAGGCCCTTTTTAAGGGGCTTATTTTTGGAGGGGCTTATATTTGGAGGGGCTTATCTACCGAGGGAAATTTGTGTTTCAAAATCGATTGGGCTAGCCTTACAGTTGGAGGTAAATTTACCGTTTTTGCTTTGTTTTATCTAAGGGGGGCTTATATTTGGAGGGGCGGTTTAACGGAGGGTTTTTTGCGTTACCGGTTTGGGGAGCTTATATTTGGAGGGGCTTATACATGGAGGGGTTTATTTTCGGAATTTTAAGGTATATTATTTAATAAGAGATCTTGAAGATAGCAATCTAGCTGATAATTTACATACTTCATACTATAAACTTTGTTTCATACTGTATTTTTTTCTACACTGTATTTTGAGTGTCTGTTGATTTATGGCTATACTGCCAATAAAACATAAACGTTTTCCACCAACTTACCAGCAAATCCAGAGCATAAACTTGATGCTACAACAGCAGCAAGACCCAACAAAGGATTCTGGGTCTGTGACAAGGGACTAATTGTAGGAATGGACTCCTCAGGACTCTGTGCCACAGGACCATCAACAGGCTGCAACTGAACCACAGATACACCAAGAAACAGCATGAACAGGGCCAGCCACTGAATTTTGCTGATTGACTTTTTTAACATAGCAACCGAGAACATAGCCGTTGTTAAAATTTTCAGCTGGTATGACACCTGTTAAATGAAGAAAAGCAAATTAATTATAGAAAAAGTTCATGTAAAAGCTGTACCTATTTTAATTCTTAAATTTAAGGTTCAAAATATGACAAGAAAATGCCTTGTCTAGTTTCAAAAGAGGTTTTTCAGCAAAATTTCTAGGAGCAAATGGGTTAAGTAAATTAAAGGAAGCATTTGGATTCAATAGACAGGGCTATCATTAATAGGTGGGGGCCAGGATTTCACCCGGCTACCATGAAAATGGCCCCTTGCTACTTTCGAAGGAAAATAGAAGAAAAATAGAACCAAAAGAAACCCCTAGCCATTTGATTCCCACCCTACTTGTTGCTGGGCATTTACCTGGCAACTTAAAATCTTAGTGACAACCCTGCAATAGAAGTAGAAAATGGGACAAAGGCTATCACCACTAACACCTGTTCCAGCTGATCACTTAGTAAATAGTCTCTCACACAATTAGCTGTTAAGACAGAGGTTCCCAGCTTGTCGATCTTCTTTTTATGTTATGCTTTATGACTGGACCTAGCCCTAAAATACTTTCTGAAAACAAAAAAAGGTTACCAGTACATGTACAATCATGTTTTACTTAACAAAATTCATTACCTGATAGGTTGCTGCATCCAGATTAGAAACAGCCACATAAAGAAGATTGTTCTGAACTGTGTAAATGCATGCGGGAACCAACATCTTGGCCATATCAATAGGATGACCAATAGTGATAGAGTATAACAACTTCAACAAATCAGTTGCACTTCGTTTTTCCACAAAGAGAACTGTCACTGATGAAATGGCTTTGACAATTTCTGTAATCATTACTGCAGTGCTGGCAAAATACATATCCCCAGGAAGTGTCCGTGTGTATCGCATTGTTAGAATAAGAGATGCATTCTGGAGTGTTAAGATAATGAGACTCCATGCTTTGATACCCATGGACTTTGCAGCTGAAAATGAAAAAACAACTCTTTCAGCCGTGAAAACATAGATGTTATGCTTTCTAATTTAAATCATTATATGAATAAGCAAATACCTGGCTGTTTATCCTTCAAAGTCACACCACAGTTATTGAAGGGGAAAATGAATTTAGAAATAAAGAAAAAATATTTTAGTAAGTGAATTCTTAATCAAAACATTTCTTTTAAAGCCACTTGTAGCCTAGTTAAAGTCCTACCCACCCCTCCCTACTAGAGGGATGAAAAACTGCTGTTTTTCCTTTTTCATAGAGAGAGAGTAAGGTTATACTAGGCCAGTCTTGTAACTCCTGTTGGATTTTTATCTTGGGAACAAATTAGCAGTTCCTGACTATTTGTAATTTACATTACATAAGAACTGAAGTACCCACTCTTCTACCAAAAAATCAGCATACGTGGTGTGGTAGTCTACAGTTTTATACAGCAAAATTCCTACCCCATGATTGGCAAACGGTGCATTTAGGATTGTATTCAGTATTAGGGAAACCAAGGAAGACGCATTGGTAGCAAAGACTGTTAAAATTTCTTTTGATCGCCTTACGAAAAATATATACTTGACCTTATAAATTATGGCCAAGACTACTACAAACAAAAAATAACATTTTTTGAATTGCCTCAGTTAGAATTTTTGTCCACCAATAAACAATATAAATGTTATAATGACGATATGATGAGACTAACTGTCAGGCATTGGAGTCAGTCACAAAACATGGCTTCCTTTTCTGAACGCAAACGTACGTAACCGCATTTCCAGGATCGCTTGACCATTCTTTATAGAAAAATGATAGCTTGAATTGACTAGAACTCTTTGATTTGGCAGTTTACAAAATTATAAATCGGACTAGCGATCACATAGTGTTTTGAAAACCTTGACTGGTTACGCGCTATGTAGTTACAGCGCACTGCACTGTTACTTTACTCGGTTCCTGTTCAACAGCCGGCCGGCGTTTAGGAAAGTGTTCGCGCTGCAGAAATCAAAACAGACAATCGACTCCTTGAGGCCAATGTAAAACAACGCGATTCAATCAAAGATATCAGATCGTCAGATAATTTGGACTTAAAGACTCAAAAAGCTTAGTTGTTGAAAAATTTCTAAAAGTAAACAAAAGCACCGTGAACTCACCGGCCGCCATCTTGATGAAAAGGACAATCACTGATGAATGCTGGGTATTTTGGGGGGGAAAGCTGCTAGATTTAAGGACCATCGACTCAATGAAGAAACAGCGGCGATCGCGGCGTCTAAGCTCATCGATTGTTTACACTGTATTAGTTCCATTCGGCTGGGTTAATAATACTTTGAGGTGAAGGTTTACTTTACGATCATTGTCCTCTAGTATGACTTTGTCGTTTAATGTCAAGGAGAACCGGAAATGTGATTCTTCGCTTCAAGAACCTTGCTTGGCACAAAACTTCGAGGGTGAAAGCAAAAGCTCGAAAAATCATTTGAAAGAGAATGGTGAGTCCTTTTCCTTCTTGTTTTTTAAACGTTGTGTTTTAATTACTGCTCAGAAAAGAGACTAAGCACATCAATAGCTGCACTTTTTTCAAACTTTCATTAAAGTCAGCTGTCTGAAGCAGTAACCAGAAAACTGGGACATAGGAACGGAATCTTTAATCTCCTCGTCAAGAAAAAGCTATTGTGTTTGTGAAAATCACACTGATCTTATGCAATCAAATGTTCATTATTGCCTTATATTTTGAACAAGTTTTACTTTTTTTCAGTAAGCTTAAGAAGAATGCCGTCAAATTATTATGAGATTTTTCCCAAGTTACTTGGTTCTGACACTATCTATGTTACCTTTAATCCTCAACTCAAAGCCAGAATTACGTCACGTAAAGCCCAATTCTCTGGTACCCCTAACCTAACTGTGACATAGCTGCCGGTTTCCCTAACCTCTCTCATGCTGTTCTGACATACAAGAACAGAAGTTGCTGGCAATGTAAGACATCACAGTCTTAATGACCAACAAGTGTTCGAAATTGACTTGAGTTCAACTCCACAGGCTTGTTGGCAGTAAAGACTGTGATGGCTGTCGTTGCGGCAGCATATACCCTGATATCAGAGCAGTATCCCAGGCAGTAATGATGGCTTAATGTTGCTATATTTGCTAGAAAGTTACCTCTGTCATTGGATTCCAAAGAAGCTTTTAAAACCCTTTAAGCCCTAGTATCCATACGCAAATGCTCCAACTTGATCTCCATACATTTCCTTAAGAATTAGTTCATAGAATTTTATATAAGATCAAAGCATTTTTTCTTTAGGTGATCATTTATTCTCATAACCATTTGCCTTGTTTATCGTAGTTAGTAGAGCCTAACTATGTGTTTACGTATCGATTCTGCCAGGAGAAAATTGATGTTGGTCACTCATAGTATTTAAAGGGTTAATACAAGCTTTAAAGTCAAAAATTCTTTTTTTCTCTACCATTACTTACCCTTGCTTTGTTTTTTTTTCTCAGACAATGTACCATTCACATCATCCGCTACATTCAGGACCATCATCTTTTTGGTTCTCACCCTTCAAGCCACATGTTACTTCTCACTTCTCCGTTATTCCAGAACAAGAACAAACAAGATGTACTTTGCTTCCACTGCTGTTTTCTTAGCAGAAGTGATAAAACTTTTGGTTACTTTGCTTATAATATTTATCCAAAGAGGAAATCGCAAAGATTTCGCATCATTCCTTATTGATAATCTTCTTACAAACCCACTGGATACACTCAAGCTGTCAGTTCCCTCTGTGCTCTACATTATACAAAATAATCTGGTTTATATAGGCATGACTCATCTAGAGTCAACAACATTTCAGGTATGTACATGGATCTGGGTTTTGTGAGCCTCATTTACTCTGGTTACCGCGGTATTAGTCCAATAGTCGTGTTTGTCAGAACGCATCCTAGTCTGGTGTTCCTGTGGCACAAAGGCAAAAATTTTCAAGGTATCAAGGGCGACTGTCGATAAGTCACCCCTATTAATTTTATCAGAGGCCGCAGTGAACTGGACTCCTTTGGACTCCAACAGGCAAGATAACAGGACAAACACGGATCCATAATCATTGATTATTACTAAATAAAGACTATATCAGATCGATAATGGATGATTTGAGAAGCTATTTCAAACCCTCGACATAGTGTTTCATCTGATACCCAATACGTTGGTATTAGAAAACTCAGCTGCTGCCCCATTGTTTTCAAACCCACCTCTTGGTGTCTGGATATCAGATGAAAACACTGCATCCTGTGTTTTATATAGTACTGAAATAAGATTAGAAGCTGTGGGTTGTAAGTAGGAAATAGAAATCTCCTAAAGAAGTGCACCTTGAGTGAGTTTAAAAAACACTTAAAATAATATGCCACAGCTAAGGTTACAGATGCCTACAGAAAAAGATCTGAAATACATGAATAAAAATTGGACATAACGGCTTATGTCCTTTGTCTGAGCCCTGTCAAACTCTTTGTTTTGACAACAGACTTTTTACAAGAAGTCAAAGAAAAGATTTATGCAACTGGCTTGTTGGTTAATGCACACTGTATTTTTTCAGAAGGGACATGTTAACAGAAGGCTCCTGAGGTGCTCCCTTTGCTCCCCCCATTTTGTACCCTAGATGCCCCTCTTCTCATTTCACATACCCCTTCTTCACCTCTAATCAGACACCCCTCCCTCCATTGAGCCATTTTTTAAAGTCTACTCAACTAAACTTGCTAGAGATAATTGCATAAGATCTGAAGGTGTACAGCGACAATAAATTGTTATCTATTTCACCTGATGATGATAACTGCTCCTTGCACTAAACTGCACTGTGATAATGCACTTACCTCTCTCTTATTTTCAGATCACAAACCAACTGAAAATTATTAGTACTGCAGTCTTCTCCATTGCTTTATTAAACAGACAGTTAACAAGATCAAAGTGGATTTCCTTGGTTCTCCTTTCTATTGGTGTCACATTGGTTCAGATTGACTCTCATACATCTGTGCAACCCAATATAGTGCCAAACACTGATAGCAAATATGATCATAGAAATGGACAGTCTTCAATCCTGGGACTAATGTCAGTTCTTACAGCTTCATTAGTATCTGGATTTGCCGGTGTTTATATGGAGAAAATATTTAAAAGACAAAGGCAGACATCATTTTGGGTTTCAAATGCACAGCTTTACACCTTTGGTAGTCTTCTAAGCTTTATTGGAGTTGTTTATCAAGATTGGGCTGATATTAAAAAGATGGGTTTCTTTCATGGCTATGATTTTGTTGTTTTGTTGGTGGTGTTGTTTGCTTCTGCTGGCGGTATTATTGTCTCGCTGATTTTGAAGTATGCTTCATGTATAACAAAAGGATTTGCAACATCCTGTGCAATTGTTCTTTCAAGTATAGTATCAGTCTATGCATTCAGTTTTGTTCCTAGTATTTTATTTGTTGCCGGAGCTGTGTGTGTTTTTGTGGCAGTGTTAATGTACAGTTAGTCAATTCTTTCTTAGGGTGTGTTTGATTGTCGTGATCGTATTCCAGAATAAGAATGCACGGAAATTTGTGACAAATCTCTTGGGCTGTAAAGTTTTGGACCTTTAATGAGCTTCATTCATCTAATTTATTAATTTCCACCAAGGTTCTGAATTTTACCTCCGAAAGGACTTGTGTGTGGCTGAGCAGTTAACAGGTCTGGGTTTCAAGCCTCGCCAGTCGCATGTTTCCATACTGCTGGGGGTAACCCTGCAATGGACAAGCATCTCATCCGGGGGGCAGGGGGAGTGGTAATACTGCTAGACATGCTTTATGCAAAGGAAACTTGGATTAGCTCTGGCCATTTGGGCCCTTGGCTTGTGTGCGCCTTTACCTTGCTTTTATCTTAATCAAAAATACGGTCCACTGAACACACCTTTAATCCTTTCACATCAGTCTTTAATTTCCCTTGATTATGAAAGCAGTTCCTGAAAAATTCCTAATTTCATTGTGTAGTTTTCTGGAAAACCCATACATGTAGCACAAAGAATGAATTGAAAGTATTGGTAATGCAAAAGAAGTCACACCACGGGATTAACAAACTCAAAGGTTAGGACAGATGTCTCCACACTTGACTGCCGGCTTTTTCTACTGGTTTCTTTTATTATGTATCAGCTGTTTTTTACCTCAAAGAAAAGTTATGTTTATGTCTTCCTCTATTACTTCAAATCTCAATAGAATTTTTTTATGTGAGAAATATTTTTAGTTTTATTTGTTTTTTTTTGTTGTTTTTTAAAAGCAATCTAAATGTAGAAAGTTCATAGAAGGTTATGTTTTACTTGAACATTAGGTTGTGGATGCTTTGATTCAGAATATTTTTGTTTTTCAAAAATAATAATTTATGAAATCAGTTACTTACCAAAATTTGTTTTTGTTGTTGTTGTTGTTATTTTTTTTTTCATTAAAAGAATCAGTTATCTCAAAAGTGTCGTTCAGATAATACAATAATATTAATTACCATAATTTGAGTGAATGTTATTACTATGAATGATAGTCTTGATCTTTGGTTAAATTTTGTGGAGTTCACGTCGGAATTTGATCCAGCTAATATACAACTAATGCATCACAACTGCATATGCATGTTACCCCTGAATATTATTGCACAAATGATGGTTTGAGAAAGGAAAAAGTGAAGGAGTCAATGTTGCGGATAAGTAAAGTCTTTCAGCTACTCCTGCCAACTTCTGTGAGTTACTTCATTAAAGAAGCTAAAAAAAAAGTTATTTCTTGTTTCTCTCTGTTTTCATAAAGCTTTCTTGAATTCAATTATTCACTTTTTTTGAGCGACCAGGGAAATATTATCATGTGAATTTCTATGTAAGTTATCATTACAAAGATCAATAAAATTATTTATGAATTCTCACTCTTTTGTTCTTTTGTTTATTATTAAATTGATTTCGTAAGATGTTCCAAACACATTATCAAGCCGTTAATAGTTAATGAATTCTTCTTGTGCCAACTGGCTCATCCCATTCCTTCCTACAGTGGTTTACTATCCAGTAGTGCTCCTTTTCATCTGTGAAAAAACCAAAACGATTGTCCAATTTTTATTTATCCGAAATCCCTTTTCACACAACACCCACCATGGGACAGCTGTTTACTGGAGGCGCATGCCACTCTCGGGTACTCCCAGTCGTTTTGCATGGGGGTAGGGTACATGTCGATGTATGCTCGCGCATGCGTAGTGGCAAACTACACGTTACTTTAACCTGCACCTGTATTTCGTAGAAAGATGAAGTCGTAATTGATGACAGTTCTTTTGATGGGATCATAGAACCCATCTCCACAGTCGTACATGCCTGCTGGAATGGACAGAGGTGGATGCTGATTAGACAGTTGTGATCGTCCTAGCATTCCAACAAATAAAACCTTGTTAGAAGAAAGATTTAGAGTAGAGAGGTTAAGCATCACGTTTACATCAAACAGCTAACGCGAAATTTGTACCACGTGACCAAGTTTCCCCTTTGCTTGTCGCGTACTGTTCATTATTTGTACACACAAACTAGTAGTTTCACGCATATTTTTTTCCATAAGAATTTTCTGAGCTGTTTTTATCTGCTCATTTTGTATTTTGAGAAATTATCAACTTGCCTGCGTGCAGACGTCTCCTATATAGGAGACGTCTGCACGCAGGTAATTATCAACTTGAATCTGACGTTTGCCGTTTACCGTATACGTGAAGATTAAACTCTCTATTTAGAGTCAAGCTTACGGCAAACGGTAAACGGCAGATTCAAGTTCAGGATTGCCCTACTAATAGAAAATGAGAAGGTGAAAACTATGCAAACTAATTGTTATTTAAAAAAACTGCCGTGAAACTACTTTTTTGTCAAAGTAATTAGAAGTAAAAGGCAAGTAAGGGGAAATCTTGGTCACCTGGTAAAATTCACGTTTGCCGTCAAACGTCATTGAAAAGCTCTCTAACGTTTTCGCAGTTTTTGAAGAAACTAATTATTTAATTTTAGAAATATGCTGAATACAGTGTAATGTTTTAATCGGTATCCAAAAAGTCGATACTAACAACAAAGTCTGTAAGGCCATTGAGACTATATTCACACCATTCAGATAGCTTTAATTTGGGCCGACACGACAACCATCTCGGACAGCTTCTGTTCCCCCATAAGGACGGTCATTTCGGCGTGATTTCTGCAACGGAGCGAAGCTATATATATACTGCGGTGCAGGGCTGAGTTGCTCAAAGCATGGTTAGCTTTAACCATTGGTTAAGCAGTATCAAAACCAATACGTTGTCAAGGTATTAAACGCTGGTTAACGCTAACCATGCTTCGAGCAACTGGGCATCTCTAAAGTGTAGAATCACCGTATCGCCGGGATACTGGGTACATTGTGTTCATACTGTGAGTACCGAGATAGCTTTTGATGTCGACAGGAAAAGCTGTCCGATAGGGTGTAAGCATCGCCTGAGAAATGTTTTCTATCATCTTCGCAGCTGATAGCGAGGATAACAAAAACGTGATGATACGATGAGCGGTAGTTTCGCCTACGAACCGTTTCACTAACGTCTTATGTCGTTCCGCTAAGAAACGAATGACGAGTTCTGCGCATGTGTATGCTTCGTTCTCTCAGGGATGATACAAAAAAGTGCGACACGCATTTATATACATCATTCTTTCAGCCGCTAATCAGGCTAAAGCAGTTGGGGAACTCAGTACCCAACACGTACGGGAAAAAACTTCAGATGTTAGCCAACAAGGGGGTGAGTTGCTCAAAGCATGGTTAGCTTTAACCATTGGTTAAGCAGTATCAAAACCAATACGTTGTCAAGGTATTAAACGCTGGTAAACGCTAACCATGCTTCGAGCAACTGGGCCCTCAGGACGTTGGCGAAACGACTGTAAACCGATGATACGACCCTTAGTGAACGGCACCGAGTCTCTTATATTAGCTACCTGCTGGTTTCAGTCCATTTTCAACTTCGGATTTAAAAGTTCTATCCGTATCACCATTGCAGTAATCCCATATATCAAGGTAACAGCTCAGTCCGTCCGAAAATTCAAAGTAACCCTTAAAGAAACCAATCAAACAAACAAAATTAAACTTAGTTCCAACTAGGTGTCAGCACCACACTCGAGAACAGTCCTTTTGGTAGTGATTAACAGGGTGCTTCCTCTACAATGCTACAATATTTTTTTTAAAAAAAGCCTAGCGTGGATACGAGTTGAAAAATTAAAAAACTGAGCTTTGTTGTGTTTTGGCGATTTCCGCCATAAATAATCTATACTCCGTTAGCGGGCAATTTGAAAATGTTTTTTTTATGACGAAAGCTTACATGCCTGGCTTTACACAAACTAAACATGTTTTATTAAACTAGGTTTAAAAAAATGGAAAATAGTGATGGAAAACTTAAACTCTTACACGGGCATTTAGTTAATTCAGATAAATGTTGTTTGCGGGAGCTCGAGGCGCCGGTTCATACTGTACTTTGCCCGGGGAGTAAAGGTTACCTTACCTCAATGGCCTTTCCCTTTTCAAATTTTCCCACGTAGTTGACTCCTTCGGGAAACTTTAGTTTTCCTTCACCATGAAACCTATTAGAAAACTGATTTGCTGTCATATATATCAAGTCAGTCTGCTTAACTATCTAGACAAAAAAAGGCCAAAAGCATGCTCACTTGCATTGCATCCTCGGAGACCCAGGGGCTGTCAGTCGGGCCGTGAGAAAAGGCGCGTCATATGGTACTAAACTACGTAACATCATAGTCACGGATATCCGAGTTTATGTACATTTTATATATTTAGATTACTGAGGGTCTCGTCCCACGTAAGAGGATAGAGGGAAGATTTGGATTCTGGATTCCACGCCGTGAATTATGGATTCCAGGTACTGGATTCCGGCTGATTTCTTTGTCGATGGAACTTGGATTCCAGGATTCCAGCCGATCGTTAGTAGGTGGGTAGTTCCGGATTCCATGTGAGCTGTATTCCACATTTCAAAGTCCAAGATTCCGAATTCTATGGCCAAAATTTGTTGGATTCCGGATTCTACAAGCAAAAATTTCCTGGATTCCAAAATCCCGCCTATTCTTTTACATGGGGCGGAAGGTCGATCTCATGACCTTTACGTCTTTTTCTTTTTAACTTTCTTAACTCAAACTACATTACTACATTTCACTACTGCTCTGGTGAAAACAGTTTTTTCGCGCACCTTTTGTGCACAAAACCTTAACGATAGTATTTTCATTAAAAACAATATCTTACAGGTTCAAGTTAAGCGTCAGAAATAATATTAAGATCTTATTGTTTTTGAAAAATCGGAATTTTCAGATGGCTGCCTTTTAAATGACGTCACATATCTCCAGTAAGAGCAAGTAATAGGCTTTCTACTTGGAATTTAAAATGGTATCACATACTTTTAGGGATGCAAAAGAGAGTGGGGACTTCCATGCTCTCGTATCACATCCTCGTTCCCAGGGTTCTCTCCTACCCGCCCTACGGAGCGTAGGGCGGGTGTGAGATAACCCTGGGAACGCGAGGTTGCTCGTATCAACGTGGTGCAATGAATTTGCTAGTAATTCTTGGGGTTACATTATGATCAAAGAAGCCTTTCTTGCTAAAAGCACTAAGGTCCACAATGCGTTTACAATTCAAATTAATAAGTAAACAAACCAATAAAAATATACCTACATGCCGTCCCGTATAGTCCCTTGGTATTCACTCCTAAAGTATTTTGGAAATGTGTAGATTGCTTCGGCATCGTCCATTCTTATTAAAAAATAAATCAAAAAGAAAATTAAAAGGTTAAATCAAACTGCAGTAAGGTATTGGTTGCCTCAAGGCTATCGTTTGGCAAAAGTCGCTAATTGAAAATATCTATTCCTGTAATAAATTACCTTAATGCACTGTTCCTAGTTTACATCTCTCCAATGACAGTTCATGAACTGCCATACCCGCCTAGTATTCTTATTTACAAAATTAAACGTTTGAGGCGTCGAAGTGTCTTGACAAAAACACGACTGCTAAAGAAAAGGTAGATTATGTTAATTTTGCTTAAAAAACCACACACTGATTTTGAAATCAATAGAGAACACCTCCATTGAAATCAAACAGGTATTTTGGCAAGTGTTTGCTCCGCAAAATAAAAATATGAAATTTGATTCTGGAGAGACGTTTATAACGCACTGTGAATGGATTTACATCCTAAATTTATCAGCATTATCAATGTTTGATTTATGATAAATTATTCTCTGTATCGTTTTTGACATCAAATCACGAATATAAACCTGTGGATCAAATTTAAAACTCTGCTATTAAGCTCGGCGTTTATTTGAGATCCATGCCTTTAAAGGATTAACGTTGCTAAAAACGGTTGACAACTGATCATTACGAACGCTTAAACAAGTTTCCAGTCTACGATACAGTAACTCCTACCTCCCATTAACGAGACATCCCTCATAACTGGTTCCCATGCACTGCATTTTGCCGGTATTCCCGTCTTTCAACAGAGGCAATACGTGAAAGGCTGGCTAATTGGCTGGCTACATATTTAACTTCAGTATAATTTATTGTTTATGTGTGTTACGTCATAGGCTCAGGTAATTGCGTCATTCTTTGCGCGCGCAGTAAGAAACCAGTTCACAGCCTCGTTTCCAGGGCGATCTCTGTTTAACCCTGGGAACGAGCTTGCCCAGTTCACGGATTTCAAAATAGTTAAAATATCTTATCTTTAGAAATATATCACAACATGTTGGTCTTTTGGTCTTTAGTAATATATATTGAAATTCTCTCAAGGGAGTAGCTAAAAGTCTAAGCACAAAATATTGTTTTTGATACGCTGCAATGCACTTTGATACCAGAATAAAATAATGAAATCATGAGACGGAAAAAACTAGACTGTTTTTTCGATTTATTTAATTTCATTTGATGCTTCACCATTTTTTGTGCCAGTGAAGAATCTGGGCAACGCTGAAGGATATACAGTGATTCCTCTGCAATCTATCATCCTTTTATCATATTACTGATTTTAAATTTTGACAAGCTAGACCCATTTTTCCTAGGTATTTCAATTTCGGTGAGAGGAAGAAACGATGTAAAAAAAATTCCTAGGAAAAAATACAGAAAATTTTCCGTACAGAATCTAATTTCCTTTCCCGCCGATGAAAGCTAGACTGAATTTGGTCTTGTGAAAGCACTCAATGTATATTTTATGAAACATGGCGAGAACGAAATTATGTGAGAATTAAAGATGTAAGGTTAACAAACAGCATACTCGTAAACCCTCCCATCCATACCAGTTAACGTTGTTGGTGGAACTCCTGTTAAAACAAGTAAGTCTGGTTCAACAGATTACGTTAATAAATTGTAAACTGTTCCGCAGCTAAAATACAGGATTCAGAAGGGTGTAGGTTTTCCTTATTGCAATATCCAAGAACCAGTCCAAGCACACTTGATTCAGGCTCATGAATTAACAGCAAGATAACAACTGTTCATTATTAATAACTGCAGAGTACTTTGATTAAAGATTGTCAGTGAAATGGACGTAGCCAGTGCAGGCAATTGGTGAATAAATGTGATTTACACGTCAATCAAACCCACTTAATGAGGATTCAATCATTTTTCTTTTAGGATGTTTAGCTTAGATTTGAAGCAAATAAAGCTATTTGCGGGGCAATTAAAAAGAGCGTATCTGCCACTTGCCATTCCCTTTCATTTTTGAACTGGGACCTGTTGTTCGTCCCACGTTTGAAGTTTCCTACTGAGTCAGCCTATGAGTTAAAAATTAAATAACATCGATCGTATTAACCAGTTCAATCGGTGGTGCAGGAACATTACCGAACTTATTAACCTTTGAAGACATGATCCAAAGAAGTAAGTCACTTTTATTGTTTATTCGGGAAATTTAACCCATTTTTCCTTCACAATAGTTTTATTTCACCAGCAAAGGAGTTTTAATATTTTCCATCTTTCTGGGGAGCAAAAGAGAGGCATTGTCAAGATCCAACTATTTCGATTAAAATCATGATAGAGCTTCGGCTAACAGTCAACTCTTTTTACAGCCAGTTTTAATTATTGTTCAATTCTTTAAAAGGTCACGAAAACTAGTTTTTTAACACAAATGAATTAGGCAGCCTTTGTAAAGCGTAAGTAAAGGCAAGTCTTAGATGGCAATTGATCTCTGGAGACCGCATCACTGAGACATGTGAAGACATGTGTCCAACACAATGTGCTCATAACGGTCGTATACTAAACTGTGGTCAAATTTTCAATTAGTGATGCAATTTGTATAAATTTCACGAAAGCGAATAACCCTGGGATAGGAATCAAGGGTATTTTATAGGGGGCAGCTTATTTTATTATTATTATTAAAGTAATAGGGGGCATTTCTTATTACAAATTATTCCTGATTGTGTAGAACAGAAATAAAAGCTTCTAAAAAGTGTAATAATTGAAAGGATCCAAATAAGCAAGAATCCGGAATCCCTCTAACTATTGAAACCCGGAGTCCAAGTTCCAGTGACAAGCAATCCGGAATCCACAGCGTGGAATCCAGAATCCAAGACTTTCTTAGATTACCTTATATGGGGAGCCAAATTCAATATGAGAACAGACTAGTAAAAACTGTTGGGGTGGGGGGTAGGGGGACCTTGCCATATTTATGCCTACGAGGGCATCATCCCTGCAGAAATTTTTATTTTGCAATACATTTTTCCCTGTCCTCCCTTCTCCATAAATAATGACCTATCCCAAGAGCCTTGCCTGTCCCTAATATTTCATTCTTTCTTCCTTATAGGCCTCTTCAAAATAGTGATTGCGATGGTTGTATTTTCAGTTGTGTTGTTACTTTTGATCGGCCAATTCTGCCAAGGTATTATTATTTATATAAAGTTCATCGTGACTAAAAATTTTAATTCCCATAATCCCTATTCTGGCTCCAAGTTTTTGCTTGTTTTTTCTTGCTACCATTTTCGATCTATGCACCCAGGACTGTTGGAAAGTTGTCTTATTCTCGCTTCTATCCCGATCAAACGATCTTAAAATTCCTTTAGATTGTTTTTACCCAGGACAGAGATGTATGGTATTTTGCTATCGTTGCTGCGGAAATGATTACATTGCTTCCCTTCTTATACTAACAATTTTTTCCAAGCCTTTCCAGTGCACATGAAAGAAACAAGGCGTGGGTCAGCAAACCTCTGTGAAAACAAAGTCACTGCACAAAGGAATGTTGTAACTCTGCACGAGTGTCTGCAAAACCGCCGCACAAAACTTGCTGATAGAGCTGGCGAGGAAGAAAGGAAACCGCCGCAAAAGGGACCACCCCCACCCTTGCAACCACCACCAGAGGCACGTCCCCCTCCCCCTGGAAAGTCGTAGGAGCAATCTGAATAAGAATGACACTGAGAAATAGGCCATTTCCGAGTTTCCCCAAGCCTCTATCTCAAAGCGAGGCTAACTGGGAAGCTCGTGATATAGAAATAATTGTATATTCTCGTGCAAATAAAAGTCATTTTACATCCGTTCACAAAAAAGGTTTTGCATTTACCCTCGTTTTGAAAGTGAGAGTTTTTTTTGCAACTCGGAAATTGCTTTTATGATTTACTAACGTAAATGGAGGATGATGTTCTTCTAATTAACAAATATTTATAGCTATTTTGTATGCATTATCGAAAGCAAGCCAGTAGCTAGTCGCAGATATTCAATCCTGTTAGCAACAAGGCCAGTAAAAGACGGCTCCTACCTTAAGAAAACTCTAAACAGCTTAAAAATCTAATAAAGTGTTTGGTTGTAATTTTCTGGGGTTGAGGAGGATGCGGGGGTGCCACTAGCACCTGTGGGGAGGGGGAGGTGTCCTCGAAAAACATTTTGGTACCTGCCCATGTTTAGGACATATACAGGGGGAGCACACCCCGGGCACTGGCTCTCGTTGCACCAGATGAAACTCAAAAGCGTTGCAAGACAGTACAAATTGGATTATCGTTCTGAACGCAAGTCACAACCTGTCGAAGTAGTTAAATCAAGCACATATCACGAAATCGTCCTTTCGTTAAAACTCGGAGATATCATGCTGCATATCAACCGCTGTGAGATGATGGCCGGTGCGCCATTAACGTACGCTGCTGACCGTATGTGGCCACTTAACTTTATGAAGACGTGCTACTAATATAACGTACTTATCCCCGTTCAGGAAGAAAAGGTTTTGGGGGCAGCTGCCACCGTTCTCTAGTGTGCCACTGACAAAAAACCCTTATAAGTGCTATAAAGAAGGTGTAACTGCAAATTGGAGCTTTTACCGCCCCGCGAAACCACGGAACAGACCATTTTGCCTAGCCCCTTGGCCCCATTAATGGGCGCGGCCGATGAGTTTCGAGTCACGTGGCCCGAGCTAGTGGCTAAGGGTTCAGTACACATTTACACAAAAATGTCATCCTGTCGTCACAACAAATGCCAAGTTATTTTATTTACTCCAGCATTCATGTATGTAGAGAGGTGGCCTTTGTAGCCGAAGGTTGAAAGAAGAGTGAACGGTATGGACTGCCGCCAAAAAAAATGATCGTCGGTAGAGAGCTGGCCGTTAGTGGAGTTCGATGTATGACTATACTAGCCCAAATTTTTCTGGCATTTAGTGAGCTTAAATTTGCTACAAACTGCACTATCAAACACAAGTATACTGATTAAAATCAATGCGGCAATACAACTGAGTATAGAAGGCTAGTTATTGTGTTTGCCGCGATAGATATGCCGTATTTCAAAAATTGCCGCACATTTGCAAGCTACATATTTGCATGTACCCTGCTGGCAGAATTTGCTTTTCACCGTGGTTTTTAAGCGTGTACGAAGTCGTTCGCACCGCTAAATAAAAAAATTTTGCGTGGTTGTTAAGTTGTTAACCAACTGAGTGATCAAAAAACTGTGAAAACAAACTACTTCATTGAAATATTTACTTAAACCGGCAGTGCCGGAAATAATCCCTGCTAGAAGGCCTGGTAGCAATATCAGTGAACAACCTTACTAAACCTTTACATGTAGCTTAAATGAGCGTAAAGCTGTTACAACAACTTTATGCTAACTTAAAGAGGCCTTTGAGAGCCGAGCGCGTAACTTTACCTTTACAAACCATTGTTTACGCGGCGTGGAAAGTTTGCGTAAAGTTGGGTGACCAACTTTACGCTGGTCTACGCCAACTTCAATCTTGCGTAAATCTTACTTTTCATGCTGTGACTGAACTCACCATCGGTAACTACAATTGCTAACTTAGCTTGGTTTAGTGGTCGTGACACACACGCGAGTATTTAGCGAGCGAACTCATGCACAACATGAAAATGATGCGTCCGTGCTGGTCGGCGTACTGTCTCCATCATTTGCCCAAAGTTCTGACCTTTTTATAGCGGAACACGAAAACATCCCAATCGAACAAAAACGTGCGATCCGAACAGAACACAACCTATGCTTATTTAAAAACTTATACCGTTCTCGTTCTCTCAGATCATGCAAGGAGTTATTCCTGAAACAAATTAATACCTCAGGTGTAGTTCCGTAGCTACGCTGCAATTTACGCAATTAAAGTGCTCTTCACGATTCTACTTTTTCCTAAAGATCTTCCCTATTGCATAATGTACGATGAAAAATTATGTTTGATGTTAACTCACTTATTAGCTTAAGGGCAAAGAACAAACAAATGTAGGAAATAGACTGAATAAAAACTTCAATTAACAATCACACAGTTTGGTTGGCTGACTTATACAAAGATAAATCCAACCGAACAAAACGGAGTAACATTAGAAAGCAAATTAACATTTATGTCTTTTTTCTGACGTTATTAATAATTTAATGGCAGTTAAGAGCATTGTTTAGCGCCTTTTTAGTAAATCTATTAATACATCTTGCCGAATTTCCGCTGAATTGAGGTTGACTTTCACTTAAACATAACGTGACTTTACGCCTGGGAAAACGATTCATTTGGAAAAATAGGGTTTAACTATTTGTCAATTTTGTCAAATTTTAATTTGAAATGGTAGCCTGTTACTACCAGACAATCAACTTAACGGTGCAGTTTTAAATTTCCGAGTGTTTTGATAGGTCTTGTTATTTGCACCTTGAGAGATTTTGGCCAAAGTTACAGTGCAATGGCAGGCATCCCACGCAAACTCAAGTAACGAAGATAAAGGGAATCCATTCATGTGTTGCTTGGGCGGACTCGTTTGCAGCGCTTAAATGAAATATAAAACATTTGCAGTTCCAACAACATAGAGTCTTTTTTGAAGCCCCTAATGAGAGTTCAAGAGAATTATACATGATAATAACACTACATGATAATAACACTAGGTAAAGCTTATTTTAACACAGCGTGAAAATTGTTTTTAAGTTTCCTGTGGAGTCTTAAACAATTTTCCCATTGGAAACTTGAAAGACGCCTATTAAATCGGGTTATAAGGGTTCCACAACAACGCTTTAAGACGTGACTAACATAAGAACACAGACAATAAGCTGGATTTGTGTAGTTTCAAAACGTTTCAGCCAATTTAAGTATTTAGCCGGCCTCTTTGAAATAAGCATTACAAGGTATTACGTCTGCACTTTAATCTATTTTGTCCGTTTCTCCAAGAATGAAACCTGGAACTGACAATGAGCCTTTTCTTGTTCGTTCGTGTGTGAGTAAATTTGTACAAGGTGTCGAACTATTCAGTAGATAGCTATTGGCCAATTCTTTTCTACAGCAAAGCTTTAGTTTTCGTAACGGTAGGCAGAACTCGGTCACAATTTTACCTTAACAAGGTAAATTATGTTAACAAGGGTGGGCCCGGGTAATAAAGAATAATTATGTCCTTAATACACCACCTAGTAATGGTTAACGACCAAAACAGGCAAATTTCACGAGTATTATACAGCTGGTTTGTTTAAAACTCTCAGAAAGTTCATAAGTATATAAATTAACCTACTTCGCGGATAAAGAATCCTCTCATTGGAGAAAAGAAAATTTTTCAAAAAAGCGCTTTTTAAAATTTAAATACAGTTGTGTTTTTCGGGTTCTTTGACATGTTAACTCAAACCTGTACTGCAAGCTTCGTATCTGAAGCCAGCGGAAGTTTTAGCCGCCCATTGGGTCCTGTCAAGAGCCAGTTAATTATGCATTACACTAAATTAACCCCACCGAGTAAAATTTTTCTCCCGAGGTGCAATTTGTCTCAATTAAATTATAAGAAAAGAAATTTTAATTTACTGTAGTTTTGACTTGGGCTAGTCTTGTGACTATAGGCTAATGCCGAATCCCTCAATTATTCGATACAGGTGCAATTCACAATGGCTTTTGTCTCGTACGCGGGTTTTTGATTGGCGAACAATGCATTTAGCCAGAGTTGTTTTCAAGTAGAGTTCAATCGCGTCCGTTGAACATTCATTAGACAATAAAACCAAGCGCGTGCTCTCAGACTTAACAACTCAGTGTACCTTGATCGCACGTGTCTCACTTGAAACCATTTACTTTGATTCACAATAAAACAGCGAAAGGACAATCAAGTGTAAGGAGAGACACAACAAACTTGTCCACGGTTCAGTTAACACTCCTGAGTCACTTATATGAGACTGTTATCGCCTCAACGAGAGCCAATTGACAAGTTAGTTCAAATCAAGCCTCACTGACAGCTTTTTAAAGAGTCAATCAAAAAAGTTTAGTAGAAGGAAAAGACAGTCAAAATGCCCAAGTCCTTCCTGTTAAAAAGGCGATCTGTGAATGGCATGGTAAAGTTAACTGCGAAGCCGTCAGACAAGCAAGCCGAGAAAGGTATGCGCAAAAATGCTATAAAGCTCAAGTTAAAGTAAGCTTCCTTCATTTTGCAGTTTCGATTAATGATATCCCGGCTATGTATTCTTATCTAAGTACTTAAACTTTACCTGTGTGCTAAAGTCATTCAATAAAATCCATGTTTTCCTACGTTTTATTTGGCTAAGTTCAAACTAATAAAGTTACAAAACTTGGTCCCTTAAAAATGTGAGTGTTAATAATTTACAATTTTCAGTACAACGTTGAAAAAATTGTACAAGCCTTGAGTAACTGTTGAGGTTAGCCTGAATATATAATAAGCTGTTAACCCTTCAAAACAAAGAGAATACTATCTTTGTCAAACACTCAATGACTTTGTGTTGATTCTACACACAGGCGTAGCAGAGGGAATGAATGCATCATCCAAGCCTGACCAAAAAGTCCAAGAAGTAATGCAGTACGGACTTCATACAGAGCCAAGGTCTCCATCAGTAACTTCTCAGGTTGATGCTCAAGACAGAAATATTTTCAGCACAAGAGAAACAGCTTTTGACAAGGACTTCAGTCACCTCTACATTTACAACCCAGTGTACCACTTCCCGGTTCCTGATGCATTGAGAAGTGTCTACGAGAAGGACCAGGCAGTTTTCAATAACATGCATGCCTGTTTTAGTTATTTACACACTACGAGAAGTGAACATTTTGAATCATGGCGTTCAAACGCAATTGGGTATTTACCAGTAGTAAGCTACGACGTTTTTAAGGGAGAAAACCTCCTTGCCTCGCCCTCAAAGGTTCTTATCCCTGAAGAAGTCAGGGAGCCCTACAGATGTGATCAATGTGGTAAGGTTTTTAAGACAAAATACACCCTAGCAATTCACCTCAAAATGCCTAATCACACTTTCGCGCGTCCTTTTGTTTGCAATACGTGTGGCAAAGGGTTTCGCTTGTCCTCCACCCTGTGTAGGCATAAGATCATTCACACCAAGGATAAACCATACAAATGCCATTTGTGCGAGAAGGCTTTTAACCGCTCATCCACTCTGAAAACACACGTGCGAACCCACAGCCTTGAGAAGGAATTTGTTTGCGAACGCTGTGGGAAAGGTTTTCACCAAAAGGGCAATTTGCGAAATCATATTCTCATCCACACAGGAGAAAAACCTTACAAGTGTACTTTGTGCCACAAGGCCTTCAACAAATTGTCGAATCTGAAGTTTCACATGCACGTTCACACTGACAATTCTCCTTACAAGTGTAGCTTTTGCAAGGTTTCTTTCTCTCGAAGGTGCGATTTGAAGAGTCACGTTCACACGGCTCACTCCCAAAACGAAAGCGAAATCTTAAAGAACAATTCCACCTGTTAGTTCTTTTATCTGTAGATAAGACTCATAATGAGCTGTTTGTTATTTGGAAGATAGGTATCGACTGTATCGAAGATTATTGTTTCTTGTGATGTAGTTAGCACTCAGTTTTACCTAAAGGTTTAGAATTTTGAGTCTCCAGGCATTAAAGATTCTAACTAAGCGGAATTTCAAAATGCTTTAGATTAGTACATTGCTGTAAATGGCCGCTTTTTCCAAGTGTTACATCTCAAAATTTGACCATTTCACTGGATATCGAACACTGGCACTTTGATGTTTAGATGAAGATAATTTAAAACTTCCGTTTAAGGTTTGTGATGATGTCCGTACGATTGTTTAGTTTGTAAGGGACTGAAATCTCCACTATAGGGGTTCCCTTGAAAGACTATCAGCTAGAATAAGGGGTTTATATTGGTAACATTAGACTACCAAGTATTGCATGTATGGCGGTTTAGAACATTTGTTGAAAATGCTTATCCTGACTGACTGACGAAGCAAAATAATTAATTCCTTGGAAAGAGACATGTTCTAATAACAGATAAATTCATGAAATATATGTTCTTGGGTATCAAGTTGTGATATCCTTTGTTTAATTCAGTCGCGAGACAGTGTTAAACTTGAGTGCAAGTACTAAATTTAAGATGCTTATTATGCCAGGAACGTGAGAAGAAGCTCTAATTTTACTTGATAATGTTCATAATCTCATAGCTTTCTTAAGGTGCCCCTGGTAAAACGGGCGAAGAACGTTTACTACTGAAATAAAAAAAGTATCCTGTTGTTTGAGTCAGATCTACTTCGCAGGGAAGCATAAAGTTTGTAAATAGTCATAACTTGCTAGTCGTTTTTCAGTTTAACATTTGTATATGAGAAATAAATTAACATAATTGTAGTTTTGTTGTAATATTAACTCAGCTGTCATTAAAGAAAGCAATATTGTGCTCTTGATGTGCTAATAACTAAAAAAATTCTTACAAAATAATAGAGAAGCCATTTATCATGTCAAAGAGGATTTACTAGTTATTATAGCATTAAACCTTAAAGCTATTCTTTAAACTTATTGTAAATATTGGTTGAAAATAGACTACAATAACGCAAGATTATAATTAACTTGCTTCAGGTAAAAAAGTGTATTCCCATTATCACTTTAGTGTTGAAAATAAAGTCTGAAAAGGAGTAAAAAGAGGTGTTTGTTTATTAATAGGCTTTTTAGTTAAAGAGGCACTCGTGGCTATTATAGCAGTCATAATTAAGATTAAGATTAAAAATGCAAATGTAAATAACTAAGGTCCGTGAGATCGGCAAAGAATTATACTAAAACACATGCACTCATTTATTATTCTATCGGACTTTTATTTCATCCTCAGCTCAAACATTAACAAAAAAAAACAGTATTCATGCCAGAAAACAGGTCATAGATCATTTTACTTGCCTACTGTTAGTTTCTCGTGGACACGTAACTATGAGAATTTTAATTCATTTTATCTTGTACTTGTTGGTAAGTAAGTAAGTTAGAAAGTGAAGGGTTTATTTCACGAGGGTGGCACTCGTCACTAATGAGCTCCTGGCCTCTGCTTGTATTCGTGACTTTTCCTCCTTAGTATAGTTAACACGCTAATTATGGCGGTGTGGGTCATTACCACCATTATAACTCATTACTTTCACCTCCACAGCTGTCTAAGTGGACGTCACGTAAAACCCTCATTACTCTTCTACGACAAAAAAGATAAGCAGTTTTTCTCGTCTTCATTGTAATAAAAGCTCTTCTATAAGATACAAAAAGCTTTTTAAAAGACAAAACAAAAAATTTTACTCCATTTTGTGAAGAAAAGTTCAAGAAAAGTTCGGGTTTCTCATAGTCATGTGAGCCGTCTCCTTAACTATTACAAACATGGCATTGAATTTTAATTTTCTCAAGTTTATAGCTAGCCATTTAAAATTAGAAAACTGCAGGAAATGCTGGCGGACAGTTTATGTGTAAAGAAAACACCTGGGTCATTAAGTTTCTACTGGTTTACCTCTTGAGCGTAAGCTAAATACTCACATTAAAAATTCATTAGTTTGGTCAGCACTTTCCTTTGGGGCTCTAATCTTTGGATCTGGGAGAGGATAGGGTGGGACAGACATTGAATTAGCCAGGGTAGTTTAATCAGCTACAGGCGCTGGTTTACACTATAAAAGCCGTGCATTTTAATGTATATCCATCAGAATTCTTTTTTCTATGTATGAAAAGCTTTAAGAAAACCACGAGTGCAAAATTGTGATGAACAATCCTACACTAGATATTATGGTTCATCGACTTGCAATTACGCAAATAATTGATTCCAAATAAATGAGCCCCAAAGCGCTTTTTTGCCATAACTGGTCATGTTTGGGGCGGAGGCAACTGGAATCAGCAGCAAACATCGCAAAAACACCCTGAAAGGTGATAATTCGAACAAAACACATCCTTGTGAAGTATACTTTCTAGTTTAATTTCGATGTTGCACCGCCCAAAGTAGATCAAACTTTCGAGGTTTGCGGAAGGTATCCTTATCATAATATATAGATAAAGCTAATGTAAGTGCAACTCTGCTGTGGGACTGTTTACACTGTGGAACTTTATTGTGCTTTTTAGAGTACAATAAAAAGTTTGCTTTCTGAGAGCCCACTTCTGATCTTGGCAGATAGATATAATTCGCCGAATCTCTTACTATAGTCAGCCGATGATGAATATGTTCAAAAGGTACATAAATCTTGGCCCAAAAAGTCAGTTGACAGCTTCACAAAACTCTTAAAATTCCAAATAAAAGATTGCCCGAGGCATGAATTTATGAAAGCCGTCAACGAAGTTAAAAAAATTGGTTCACTCTTGGTTTAGGCACAAAAAAAATTAATCTTCGTTAAGTAGTAGTGAATGTTAGTTAAGATAACACAGTGAAGTTAATAATTACTTATCGATGTCGTGAGGAGGAAACAAAATGAAAGTAAACTGTCATCATTGTAAGAATTATTTGTTATCGTAATTATTCTTTTCGTTGACCGAACTTAAGTGTAATCCAGCTCACTGTAAAAGGGTTTGCTATAAATCGTTGAAGTTACTTCTAAAACTCAGTAGCACACATCACATATCGTACCAGGATAACCATAAAAAACGTTTGAAGAAGAAATTCCACCTCTCATTCATTGATCAGCGGCCAGTAGCTAGACTTCTGGGCCTGGAATGCGACTTTAATGTAGTTTAACACTAAGGGTAGTTCCGTGACGTGACCATGCATACACACCTTTAAGATTGCCGCAAGGAAGAAATCAACTTATGCACTTTTAAAACGCCTTTCCATTGTTTTGAACAGGTTATTACTTTCAATAAATGGAACGACCGGTCATTGAGGTGGATCAAGAGGTAATTATCACGAATATTTACCCATTTTTCCACTTCCGTGGCCACAATAATGACCTGCTGGTTCTAACAATAGAAAGGTGCATTAAATGGGATAATGCCCCGCCCTTGCGGGCCTTCTTAAAATTAATTACCCTTACGCTACGCGCTCGGTCATTTTCTTTCAGGAGGCTTAGGAGCTCAGGCATTTAGGTACGACCCAAAGATATCTTGCACCACCAAACGTAGTAACTAATTGAAAATGCTTCTTCGCCATAACTTTGTCCACATGTAAAAAAAATATAAATAAATTCCATCTATAAAACGCACTCAATTAAAGAGGCCCCTCATTACCCTTCTTGAAAAAGTTCACACGAGTGGAGCTTCTCATCAAACCACAAATGAATATAGGATACCACATAAATTTTATTCCAAAAAATGCTGCTTAAGAAGCAGAGGCTAAGCAGCGTGGACGTGAATTTTCTTTAGCTTTTCTTAAAAACTGAATTTAAATGTTTGAATAAAGATTTTTTTCTATGTTCGTTACAGAAGGCGGGCACTAATGTCATGCTCAGTGATAAGATAAACTTAGTCGAATTTTCTATTTGAGTGAAACTTATAAAGATCAACACGTCCTAAAATTCCTGCCGCAAAGAATTAAAACAGATTGTCACGGTACCTAGGTAAGTCAGAAGTGGTAATATATAGCCAAGTTTAATTTGTCTAAGGTAACAAAACAGCTTAAAACAGAATAAGCAAAGAAGAAAGTTATATTCCGAATATGATTAAGTTGTTTTAAAATGTTTGCGTGTAAACGTTCCAAACGTTCAGGGCCATGAGGAAAATCAGGCGCTTTAAAACTTAAAATGTGATTTACTATGCTAGCCTCCTGTTTTTACCATCGAGTTAAACCCACTTTATGCTACAAAATACAGGCATTAGCAACACTAAAGCCCTTCAGGCACTTGATGTAGGGTATTCAAATCCACATAACTTTGAAGTGAATTAATGCGGGATATTAACAGAACTGACGGGAGAAGCTATGTTCTAAGTTGTCGTAATACAGATTCGTACGTTACGCCAAGTCAGCTGGAAGCTTCGCGTCTCAGACGTATAAATTTCTTAAAATACGCTCAAATCATGCCTCGCGCGTCCCTTTGGACGCACAAACGTCTTCTCTGTCCACTATGAGCAGGCTTATCACACGTATTCTTCTTTCACCTTATAAATTAGCGTGTTTTGCTCTAAACGACAAACCGATCGAAAAGCCGCCATGTTACCATTGTAGGCTCACTGTTATACTCAGTAGTCTTGAGCCCGGAACTCATAGTTATATCAGGGGCACCCAAAGACTGTTCCTGTAAAACATCTGTCCGGAGAAGCAAATATTGCCCGGAATTTTCTATAGTTGTGTGAATCCCTAAGGACGCATTGTTTTCTAGATGGCCGCACTGTAGTAATTTCGTACAACTATAATTTCTCACAAGGGGATTCCTTTTTTGGCTAGTCATGGGTTGACACAAAGGATAGAATAAGGCGACTGGATGAATGTCGTACAAAAGGCTATTTTAATAGCATTTTGTTCTCATTGCATCCCTAGCGAAAACAAAGCACGATAATTCTGTGTTAAACGTGTATCACAGCACACGCCCTTTAGAAAAGAAAAAAAGAAGGAAAAACTTCTCTGAACCGTCCCAGGTGACTCTATACACTCATTTTGGAAAGCAAATGATAACAACATGCACCTAAGCTTCCCTTTTGCCCATGAAGGAGAGAACCTGAAACCCTCCCACCGATCGATAGTGCACTAAATGGGACTTCAACTTGTAATATAAACTTTCACGTTTTACACTACGGTAGTAACGCTAGTAAGGTCACTCATTTTCCACGTAATTCAAATTAAAGACTTCGAAAACTGATAAACGATATCAGACAAAAGCGTCTCACTCCTCACGATTAAATAACTCACATTCAAGAATCCTGTGTCTGTAGAGGGACAGCTTGTATGGATAGTTTTTGTACTTCAGTGGCATGGCAAGAAGCCATTTGCATGATGGCGTCATTTTACTACTACGACCAGAATTCTTTTCGTTTTTCCTTTCACTTTTAAATTTGGTAATCCCAGCGAGTTTAAATAACAAAGGCGATAATTTGCACAAGAAAGGAAAAACCCGAAGGACTCTGGTCGTAGTAATAAAATGACGCCATCATGCAAATGGCCTGTTATACTAGCAGTAGTCTAAGCCGTTTCCAGAGAATCTGATCGTTGAGTTAGTTAGGAAACTTTTCAACAAAAAGAAACGAAAACTTGCTCAGTCAGAGCCCAGTTAGCTCATATTAGGGTCAATGTCCATGGGAGGTCTGACATTTAACTCATTTTAAAACATTATGAGCGTGCTTCACTTTAAATGAGCGAGGTTTTGTTGGAGTCAGACAGTAGGAAACAAAGGTGACGGTTTTTGTGAATATTTAAGGCACTTTTTAACGAATTAATTCATCGAAAACAGTTACTCTAAACTAGTTTTCAGCGAATAAAACCACACCTGTCAAATTTCTACGGCTCTGATCAGTCTGATGAACATGAAGATAGGAATAAAAAAAATTGACGAAATATACAACAAGGTCCTGCTACTATCAAAAATTAACAACCTTTTATTTTATGACAAGCAAGGGTTTGTTTTCTTTTTCTACGTGAAATTGAGATCATTCTAGCTAGATCAAAGAAAATACACTTTCTGAAACGATTCCAGAGTTCTCAGTAACATATTTCCCAGTCGACCGTGATGGCATAATAGAGATGTTTTCACTCACTTTAATCAAGCAATTGGCCAAAATTGTTCAACTTTCCCTTCGCTCAGTTCATGATTCTTTGCCTGGTTTCTTATTCTCAGTCATTTAAAGTTTACTAGGATTACTAGGTAAACCTAATTTTACATTAAAGAGCCTAGAAGGTACTAATGCTCACGTTCAATGTTTGTGACAAAAGAGGAGGAAACATCCATTGATAAGAACGTTAAAAATGCTAAGAAAGGGAAAATCATACAACGCCATTGATCAGTTTTCACACACAAAAATAACTTTGCTAGTGAATAAAAATGGTATCCTATCGATTTTGGGTGTGAAATTCATCGCGCTGGACTGTCAGAGTATATGTGAGGGAGAATTGCTTTTTTTAATACTTTGGCGAAAAAATATTATTATGCGTGTTCTGGCTAGGACAGGAGCAGACTTATACCCATCTCGCTATTTATGTGCTTTTGGATGAGATTGGGGATTGAAGATTGGGGTTAGGTTGAAGGGGGAAAGTGAAAATACCGCCCCTCAGTCTGGAACAGCACGCACGGGAACACATCTGAAAAAGTCGAGGAAATAAAAATCACATAGAATAAAAACCGAATGATAAAAAAGCAAACACATTTAACTCTCCTTCCGCGGCTTGTTTATTTAAAGTATTTTTTCTAAAACAACGAACTTCTTTCCGCACCCCGCGGGATGGTGGACCGACATAATAAATGGGGAGCTTAAGCAAATAAACGGTTTTGAGCGATGCACCTCAACCGGAGTTGAAGCATTTTCCCTTTTAATATGCCTTGAAGCTACGGAATTTGTATTCTCAAGTGTCGTTACTCTCATAGAGACGATTTGCCTGAAAATTTGGTCAAAATTACGCCCATTTCCGGTTGCTGTGCGTCGCTCAAAAACGTTGCTGCTAAAGCTCTCTAATCACAGCACAGAAACAAGCTGGATGTATAAAGCATGAACGAGTTATTTTCACCTCAGTAGACGAATCAGGGCAAGATAAGAAAAATCCTTGCTACGCTCCTGTCTGATAAAGCTTATGAAACGATACCGGTGAAGGGAACTTGCGTTGCAGCCGGCCAGCGCATTCAATACCTGGTTTAAAACTTGCATCCCTTTCAACTGCTTTAAATGCACTGTGTTTTAAATATGAAGAAACCACAAAACCAGAACGTTTTCTCGACTCTTTCGCAGCCATAAAATGTACCTGTTAGCCCTTTGACAGACCGAAATGACAGATTTCCATCTCCTTTCATATACTTCAACTAGTGAAATCCCTGCCTTAACTGAAGCCTGAAAAAGCTACCCATTTCGGGCGGAGCCTCCCTGTATAGGCCTTTATAGGGCGTACTACCTGAATGTGTATTGGTATCATCACCATCAGATCAACAGTGTGATAAACTGACCGGGATTGTTTGGGTTTGGAGTCAATGCAAAACTGTGAGCAAATTTGGAAATAATAATTGTTAACTACGACAGATGACAAATTCAAATTTTTCCGCATAGTTTTTTCTCAATCCCTCAAAGTTCGTTCAGTTTTTTTCCTGCGTCAAAAAATTCCATGGTAGTTTATGTGCAGGCCGCAGAGGGATTTTGAATCTCTTTACAGAGTTCTTGCTGTACAAATCCATGATTTCCTCGGGTAGAAGCTCACATTTGAATATACGAAATTCATCCATAATGCCTTGCAAGGGTTTTTCTTTCCTTGAAGCCCCAAGACTGGCACACTTCCACTGCGCTTGCATGGAGTTATTGGGAACAGGAACCGCTGTCCTTTTTAGGGGCGTAGCAAGTATTAGTTCATTTGCTAGACGTCCGTTAATATATAGTCGAGCCCTGCCGTTTGACTTACGATAGCTTCCAGCAATGTGGTACCAGCTATTGCTTAGAATTGCTCCATCTGAAATAGAAAATGTTCAATTTTTCGTTTTTCGTTTTTCGTTACCAACAGACTAGCAAATATGACCGTTTTGATAAGAGTCTCAGTAGTCAACAATATAGGGCATTATAACAACCTACACCGTGAGCGCCAAAATCCCCCCAAAAAACTTACACCGGTTGAGGATCACTTCGGCGAGGTTACGTACAATCCCTTAATAGCTTATGATTATTTGTTACAAAAAATATAAGAATTCGCTCAAAGCACTTCATCGCGAGCATGACAAAGTTTTCCAGACTGCGCGTTAAAAAATGGGAGGAAAACCAGACATTTCGAGGGTTCTCGCTCTTCTTCAGCGGTTTAAAGGCAACTTCATGCATCCTCTAAACCAATAAAGAAGAAGAAGCACCCTCGAAACGTCTGGTTTCCTCCTTTGTGGTTATAAATTATGTTCAGCATGAATAGGCTCCTTTACTAGCGTCTAATTTTCTCTTGTTGCTGCTTGACCAAAACGATCCAAGTTTTCCCTTGTTAAAAAAACAGTGCCTAAAGTTTGCTTACTTGAGGAAATATTGAATCGCATGTTGGCTCCTGGCAGTTCTTCAAACCATCGAACTCTTCCGTTGTCAATGGCAAAGTGGTAGTCACCCATATTGTAAAGTTCAGGCATGCCACAAGCAAAGAACAATTCATGCGATCCATTGATCTGCGATAAATTAAGCCACAGAGATACCGTAATGGCGTCCGTTGGACGATTGTGAAAACGTTCCACATCAAATGTCACATTACCGTCTTTGCTTAGTTGAAGTCCCTTTCCGAATCTGCCGTTATTTACGATGCGCGCGCAACCGTTCATAGTCCCAGCGTTGCCGTTGTGAGATTCGTCATAAACAATATTGTTGTAGGCGTGATCGAAGCTCAGGTAAGCCGAAAGACAACCTGCATCTCCTGCAAGCAGTTTAAAATAAAAGTGCAGCTATACTTCTTAGCTGTATTCAGCTAGCAATTACAAGTGTAAAGGAATATATAGAATGTGTAGAGTCGAAACGGCTCCCAGAATCTCAGAGGACAGAGGCTACTAGGACCGTCATAAGTAATCACAAGGTAGAAACTGGATTGTTGAAGCTTTCGTTTACTTTACTGCAATAACTTTTTTGTTCATACCCTCGCGTGTTTTCTTTACCAACTCCTACTTGGATAAGCCCAGAATTTTACCGTAGTTTTGCTTTCTTTAAGGTCTGAGCCTTGCTCGTGTTTCTGCGCGCTCCAAACGTATTGGTTGCTTAACTATATTGGTTGTTAAGATCATTGCCAGCATCACTTTTATAAAGTTCACTAACAGTTTATGCATAGTTACCTGGACATGACATGGTATTGCACGTTCGTACAATACTACTGTTATCGACGTTTGTCTGCATACCTCCTCCGCATGTTAAGGTGCACTTTGTCCACTCTGGATCACCTTCATGTTATAAAGAAATTAGCCAATAGAAGGCCCAGGTCAAACTACTAATAGGGTCTGGAGCATGGGCGTCTTGATCCCACATTCTTGCTCCTTTTTCACGAGAATTCCGCTTCCCGAAGTGCGACTGTCATTGCCATCCCGAATATCTTTCTCAATTCAGCGTCCCACACTGTATTTTGGTCAAATCCAGTATCCCGTTTAACGTTTCCCGAATCCCGCATTGTATTTTGGTCAATCCCGAATCCCGAGGGAATACCCTTCCAGACGGCCCCAACATAAGGTTCGGCCGCTCATGCAAAGTTTGATTTGATCCGGGCCTAAGTTGCCTAAATTGAAACAATGGTCAATACCACATAACCGTTTTTCTGTAATAGTCTTGTAAGTTTCTATTTATTTGACTTGCTCCACTTAAAATAGCTCATAACAAACAAAAATATTAAACAATAAACAAGCCGCTCACCTGGACACCGCATTGTATTGCAGGCTCTCGTTACCACAGTGTAATTTGCACACGTGACTTGGGTTCCTCCGCCACATGATTTGGTGCAATTTGTCCAGCAAGTCTGGCCTGAAATTAAACGATAAGGCCTGTGTTATTTACTGATGAATTTGGTTGGCTTTCCACAGCGCTAGCAACTGGGACTGACATAAAGTTCATTTAAAAGCTTTGTGGTGCTCACAATGGTTTTACATTCAAACCTGCTGGTTAACTGAAAGACAAACAGTACCTCAGGATTAAAACCTGATATTGTTCTGTTTTCATTTGTTAATTGTTCAACATTGAACTGAGACCGGCTTAGACGTTGAATCACACTGACAGTTCCATTTTCGCATGATTTTCCTTAAAGTCCTTTTCTCTCTTGAGCTGACATGATAAAAAATCAAATACAAGAGAACCCAGGTAACTCAAGTCTGAAGGGAAACGATAAACAGTTCGAGTTGGTGGGGAATTCGAGTTATCCGAGGTCCAGTTATCGAGGTTCTACTGGCACATTTAATTTAGTGAAAAGATCACATGTTCTATTCAGGCTGTAAATACACTTACTTTCTACCTGACTTACCGACTGTATAGTTGTCCAATCCATAGCTTACACGTAGTATCACCACCAATAGAAAAATCGATGTAATCATGACTGTCAACGGGAGTAAAATGTTAACATTAAAAAAACCCGCCAATTGTATTACATGGTTTAAGTTTAAAAAGCTTTAGTGAATGTGAGCTCGACTCTTAGGTTAGCTCGTTGTGTATACACAAAGACGGAATCGACGATTTTCACGAAGGGAAAATATGGCGGGAAAAAAACTCGCGTTACCCCAACAGTTTTATGAGAGGTTGTCAGTAATCATTTTCCAAGAAACTGATCAGTTAGTTAAACACCAGAATGCGGCAATCTTGCACCGCACCCCAACTGGGACGAGTATATATTCTTCTTTTAGTATGTCGTACCAAGATCTGTTGTCGAAAAAACAATAACAAGACAGCGTACTGAAGTATATGAGCTTCCAATTAAGTTGCGCCTATGTAGATTCAAGAGTAAGCTACCCCCCCCCCCCAAAAAAAAAATTATTGTTCTGCATTATTCTGTATATTATTAGTGTTATTCTCTTTGATTACGTGTGTTTAGTAAATGAAAATATCCTTACATGGGGTGTATGCTGTGCTATCATAATGTATCGTTAGAGTGGGTTAGTTTAGTTGGACTGATTGAAAAAAAAGATTCCATTTCCTAGACTGAGGATTAAATCCAACGCTGTTGCCATTCAAATGAGAACCATTGAACTTACGTCAGGACTCACTGACCAGTCATGACGGGCCACGCCTCTCAAAAGAGCCTCAATGGAAAGTAAGATAAGAAAGGCCTTAAGTTGAATATAGACCTTTGTATTGTAATGGTTCTACCCCGACACTCATCACTGACAGGCCCCGCCATACCACCCACTGAATCGTTCAGTATAGTGTCGTCAATAACTGCTTGCTATTTGATTACTGGATGGCTCTAACGAATGGCATAACAAGATTCGAAAACAAGCCGGTGATTAACTACAAATCACCTTTGGCCACAAAGTTTAAAATTCAAGCACATACTTCGATCGATTCAATATGAACAGCTCTATGATAATCTGAACGCACCCACCGCAAAATCAAGGATTATTTTCTTACCTGGCCTTTATTCACTTCATTGTCGATTTGTTCTGATGTCTCGACCCAAGACCATTGGCTTATCACTTGATCCGAAGCTCCCAAAATCTTAGCATGTAGACAAGACCAAAATTTGGTCAGTTTAAAATTTGAACCCAATTTATTCCAAAACAAAAGTTTGAAGATTTGTTTGCTACCGGCACCACCAGCTAAAACCCGCTCTATAGCGGGTTGCAGTTCTGTTGTAAAGCCGTCAACCAAAACCATGACCGTGTTTTCTGGGACAGTTGTGCTATTATTTTCAAAGCTAGAAAGAAGCTCATTTATTCTTGAGCCCTGCTTTGGTATTGATTGGAAGCATTGTGTAATGGAAACTCTTACCTTCAAAGGAAAACAATGGAACCACAAAAGTCATCGCAGTTTTCAGTTCAACAGCAGATTTATTAAAGTCAGATGGAAACAACTTCAAGAACAGCAGATCAGTAACTCATTATGAAAGCAAGTGATCAGTCGTGAACGCCATGACGTGAGGCGGTTTAAAACTGATCAGAGCTTGGATTCTAAAGCACTTCAAAGGTATGTTCGGGTCAGTTTACCTTATACTTCGTGTCTTGATATTTTGGAGACGTTAAAAGGAAACAGTGATTTAAAGTGAAAAAACAACTAAATATACTCATACAAGGTCAAATTCATTTTTTTCTCACTTTCTAGGCACTTAAACATTTACGGGGGCTTTACAGTTTGTTAGCGCAAGGAATTATTTTAAAGTTCGTTATCATTAATGAGCAGAGAATTAATTAAAGAGAACCCGGTAGTGAATTTTGATGATAGGTCACTCAGTCCAAATCACTACTGCGTACACAGTAAATGAATTACATTAGAGCTTCCACAGGTCAAAAAATTGCCGCGAGTCTTGAGTCGAGGGTAAAAATTCTTTGTTCGCAGATTTCGCAGGAAAAGCTGGGATACTTATCCGCAGTATAAAACTTTTTGCCGCCGGCATAGGAAAAAGATATTTGGTTGGAAAAATCGAAGAAGGTATCGAATAATACTAGATTTATTAGGGAAAATGACAACTAATATGAGATAGGAAACAATATGGTGCTATTGTCTTGAAAATCTTTATTTTACAATCAAATCAAGTAACTAATCATGAGTACGGACAGCTCATGAGTACATACCCAATACGAAAAAGCCTCGGGATGCTGATAACTTCAAGGCTGTGGTGGCTTAATATTCCAATCACCCGGAGTATTACATCACCTTGGATCAGCTGTTCAACTGTCATTTTTTCAATTTAAAAATCGTGAAAAACACGAGTCCAGTTTGTTCTACTTCAGTAATTGACTGCTATTTTGACTGTGATCACATTTGGTGTCGATTGACAATCACTTCATACTGATCCATAATTTAACGATAACGTTAATACAGAAAAGTCGTCAGGTCATTTTTGAAGCCGGGACGCAGTGTCGGTCAAAAAACTTAAAATTACAAAGGCTTTAAAGTTTTGGCAACTAAAATATAATTAACCTCTCATAATTTAACTAAAGCTTAAAAAAAAAATACCTTAAAGTGTGAGTATGTATTTCAAAATGATAGTACTGATTATGCGCAAAATATTCAGTTAACTGCAAAAAATTTTGACATTTTATTTCTTTATCAAGCTTATAACACAAAATAATGATTTAAAAAACCGAGCGCATAATGATAATGATATAAAGCAGGAGCTCTCTGGCTCTGAGGAAATTAGTTATTTACCAATACCAAGCATTCATCGACAACTTATTCATAACCTGTACAAGTAAAAAAAACCATCGATGCAACTTAAATCTACTAAGAAAACGTAGAAATCGAAATTATCATATTCAGTCGGAAGGGGCGTAGTGTGACAGCCGCTTTTAGGGAAAAACAGCGCATTACAAGGAGGCTCCTGGCATTAAATTTACTTTTGAAAACGCCTGTGAGAGCATAAGAAATACAATCAGAATGTCAAAAAAATAACAGAAACCAAATGATAAGAACACAAAATTTTAACAAAACAAAGCGAAAACAGGAGTGAGTACATACACATCGGTCACTTCCAAAATGGTCTTTGTCAGTTGGAAGGCACTCTTGCGAGTCTGCGTTTGCCTTGTTTAGAGGTGGCCTTTGTAAAGAGATTTTTTTAGAAGAGTTGATATATGAACTTACTGCTTGGCCGCCAAACGAGATAGCCGTAAGCCAGGTTCAACTGTACGTAGTTTCATGGAATTATGTGGACATAATCTTGAAAATCTTTACAGATTAATGACTTTCAAGAATTGAACCCAAATTGTTTCATCGCAGAGGCCATTTGTAGACTGAGTTTGTAAACTTCCTGACTTACTCGCAACAATCTCAGGGGCGGATCTAGGGGGAGGGTGCAGGGGGTGCGCACCCCCCCCGTCTGAGATGACCTGCGGTTTTTTAATACAACTGGTTTTCTGCAAAAAAAAACTATGTGGTTTATTGGTGTTGAAGTAGAGCAAGAGACTAGTGCAACCCCTCCTAAAAAAAATCCTGGATCCGCCCCTGAATCTAACCTACCCTCTGCCCCTCCCCACCCCGCCTCAGCAGATAAATGACACGCCTGCACTCTGCACCATTTAAGAGTTCAATTTTTTCTATTTCCTGACATGAAAAGGTGAATACAGGTACAGAAATAGCGAACCGGCTAAGAAACGTCTGTACAAAAACATTCGACTGAATCTGGCCGCACTATCTTGCTTTTGCTAACGCCCATATTCAACGTTAGAATCAAACTGTGGAGTAACATTTCACAAGGCCAGGCTGACTCTAGAAAATTTCAGAGGGTGTTTTTCAAAGTTTCGGTGATTAATCCCAGGTTGACGATCGTGCATGGAGGACTCTTCCGCCAATGCATCGTGCTTCATGCACGAAAATAAACTCTAAGTGTATGGATAAAACCAAGTTTTCTTCCCAAGCGGTTAAGGTGAAAGCCTTATATTAATGAAAATAGCTATGCGACAATTTTAATTGTAAAATATCTGTAGAATTTACGTCATAGAGGGCTAATATACTTAAGAGTAAATTTAGAACTGAATATGTGGTCTGGATATTTCTTGCCTCTATATCAGAGAAGCAATTTTCCAGTTTTGCAGGACAATAAGTAATTTGTAGATTGTTGGTATGGAAAACAAGTCTGCCAGTACGTCCCCCTTAATTTCTCAACATGTCAAGCATTGCCGGCTAGATTTCACAACTCGGCCACTTAATATTATTCTTCGTATAAAAACTTCCCGCAAACGCCGAAGTCCCGAATGCCCCTTCCACCTCGGGACTGCAGGACTGCAGAACTGTGGATCTTAACAACCAAGGGAGCTGGAAACGGTGGGAGGGCCGGGAAGACTTAAGAAATAAACACCCGCCTGTCAGGTTATTTCTTATTCCTAACTCACTGTTTTGGTAACTAAAATTTGGTGACTCAGGGGACAGCGGGAGCATGTAGATTTGTTTTTTTAAATTGGATCTGGTATTCTAAAATTGCTCCGGTGAAAAATATATTAACAGATGACTTTTGGCGCTAAATTATCTTTATTCTAATTTGTGTTTTGTCGTCATTTCGTAACTTCCACAAACTCGCTTCTCAGTCTGTTTAGATTTCAACGATCTCAATTAAAGACATCTAACATTGAACGAGACAGCCCTTATGAAAAATTAAACATGCATTGTCAACCTGCCTAAAAGGTTTTCACACTCCTGCGAATAAACAAATAGTGCATCGTTTAAGAAAAGCCACCCAAAGCTGAAACTTTCTCCTCAAAAACGTGCCCGGCACACCTTAACAATGAATTTTTTTTCTAGAGTTGCAGTAACTTAAACCTACTTCCGACATTTAATGTCCGTCATGGGACATTATCGATAAATAACAATATATTGCTTTTTCACTACTGAAAAAATGTTTATCTTAAATGTCTCTCGGCCAAATAAGCGAACAAAACTTAAAGAATACAGCTACTAAATAGTCATCTTATCTTTCTCAATTCAATCGTCTTGGAATTTTTTTTTCTTCAAGTTGTGTCAGATTAGAAAAGCACATTTATTTGTTAGGTTTTTTAGCCGAAGGAATTACAGCCAACAATATGTTCTGTGCGTTAGACCTGCCACAGTATTGTTGCACTGTGATAAACTATTTCTACAGTATTGGTATAAGTGATCTCGTCAATAACTTAGCCAAGTATTTCAGTGAGAATTAATGCATGGTGAAATTTTACTGCCATAAAATGCCAGTGAAATAAATTATGAATTGTGTCTTGACATGTGATGAATTTTTCATCATTTTCTTTAGCAAACAATTGAAGCTATTTTGAAAATACAAAATTAATTATTGAAATTTCATATTGATTGAATCTGCTGTCACTTAACCCAGGCTGACATCAATTATTTATATCTCAAGCTTTTCACAAGCTTTTCTATCTCGCGTTTGCCTCACGCCAGGAAGTTTTAACAGGGACATGCTTAAAGTGAAAAGTAACCTAAGAGATTTAACGCAAGAGTCTCCTATATCTTCACAAAACCGTACGTGGATAAAGTATTCTTGACAGAGTGTCGAAAAGGTCAGTTTCTTGGAAATGTTTTTGAGCCAGCTTTCAACATAAAAAAAAAATACCATGGACTATTAACCTGTTTTGTATAATCACACCGTATATCATTTCAAACTCGTCTCTGGCTCCCTCACATTTGACACGTGCTCGTCAAATAAGACATAACACGTGCTTTAAGTGTCTTGTTCTTGGTTTATGACAAATATTGTGTCAGGAAAGGCGTGTTGATTTTTTTAGACGAAATTTGCGAAACAGACACGTTCATCTTGCGATTACATTTAAGCTCACAGTGCTGATTGCACTTTGCTATATAAGAACCTTACTTCACCAGTTCCACAGGTGAGAATCGGCAGATTCAAATTCGAGTTCTTATCATACTGATATTAGTAAGGATAGTGTAATAATCAAATAATGCAGTGCGATTTTTTTAAGGAACATTTTGTGTTATCGAGAGATGGAGCTTCTGATAAATGTCAGCAACTCCATGACACACTAGGTTCTGAAAAACAAAAAAGAATTTTAGAAAAATTAACTTCCACCATGTTTTCCAATTCCTCGCGGTATTTTCGGTAAAGTTATCTCATTTTTCTGTCGCATCAAAACCTACTAAAAATAAGACACAGCTAGACAGGATTTCAGACCTTTTATTTTCAGGTACTAAGTATTTGAAGATTATATACAGATCTTAAGTTTTAATCTCTACCTTGAAATTTTGGACGAGTGGCAAGTTCATAAAACGAATATAGTTTATTGGTATATATGCTGTTGAACAGATCACGATTTAAGTTAGCTTTGCTCTTTGTTGAGGTGTCGGTACACCACTACCCAGTGCAAGTCTGCAGGCCAAGTTAATACTTACAAATCAGTTTTTGGAGACATTCAAGTGGAGTCATTTTCAGTAATTCTCTCTTCCCTATTTTTGAAAACTAAAATTATCGAAATAAAATATTAAAATGTGCCGTTGACGCTGGACTGCGATTCAAAGTAGAGTTTTGTCAGGGCGTCCTTCCGCTGAAAAGTGACAGCAGGTTTATGTCCGCTTGTTAACTGAATGCCGGTCCGAGACCGTGACAAGCCGTATCGCTTTTATTGCACTTGACAGTTCAATGTAGCTGGCGATCAGCAATTAACCACCGAAACAAGAGGCAAATAAATTATATTGCACTTCTTTACGAGAACAAATCCAAGAAAATAAGTTAGTTTCTCCTTCTGGTTGATAACCTTGACCGTATCGGTCGCGCAGGAAAAAAATAAAACTTAGATCGTTGACCTGTGTTCACAAAGGAAAGTTGCTTGTTTTACCGCCAAAAAATTATTTAGCCCTCATCAATTTTTCAAAACTTGAAACAGGTGCCTGTGAACGCTTCATTTGACAAGCCATGAATAATTTCCTTTCCAAGTTCTGTCATTTGTATATGGACAAGAATGGGGCACCTGGCAGAGACAGTGGATAGAGAGAGAGAGCAGGGCAATAATTTATTGATATCGTCTTCTATTTTTCATATGTCCTTGCTTGTTAAACTTCCTTGAATAACAAGAAAGTTACAGAAAAAGCAACTCACGAAGGCGCTATATCCCGTTTTTTTATTTCGCCAGCTCAGTAATCAAGAATTAAAATTTATGGCAACCTTCGCTACGTTGGAGCGAGTAGTTCCAGCCGCGGAGAGTAAATCTCCTGCTCAAGTCCAAAAACCTTCTACTCCAACATCTTCAACGCAGCAAAATAAGTTTACCGCCGAGGATCTGTTCAATTACTTGTATGGCTATACACCCATCCGTCTTGTTGATCCCATACAACTACTTCGACGGCAAGTGGAAAATGGAGCGACCAACAAACACACGATGTCTTGCTTATAATTATTTTGATCTCGTGTAGAAGTTACAAATATATTGCTTGATACTAATTTCATCGTGGGTTGTGAAAATACTGCTTAAATAATAAGTAACAGAGTAGCCGAACTGCAGCTAGTGGATGTAGTGAGTTTAAGTTGAGATTCTGAGGTTGCACTTTGAAAGAAATTTAAATATTTACAATTTCCAGAACTTGTCGTTGACTGAGTGACTTTCCATGTCGTTAATGTTAATTATGAAACTGCGGTTTGGTTAGCAGCTTATGTGGCATTTCCTCTTTCCAGCGTAAAATATTACTACTTTCTGGCGGTTTTTACATGTAAGTGGTTTTAAACAAACAAGACATTAGCTTTTAACTCTTTGTGATTTTACTGTCTCCTAATTAATGAAAATAAACTCGCCATGCTTGAAGCTAAGAGAAAGACGAGTCAGGTGTTGGCAACTGTTTTTAACCGTTTCAAGGTAAAAAATGCGAGCAATATCTGAACTCTGACGAATCAAGAAGAAGTTATTTATAAAAAGTCAGTTACCACGTGCGGCCCTGGCTGATGCACATGCGCTATACGTCAATATCAGCCACCAAGAGAGAATGCTTATAAATCCTACAGATTTACCTGTTTTGAGCCTTTAACGAAGTATATCTGATTTTCGCCGTGTTTTGATTAAGTGCCGGGCAATCTCCTTTTGTACGGTAATCGATTCTTTCTTAATTTTAGCTAAAGTGATTTTCCGCGAATATAAACACATCTAAACTTTACCCTCTAATGAGCTTTATCGTAATACTTTCTCTAATTCCTGCCGGTTCCGCTGTCACTTTTTTACAATTCAATGTTCATCATTTTCATCGTGGAAAATCATATTCCTTTTAATTCCTTTGGTGCTGTAAAATAGCCCACGAGTGCAAGGAAAAAATTAAACCACATTGTTTCATTCAGTGAACATTGTTTCAAAGTCTTATTAAATATTTATTTTTTACAAAGTGTAAATTACACTAAAAACTTGTCAGTCAGTTAAGGAACTCTGAACGTGCCAAAATGATACTTTTTTTGTTGAAATCGACCAGAAGTAACCAAAGAGAACCCTAAAACCTAAGTAAATAAGAAAAATGCAATTCCTCTTTGCTACTTGAAGACCAAATAAATTTTTTGTTTCATGAATGACAAAATCATGTCAAATGTCCAAATTACCTTTCGTTCATAAGGAAAGAAGGTGTAGAACAAGAAATGATTATTTGTCCACTAAAAGTTGTTTCTCAATAACTTACAAGGCAAACAACCTGCTAAGATGGGCTGACATTTCCTGAAATAGAAAAATAACAAGTTCGAAAAACACCTACTGTCAACGGGTGCTTTAGGAATGCCGAGTTTCAAACATTTTCAAAGTCACGTTCTCCATTCGGATCGAAAAGGACTCAACTTTCAATACACCTCAGTAGGTTATAATTACTTTTACACATGGGTTTAAAGTAACTATGTTGTTTTTTCATGCAGATGAGGGCGAAGAAAAGAATTTTACCTCAAAAAGACAAGCAAACGTTTTCAATTTTTGTCAGGTGTTTGTTAAGCAAACTTAAGGCGCGGTTTTTGAGCGACGCACGCCAAGCGTGAGGTCTTGTGCCTTTCGATAAGCCTTGACGCTCTCAAATTTGTATTGCTAAGTGTCTTAACTCTTATAGAGAAGATTTCCTCTAGATTTGGTACAAACAAAAAATTGGCCTTTGCCTAACATCCTACTGGCTACCACTAAAAAGGACTGAAGTAGACCTTCGCCTTCTTCGAAAATTCACTTCAAACTACTACCAGCAGAAGGAGTAGTTCTTGCGGCAGAAACCTTAACCAAAGTATATCGGCATACACAATGACTTTCATACTTCTTGATCTCGTCGATTGTTCATGACTCGGCCGCTGTTGATATGACCAAAAAAATCATTATCATTATTATTTGCTTTTTAGGGTGCGATATTTGCAACGAGAAACACGATGGAGAATGTCCAATGCACGGTCCTTTACACTCTTTAAGAAAACTGGTAAACGCCGGCCAGTCCCACAGTCCTTTGGAAAACGGCTCTATTCTTAAATTCCCGGATGAGGTTTGCTTGTGCACTTCCAGTATTCCTTGCGTTAGTTACGGAGTGTGCGCCAGAAAACGGATTCCTGCGGGAACCTGGATCGGGCCATACGAGGGTAAACTGGTACGCCCAGAAGACATCAAAGTTGAAACCGAGACGGAATACATGTGGGAGGTAGGAACTTCGATTTTAAGTACATATAAAACACTATGCGTGAATAGCCTAGAATCAGCGCGTCTCGGCATAAACTATAAGGTCCAGGGTTGTGTCCAGAGAAAAACCGACGAAACGTTCTCTGCGAAGACCAACATAGAACGGATACCTCTATATTATGCAAAGCTCTCTTGATCCCAAAGTAAGTTAGACATGCAGTCCTTACGTCTATATATAAAACGGACACTTTTGTAACGCGATCACGTGGCGTTGTCGTTTTGGTGCGCGCTTGTATCAAGGAGATTTGACTGTGCTGCTTATTATCTCAGGTTTTCTGCGATCTATAGTCGCACTTGATCATAAGCAAGGTTGCCGAGCAACAATTAATGCGACACAAATGATAATTGCATCTACGAAACTCGAGTCAGTGGGTGTATGTCGGCTGGCTCCGAACCAATCAGAATCAGCGAAGTTCCCTCAGAGATCACACAGGGGCACCCAATGGATCTGTTCCTCAAAATATCTGTTCTTCAGGCACATTTTTGCTGGCTGGGAGATGTGGAAGAAATAATAGTCCTTGGAAGGAAAGTGTTGCTGGGAAAAAGATAATTCAGGGTGTCAGAGGAGATTTGAAGTCTAGAATAGCTGCTACGGGTTACTTGTATGGGTTACTTACCACTCAAGATCTGAATTGTGCCCTATGAAACTTCCCAGTAAGTCAGGTTGCAGGTTGTAAGGTTGCTGGCTGGGAACTCTTTCATCAGTCTTGCTGGGAGTGAGGAACAGATAATTTTTTTCCAGCAATCTCCCAAATTGCTTAAAATAGTCTCAGAAAACTTTATTCACGCTTTGTTGTTGTTTTTGGGTCTTTTTCTCAAAATTTCCCGTTGGGTGCCCCTGATCACAGCAAATTGTAACATTTTCTTTCCATCCCAGGTCTTCCACGATGGTCAAGTCAGTCATTACCTCGACGGAAAAGACGAAGCTAATTCCAGTTGGATGAGATTTGTTCGTTGCGCTCGGCACAAGAAAGAACAGAACATGGTGGTGTTCCAGTACCATGGCTGTGTATACTACAGGACAATCAGGGAGATCCTTCCGGGGCAAGAGCTACTTGTGTGGTACGATACCAGATACTCACAGTTTATGGGGGTGCCTGTGGCACTCAGTGACTCGGGAAGTAGAGGTAAGGATGTTCTCAGAAATGTTAAAAATATAGTTATTTGCTCCAAAATTTAATTTCATAATCATCTTCAACAAACTAAGTCATGATAAAAGATAAGCTCAGTAGGTAAACTAGTACTTAGACACACCACATATTTGATAAGACATTTACTTCGCCGTATCTATCAGTTTTATTTCACTCAAGATTAACGCAGGAAGAGCCTTTGCTTGGGCTTAAGACTTGGAGACAATCCTTTCTTTCTCTTTAATTAGCTTTCCTGCTATAAAATAAAGAATTTTATAAAGCAACAAATGTCAATTTTGTAATAGATTTGGATTAAAATTTTTCATTTCTCAAGCTGATCTGTCGACGTTTTTACTGAACCAACTGATTAAATGTTTTTTTTATATATACGAAAAGGTGTACATCCACCACGAGATCTCGTTGCACAAGAGAGGTCACGTGCAAGGGCTGAAAAAAACGAGTCATTTGAATCAGCGGTGCGAAGAAACTTCACAGATCATGCGCCAGCACAAAGGGGCCGCCCACCTTTGAGGAGGACTGAGTCTGAGCCAATCAAACCGGATAACGACCACGGAGTCTTAAGGGAGGACAGACGACCGACCTCGTATCGAGGAAGAGGATACGGATACAAACAACAAACGCGAACGTCTTCAAGATTTGATCCAGCAGATGACTTCACATGGAGATGTAATCAGTGTTTTAAGGCATTCACAAACCGCGAACAACTTGAGGTGCATCAGTGTAATGGTATAAGCAGCGGGAAGAATTTAACGTGCACTCAGTGCAGCCAGTCCTTTGCTCATCCATTTGAATACCGCAATCACATGGAAACACACGTCAATGAGAGACCTTTCCGGTGTGGCTACTGCGCAAGTGCATTCGCGAGCGCGGCCTTACTGAACCAGCACGTACGAGTCCATATGACAGAGGGGAGTCTGGGTATCTTGAAGCCTTCACCGCGACATGATAGAGCCGCCCAAGAATTCCACTTTTAAGAGAACGCTTACACTTAAAAACCGGCTGTAAATTAAGTACTAGAGAAGAATTCCTTTTGGTACAAAATAGCGACTGTTGGCTCGAAATGTTTTACCACCGGCTACAAATGATTCTCCAAAGCGATTGTTTAATTTTAGTAGTTCGATAAGAATTAACGTCCAATGAGCTTGCAGTTTTTAATGAAAAACATGCAGGTGATGCCAGACGTTCAGTGATGATTTTTACATGTAATAATTGACTTAGTTTTGCACCTCGACTCTTTAAATATCAGTGGCTCAGTGGCACGTATTATTTTTCTTAACAAAGACATGCAGTTCCAAAAAAATACAAACAAAAGAAAAACATTTTAACTAAGCGTACGTAGAATGAGTTTCAAGTGTAGAACCCTTTTCTAGTGACCATGATGCATGTCGGGACTCTTTCCTATCTAGATCGGACATGTCGTGTATTAAGAGAGCATTATTGATAACTCACATATTAAAAGCAACCCTAATAATAATAGTAATAATAATAATAATAATCCTCTCTTATGTGCATTCATTCATAGGTGGATTATCCCAGGGGCATCCCCTTTGGCTGTGATTTTTATACATTACGTTTTTTTTTAATTTTCCAAGTTTGTTGTGGCTATGGGCCGAGGCTGCATTCTTGCCCAAATTGTTTTGGATACTTAGTGTTTCTGAGATTCCTAAATCCGCTCCCAGCGTTTATCACTCTATAAATTACTTTTCATGTCTGAACCATCTCCTCTTCTGTCTTTTAACAGTATTACTTTCTCTTACGTAAAAAATGTGAAAATGGTAAAAACAGTATTAAAGTGCTTGAAAAGTAAAATAGACTGTGTTTTTTTCCCTGGCATGTTCTAGTCTTCACTTGATGAACTATAATACCGAAATTCTCTTAAGCAAACAAGATCGATATCTTTGAAATTAACACGATTGTAACTGATGAATGCCCTTTAACTGGCGTCCAATACAGCGTCCAATAGAATGGCTTCACGATCGAATGAAACAACCAAACGACTATCAGCTTGTAGTGTTTGCATAATCATGTACATCATTAGTACCTACATACGCCGCAAAGAGCTGAAAAGGACTCTGGGAACGTGTTCCATATTAATTCTTGAGTTTAGAAGTAATCGTGTGTGTTTGAGTGGACATCCGACCGCTAAATAGTACACAGCTCACAAAAAGAGCGACTATTTACAGTCTAACAAATTTTAAATGGCCAAAAGCCCGGCAGATAAGATCAACCACTGCACTACTGTTTTACTGCAAAATACTTGTATTAATTAATTCGTTTACAAAAATAACAGACCTTCAAACCAGGCCTTACACTTCTTCAAATCTCAGTGTGGACGCAAATAGGCAATGACCTTAGACACTCTCGTACGCTGCATACAACGACATGATACAACATGTATTCTAAAATAAATAACCCGACAAAATCAAGTTCTTCTACGAACATTTTCGACCCCAGAGCTTTCGGTTTTTTAGGCCATGAAGAGCCGCGAAGGTTATGGAAGAAACCTGCACATGCGCGCGTAGCCTTACTTTCCGTCTCAGCCAAGATACGCAATACAACTCTGACGTCGAGAATGTTTTGAAGCAGCGATCCGCGCCTGCACTATTGACCTCTTACGCTGTCCATTAAATATTCAAAACAAAACATCCAACTGTATGAAAACTATTGAGAAGAACTTCCCGTTTTTTACGATTTTCTAGAACTATTTTGCACTAAAATCGTAGAAAAGTAATATATTCTAATGCCTTTTATTCTCGCAGTTTATGGAATCACCAAATGTGCTAAGACTGAAGGCAAAACTTAGTTTACTTCAGTATTCAATGAGTATTAAAGTTTCTTATAAAGATTCGACACGTCTCTCACAGGAACATTACAAAAAGATCAAGGGTAACATTCAAAACAATATGCTATGCAAAACTTCATGGAATGTTTCTTTTCTCGAAACCACAGTGATACACAAAATTGGCTTTATTCGAAACAATGCGAACTAAAAGGCATTTCCGCTAATAAAATAATTACAATGTGCGTCGGTGATTTCTCCGTCTTATTTTCTTTACCATCTATAACAGTCTACTCTCTCTTAACGGACACCTCTAAAGACGGACACCTCAGTTAAACGGACACCTAGAGTTGGTCCTTGCCTTTCTTTACTACCTTTATTTGACTCTCTGTAAGACGGAAATCTCTCTAAGACGGACACATACTGCAGGTCCCCAAGTTGTCCGTCGCAGAAAGAGTTGAATGTATTACCCTTATTAAATCTAAACAACACCAACCATATTTTTTTTTCGCTAAAGCGAAAGATAAAGACGAAAAGTAATTTATTTAAAGAAACCTAGCTCTGAATTACAGCAATATTCACTTGAGTATTGCCCAATAAAAGGAATTACCTCGACCAATCAGGATGCCCACAGACAATTGAACGAACCAAACAGATTTCGAAGCCAGCGCCAATGGCGGGAAAATCCGAGTCAGCAAGTCACAATTGGTTTTTGATTGGCTAACAAAGTAGTCAAAGTAGTAGTTTGATTGGTCACTGATTGGCTGACAAAGTAGGCCATTTCCGAGTTTCCAAAACTCTCGCTTTCAAAGTGACACCAAGTTTTAAATCTTTCGTTTAAAAACGAGTTTCATTTGCATGACAACTCAGTTAATTTTTTTTTGTAAAGACTTCGCACTTACAGTTTTCTTGAAGAGGCATGGGAACATGGCAATGGCCTATTAACGCCATCATAATGTTAGTTTCGACACTCAACTGACCCTAATCTAACCAAGTCATTACCGACAACGATTCACAAAAAAAAAAAAAACAGAAAAACACGCGGTTCACAGCCGTTACATTACCAAGTAGAAAAAATTAATTAATAGTTTCCTGTAAGAAAATTAGTTATCAAAACATTACTGAGGTTTATTTTCGTAGCAGTAAATAGTTTCCATGTTGTTTGCTGGGGAGTTAAGAATTCCCTCTAGATCTTTATCTTGAAGGGCAGAAAGCTGGCCATTTCTCATACACCTAGAATAATAAATAGGAAAAATAAAATTTCCTGCTGACGCGATTTACACCTTAAATACTTCCACCACCATACGGCACTTTAGGGCTTAAAACCCGATAAGAGTTAGCCCCGAGAAAACAGCCAACAATTTGCGACACCATCACTGGATTCTCCGCGAAATGTCGTCTGAGCAACGGGCGCAGAAATTCCAACCTGATGACGCGTTGCTACCCAGATCTGGGAAGTGCTCCTGATTGGTTGAGGCAAATTTCCCACGCGGCACGACCAATCAGCAGCACTACCCAGATCTGGGTAGTGACAAGTCATCAGTATTGAATTTCTGCGCACGGCAAAACAAGAGGTGGCTTCGCGAAATGTTTGCTAGGCCTTTTGCTGTTTTTAGCTCAGGCTAGATAAGAGTTTCAGTCACAGCATAATAATGTCAAGATATATAGAACGAGTAACTGCTAAAATTGTACACTTCAGTTCCTTTTAATTGCAAGGGGGAAAGTGGGTTAATCAAAAATAGAAATCGCCTTACCACAATGCAAACGAATCCTCAGAAAGCCGAAAAGTACTGGCCGCGGCACGAACCAAGTCTTGGGTAGAAGCCGCTTCATCAACTTTAATGGAGCGTGTAAGAACCAACTGAACGGTCACGGTGGCGTCACGGCCCTTGCGAAACTGCACTGGTTCGGATATTTTACGACGTGGAAGCGGACTCTTTTTAGGAGCAGGAGGTAACGGCTTATCAGGGGGGGTTAACCCAACAGACGAGCGTTTCTCTGTAACAGGGCTACCTGGTGGAGCGCTAACAACCCGCCTTCGAGTCAACGGTGACCGAGATTCACTACCCGGCACTGGAGACTCTCTCAGTTTGTGCTGGGACCGAGGCGAAGGTGGTGGACGACGAGGGCTACTTGGTCTTTCAGGGAGGACCGGCAGGGGCCTGTTTGGGGGCTCTAGGGGGGTAGGGACGGGCTTGTTTGGCGGCTCTGGCGGAGTGGAGACACGTTTGAGAGATTTGCGAGTGTTACCGTCACGTAAAGCGGTCATCAAAGCCCTTCTACCTGTCGCCTAAGAACAACACGAAGACGATTACCTTTTGTGAGCAATAGAGAAGTATAGTGTAACAAGACACAATTAAACATCTCACTCAAAGTAATGATGGAGCCAATGTGCTATCTCTTAGACTCGTTAGGAAGGATACGGCTCGTTTTATATATAAAATCCCGCATATCAATACCCTTACAACATCTACAGGGTAGCAAAGGGGTTTTCCGTGACGCGTGATGGGTCACAAATTATCAGAGTGATGCCTGATAGGGCCCAAATTCGCCGCGTGAGGCGTGATTAGGCGTAGCGGCCTCATGCGTGATTTACTATTTTCACAATGCGTGACGCGTGATTTTCCTTTGAAGTTTCCGTGATGGTTAATATCATTTAAACCTTGTAGCAGAGAGATTAAAAATAGATAGCACCAACCCTTGCCTTTTTTTCTCGTTCCTCCACCTCTGATTTTGTCAGATCAACTGATAATAGCATACTTGTAAATGTTAATGTAGTTAATTTTTAATTTCATTTTTCCGTGATGCGTCATAGCTTTAAAAAATTGGCGTGATGCGTGATAGATACCCCCACCCCCCACCCCTTTGCCACCCTGTATCTACTTTCCCGGTCGTCCAATCTAGTTTTACTCACGAGCGGGAATAGGGGGGGGGGAAGCACTCTTGTATTTGGCCAAGACAGGTATGTGCTTCTGAACAGGGCATGGTTTTCAGGTTCTTGAGTCTTAAAAAGTTATACAATTTCACTGTTTAAAGGCTTGAAATGAGCGAACTACAGACGTATTTCCGGTCGTCGCTTCTCTCCCTCCAGAAATACGTCTGCAGTTCGCAGGTTAGGCGGCACACCCCTACCCGAACTTACCTTGAGTGCCCCCCCCGGGGGTTTCACTTACGAAGCACAGGCAGATTAAACAAAACATGTAATTCAAACCGCCGTAGGGTTAGCTCCTTTGATCAAGGGCTGGCCTGAAGAGCAAAGGTTACGAGTTCAATCCCCGAGACTGCATCAATTTTTACTTCCGGTATTGACGTAACTGAAAAGAAGGTACTGTCTTTGCCCTGCAAACAGCTCACACTTTATTTCGCCAGGGAGCACAAAGAAGAGGCTATTCCCTCTCCAAAAGTAAATGCAAAATCAGTGTACACACGCGATAATTTGCAAACTTACTTTTCCATCTGCCGTTGGAGATTGTTCTTCCATAGGTTGTTCATCTTCAGTTTTTCTGGGGGAAGACGGGGAGGCAGGGGGCTGAAGAAAGGAAATAAAATCAAAATTACTCGACAGTTAATTGATAAAAATGTGTCGCTTAAAATAGTTCGTATTGTTTTTCTTTTGGGGGTGTCTGCATCATAAGAACAAACAAAAATTTAAAAGCACAGTTTCCCCTACTACTAAATAAACTCGACAAGACACTAGGAAGTTGGGACAATTACCCGAGCGCTGTGCAAAAATTTATCATGCATGATGTTAGCCTCCCCGCAGACGTCCTTTGGGGCTCGTTTGTCACGCATTCATGTGTGCATTAATCTGTTGCGTGACAGTACTTACCTTGGTCCTTGTTTCAGGAAACTTAGAAGGTTCATGGGCAGCAACAACCTGAAAGAACAAGAAAATAAATATACCTCTCATTGCTCTTCTTTTTCTTCTTTTTTTCTTCTTACTCTTTCACCGGGGGTACTCTAAGAACTTTTATACAGGGACGGTCCAACCCCTTACCCTATTATACATGTATATCATTACATGTACCCCTTTTGTAAACCCCCTACTGATAAACGGTACCCATTTCACATAGTTACCTAGTTTAGAACTTTGCATTCGCTATAACTGCTGTAAATGCACCTTCTTTTTTTTCTTACTAAATCAGGAAGTTTTTTTCTCTCTTTCACAGCCATAAAATGCATCTGTTAGCCCTTCTGGGCCTTTTTACCAACCAAAATGACAGATTTCTCTTCCTTTTTGTACACTGCAACACAAATCCCTACCCTTTCATACTGACCAGAAGGCTGAAAAAGGCACCTCTTTCAGGCGGAGTTTCCCCATAAAGGGCATTATAGGGAGTACCCCTCAGGATCCCCTAGCCTGCCACACCTTAATCTAAATCTAATAAATAGAACAAGGTTATACTAAAAAACTAAAAGGTGTCAGCTTGTTTCTCCAACTTACACCTGTACCTTTGATTTTCCTAAGAAATTGGGATTATCTTTGATGGCTTCAACTTGTTTTCTTGGTGGCTGAAAGACTGCATGTGACGGCACCTGTAAAGGTTCTACATTCTCTCCAGCCTGTTCATGACAAAAAAGAACCAGGAGTAAGTATAACTTTTACACTAAAATATTTTTTTCCCAGTATTTTACAAAGACATCCTGGAGTGTGACCTAACCTCATTCCCAGTGTCCTCTCCTACTCGGTTCCATTTTTCTCTCTCACTCCAGGGGCTGAGGAGGAGTGGGTTGGGGTGTAACCATTCAAATGAAGACTCTCTTTAAAGGTACTTTTAAAGGTACTTATTAAAAATAAAACATTAAAAAAAGGTACTTTTGCACAGTAGAATTTTATTTTTTGGGATCTTGGAAATGAAATTGAGATTTTTTTGGAATTAAATTGGACCTGTTTGTAGCCACTACTAAGAAGTGTAAAGGGGTCAAATTGGAAATTTGATCTTGTTTTTAAGCCGAGTGATCCTTTCTACCCCTATATTCTTTGCTTCTCTTTATTCGCACCTGCAAAATTCCTTTCAAGCACCTTTGTTTAAAGCTACAATTTTACAGTTTCTTAAACAATTTTAAAAAATGTCTACAGTGTACCTGCCAACACAGAAGAGAATCTTCAATAATACAATGCCGTGCCTCCACCTTAGACTGTAGTGCATTTAAAAAATCATCTCTGGCTTCCTGGATGTGACCTAGCCTGGCATGTGAGATGGCTCTGTTGGCCAAAATCTGTCAACAAAAAGGTTTCATGCAAGGGCTTAAAGTGTTCAACTAGGACAAAAATATCAAACTTCATCACAAAGTTTTGGAGATGTTGACATCATTTCTATCAGGAGCCCATCAAATGGGCTCCTGTTTCTATAAGTATGGACAATGGAAAATTGTTGTCTATTTGCTTATTACAAGAACAATGAAAGTTTTTAATGTCCATTTCTAATCAAGTTTCCTACAAAACTGCACGTGAGAAACAGAAAAAAACAAATTGCAAATCATTTACTTTCTATAGTCTACAAGACTGTACATTCTTACAGACCATAGCTCTAAACAATTAAGCAGACAAGAAATCGCTTAGTTATCGTAACTTTTTTTTGACCTCCTAAGACTTCTTAAACACTCGTTAAGAGAAGCAAGGAAAATTGCTATCATGAGGAAAGTATTGAGTCATTTTCTCACAAATATGTAAGAAGCTGAAGCTGTAAAAACCAAAAGATGAAAGATCTTGAAAACAAGTTGCCTGACAGTATAAAGTACATTCATTCCAAGGGACAACTGTGTTTACTTTACCTCACACAAGTATAGTTTGTATTTCAACCCCAGTTGCTGGTAATTAATCAGTTTGTTACCACGAAGATAGAAATTAGCATTATTGAAGCTCTCCAATGCATCTTCATTCCTGGACATAACAGGAAAAAGTAAGTCACACAAAATAGCAAGTCATGTATAATCACTTAGAGGTACAATATTATTATTAAAAGATATTGTGGTTCAATTGTCATGGAATAAGTGAAACTGCTTTTCTTTGTAACAAAAAATTGAGAATATGCCAAAATCAGAGCTCATAATGAGCCTGCATCTACAGAGATTCCATGGTACTGTATGAAGCAATGGGACTAGTACATGTTAACCTGCACACATAAAAGGCTTTGATTCTCCTCAAATGCTTTCACAGCAAGGTATGGCTTCTATGCTTGAAAATTAACTCAACCACATATAATCATAATCATAAGCATTTGATCTGACCAAATAACAGAGTGATCTCTGATAAAGAACACATTCCCCTATGAAATAACTTCATGATTTGCTTGTAAAACAAAGGCTGGATTTTACATGAGCCCAAGGCTACTCAGGACCTTTTCCCTGCAGGCCCTTAGTCATGAAAATATAAAGGGCCCTAAAATGAACAAGCTGGAGAACAACTTGTATGGCCAGAAAAGTAGCACAAATCAGGGGGGGCTAGAAAAACAGTGTGATGGGCCTTCAGTGTTGTAGAGATATGATGGTGATGATTGATGATGATGATAATCTCTAAAAAACAGCAGATCAGAGCACTGCCAAATAAATTACCTGTTCAAAGCTAGACTGACATTCCCCAGCATAAAATGACCAACTGCGAGCATCTTGTCCTTATCCACTGACTCTTCAAATGCCTGGAATTTATTACAAAATTCACAGAGATTAAAATAGAAAATATAATGTTTCAACATATTGCTTCCACATTTCATTTCAAAATGTATTGGAAAAAGTTGCTATTTCAAACAACGACAACAACAAGAATAATCTTTATTTTCCTTATAATCAAGTTTTACAAAAGTGCATTGGCCCGTAGGTAGCCAGAGCTAATCTTGGGTGGCCAGTCCAGAGCTGGACTTTCAGAAAAAAGTCTTGGGGCCAGCTGCCCCCAAGTTTTCATTTTCGGTCACCAGAACTGGTATCACTAGTTGCCAAAAATTATATTTAAGAATTAATGGAATACAATAAACTTAACATTTTTTACTTAGCCTTAACAGAAAAAGAATGCTTTAGCACTTCCTTTTGAACATTCTTTCAAAAGGTTTTCACTCAAGGCTCCATTACCAGCCGGTGTTCAGGAAAATGAGCCCGCACTCAAGCGCAAGTCTCCTCAAACAGGTATTCAAGCTTAAGGTTCAGGAAAAGGAATACACATTAAGATAAAAAAACTTTAGGAATCGCAAAATAACTTATTTAGGTTATTAAAGAACAAAATTTGCAGACATTTGTTTTGCGTCCCATGTATTTGCAATTTTGTTCAGAAATGAACATCGGTGAAATGTAATCTATTTTGTTGCCTGGCACATCATCGAAAGTGACTCCAGATGGAGGAAATTTTGCTAATGTTTTCGGGCAAAGAAGTTGATTTCGAAGTCTGTTCAACAAACAGAATGACTTCAACAGTACTTCATTGGAAGTCAATAAAATACGACTGCATAGAGCCTTTATTTGGGTCGTCATGCTCAACAGAAATTTGCATAATGTTGTATACAAGAAGCTCGAGAAATAAGCACCGTTTGTTCTCGATTAGCTTAAACTTTTATCATTGTTCGACATAAAGAAATTGTTTTTAATCGATGCACTAGAAGTCATTTCTGGAGAAACATTGGATGACCTGTTGAGAATTTTTGCGATCGATTTGCCAGAAAGTTGATGAGACTACTAGTGATCTTCACAAGCCTCTTTCAAGTAAAAGTTAAACGTTAGATGGACTAACGGTTAGATCATAAGATCAATCCATTAGAGTATTAGAAGAGATCGTTGAAGCGTTTAGACAAATCGTTAGAGGGTTTGGACAAACTGTTAGAGCGTTTGGGCAAAACGCTAGAGAGTTAGAAAAACCCTAAGCTATCTGTTAGTTTTGTAAAGGATAACAGATTATCATTAGTGTACGTTTTCCCAGAGAAGAAAGTCACCTATGTTGGGCGTCAGGTTGGTGACCAGGCATGAAAATTTAGTCGCCACGGAGTAAAAGCTGGTCACATTGGCCACAGGTCGCAATGTTGAGCCCTGCAGTCCAAATCAGACAACACACATAAAATAAGTAGGTTGAGCATGATCATCCAGGTGAACATAGGCCTGAATAGGACTGTTGTTGACATTGAATTTCAGACAATCACCAATCCTCATATATTCATGTCAACGTTCCCACTATGCAAAACATGCAATATAAATGGGTACCGGTGAAGATCTTACTTAAACAAGACAGCAGGGCAAAACAAAATTACAGATACTGATATGGAAGTATCTAAGACAGTCCTGGTCTAGAAGCTTACAAATGCAGATCACAGATATAAAAATGCAAAATAAACATGTTGGAATTTACTACCTATTTTCCTTTTTTTTTTTATTTCAAAGTTTGACAGCTTTTAAGTAAATTTTTCAAATGTTTCTGTGGGAAGACCCTGTTTTAGTTTTACAGAAAAAACGTTCTTGTTTATTGATCTGTTTATTCCTACATTATATATGCATTTTTTAACATAACATGTTATGTTATATTGATTTTAATCATTATCTTCTTGTTTATTATATATTTATTTGTTTCTTAAGTGCGGGTAGGCTTAATCCCTCCTCCTTCGCAAATAAACAGTCATGCCACAACAAAAATGAATATGAAAAGTTTTCAAAACTTTCCATTCATTCTTGCACTTTGTTTGCAGTTCCAAGGGAGTAAATAAAACCCCTCAGGCTACAAAGATATAAGCTTAACTTTTTAAACGGAGACTCTATTGAAATCAAAATATCGTGACATGATTAAAGGTTCTATTAAAAGGTTCTACCAAAAAGTCACGAAATGACTGTCACAGATAGTTCAATACCTTTGCCGCCCTGTCAAGGTTTCCAAGCGCGCGGTACGTCTGACCAATGTTGAAAAGATTTCTTCCTGAAGTGATTAAAGTTTGCGACGAGTCAGTTCTTCCCTCTAACGCAATAAAATTCATTAGAGCGTCCTGAAAATTTCCTTTTTCCATAAGAGAAACACCTTCGTGCCAAGTTTTCAAAATCTCTACCATGGACATGTCCGCCATATTGAATCCAAGCGAGTTCACCCTTGTAGAAAAAGAGATCTTTCAAGGTAGCCGGCAATCGGAGAAACGAAAATTATTCACAGGAACCAGCCGAGAATGGAAAACTCGCTTGATTTACATGCGCAATTGACCCGGAAAGTGCAAGAATGGACCGAGAGTACCAATATAAGAATTTTCAATTATGATGATGTGCAATACCGCTGAAATAAAACCGCAAGGACTCGAAATGTTGTCATAGTAACGTATACTGTGACATTCCGCCATCTTGAATTTAGCGGAACGTACATTTACCTGAGAGCAGAAGCTCTCTTCATACAAAATGGAATACACGGGAAGCAGTCACGAGGGAGATTTAAAAAATGGACGGTAAGAAGAGCATTCAGTTTGAGTTAATCACATGCACAGTTTTGATTATTGCATCGTCTGTTTTCGTCGTTAATAGAATGGAAGGACAAGCCGAGTACCACTTGCCACCTTCGCTAGAGACAAAATATGTCGGCAAAATGAAAGATGGAATGTAAGCAAATGCATTTTGTTGCTTGATGTATAGAAATTATGTGTTATGTCGGAAATAGACAGAAAATAATGGTATCATATTTTGAGCGACATGTACGATCTTTTGTAGCTGCAAGGTTAATTTCTCTTTAAGCTAACCGAAGCTTCAAAATATGCAGCTTATAGATAAATATAGTTGTTCTTGATCTCATTGTCGGGGGAATCCCAATTAGAGCTAGAGGAAGCTGTAGGAGTCAATTAGAATGGACTGACGTTAAAGGATTGGTAACAGTGACGTTATAAATTGTGTCTGTTTGACGTCATTTGATCATTAGTGCGTGATTTAATGCACGAGTCCAAAAGTAACCTGAGGATGTTTTTATAAAGAGACACAATTAACCAATATTTTCCCTTTGGGGTGATGATTTTTTATGGGTTATCAATATTGAAAAATAATTTTAACACCTACACATGAAAGTCCATCTCTTGTTTGACAAACTGACAACATGTCATTTGGTTATATTATTCTCCCTGAAGTGATGAGAAAATGGAAGTTAAAGGCACTTGACTTGACCCAGTATATATATTTGTGAATAAAATCCATTCAAGTCAAACCAGAATTTTCATTATCTCTTGCAAAGAGTATTTAGGGGTGGGAAACAAAGAGAATTCTGAATCAAACCAGGCTGAATACACTCTTAACCTGAAAACAGATTTATCTTCAACATATTGATAGTTACAGTGAGCATCAGTAGATTTGAATCCCTTTTTGTCTCAAAGTAGCTCATAGCCTATAATGAACCCTTGTAAAATTATAAAACAAGCAGCGATTTAAATTAATATACCCTAGTCTTTCAGCTGGTATTGTGGAGAAAGGTCAGATCTCACCTCATTGAATTCAATATTTAGGTACAAATCATCTAACTGTCATTCAGTTATCAAGAGCCTATTTTAAGCTTTATTGTCAGTTCCATAAGCATAAGAGTTGTTGTAATAAAAATAAAGCAGATACATGATCCTCTTTATACTTACCACAATAGTATTTTTAATTGTCATTTCTAAAAACTCATTGAAGGTTTCATGGTGAAGGAACATTATTCTTCTCAAATGGAAGCAAGTATGTTGGGAAATGGGAAAAAGGACTGGCAGTAGAGGTAAATAATTTAACTCCTAAAATGCTGAAAAATCTCTGACTGTCTTAGTAACTTGCTTTACCATCACTTGCTGTGTGTTTGGTACATTGTAGATTAAACATGCAGATACATGTTTCTCGATTAAAGACTGTCTGGTTGGTTAACAGTTCAACACAAATAAATCAAAAGACAAGAAAATCACCTTTTTTTTCCACTGTCACAGTCTTGTAGGGCTTATATTATCTCTTTTAAAGGGTGAGATCAAAAGATGATTTATTGGGGAAAGCGTTGTAATGGGAGGCTGTAAAATATAATTATCCATATTTCTGATCCCAGTCTCCATGTCTCACATACAATGTATAATTTTCTTTCACTTTTGCAGGGAAAATACACATTTGCAGATGGTTTAGAGTATGATGCAGAGGACTGGGAATATTGTGATGGTTATGACAGGCGATTCTATACTGAGATATGTCATGGACTTAAGCCTGCAGGTACAGTTTATGATCCTTTTTACACACCATAATTAATAGTCTGAGTTTCATAACTTTAAACAGAATTGATATAAGATAGGGCAGCTGTTTTGCCTGAGTCACTGGATTGATTACAGTATATTATATCCCAAGTACTTTATATGGACTTTTAAAAATCCCAGATGTAGTTATGAATTTACTTGGAAAGTCAGCTGCCAGACCACGTGATGATTTTGACCATTTTTCTCCAGCCTGCGCAAATGTCTGAATTGTCGATCCTAATATTCAGCGACCTTGTTAATATGACCACTGTGACAATATGGCCAACAAAAGAAACAAACAATGCTGAATCAGTTTCTTGAAATAAACTTGTCTTTTTCTGCAGGTCGCTCTCAACTCACAAACCGTATTCCTCCTCGTGAGATTCCTGAAGGTTGTTATGACTGTGGCGATGGCTTCTATAATCCTGTTTCCAGAGTTATTGTTGATTATGAGCACAAATTCCTCAGAAATGCAGGTACATGTGCAAAACAAAAATAAAAATTTTTATCTTTAGTTAGGACCATACCCTAAAGTGTAGAAATATTTTAGTGGCCAAGTGTTCAGTTTATAGTGAGTAGATGCTGCTGACAGCTTGCTCTTGGCACATTTTATTGGCACTGCAATTCTGGGGGAACCCAAGCACTAGAATTTGTAAATTATAATACAGTAAGTAGAGCAAGGCATAACTATACAATGTTAGTGCAAAACGGATGAGTCACAAAGGGCAAAAAAGCTTTTGTGAGAAACAGTCTGGTTCTCCCTTCTTACCAAATTTTGTACTTTCATCCTAATACCCACCCTCCCTCCCGAACTTTCATCTATCTTTTTTTGCTTCTTAAAGTATCAAGAAGGCTCTAAGGCTTTGGATACATATAATATACTACAAAAGTGAATTTTGTTCCTTGGGGTGGGGTTGGCTAAATTACCATTTACAGGAGAACTATAAAACTTGAAATTGGTCATAAAAAGGTGTAGGAATCGTAATTTTTGTTGCCATGGCAGATGATGTGTAGAATAGAGTTGCAATATGCATGTGAATATGGTGAGGTGTAGGCTAAGGGTTTTTTGGTCTCAGCAGTACATGCCCAGCACCTAAACCTTATAAAGTTTCCCAGTTGTTATTGCCCTGTTCTAGTTAATGTTATTACTCAGTTGTAATTTATTTGCTCATTGTTAGATGATGATGAACATGAATGGATTTTGAAAACATGCAGGAAGGGCTGGGATGAGAATGTTGGTTACAGGCCAGACATCATCAGATAAAAGTAAATGTCTTCACCACAGGAATACCAACTGATCATAGGAATTCCTGCTTCACTGCAGCACCTCACATACCTAGTAAGGGCTGTCCGTGGGATAGGCTGATACTGGTAGCTGGTGGAAAATCTGATGTTTACCTGACTGAGATCATCAATGAAAGCATTTCTGAGCAGTATTACAAAGAACAGTGGAATATTTTAGAGTTAATCAGACTGTTAGTGGCCATTACTTTTTCCATCTAACTTAGCTGCATTGTCAGGTATTTCACGTAACTGAATGTACAAACCAGGAGAGCCATTTTCCTAAGGAACTGGAGTTTTTTTGCGCTATGGGCAATGACTGAAATGAGTCATGTTAGACCCAGTCAGCGTGTCTCATTGACAGACGTCAATCATGTTTCCTTAATTGTCTCAGGTGGTAACCAAAGACCCTGTGCACAGTCATACAAGTATCGAAAAATTTAAAAATCTCAGAATCACTTCAACTGTTCATTGTAAATTGTACATGTTGTCTGGTCCCAGGAAAATGCCAGTCCTGACAAAAGTTTTTTGGTCAGAGAAGGAATTGACACTCATTTAGATGAACAAGTGCTTTACTTTCTGCACAGTCCATAAACAATGTAATGTAAAGGATACATTCTATTTTAAAGTTTGTACGGTAACTATAGCTCGTGACGAGTATAGTGGTGAACTGTGTACATATGTATTGTAAATATAATTACTGTGTACTGAATGCAGGGTTGTCATTAAGAGCCGGGGGCCGAGGATTTTCTCCGGCTACTAAGAGAGTGGCCCCTGGCTACTTTTATTGGAAAATAGAAGAAAAATAGAACCAAAAGAAATCCCCAGCCGTTTGATTCCCCGCCTACTTGTTGTTTTTACCCGGCAACTTGAAATCTTAGTAACAACCCTGCTGAATGTATATAGTTTTTGTTTTACTTCTAACGGTTCTGTACTGAAACAAGATTTCAGTCTTTTTTTGATACAGTGAAACCTGTATTAAGTGGACAACCTCGGGGAATGCTGTAGTGTCTGCATAATACAGGGTGTCCACCTAATAAAGGTTTCGATAGATAACGTCATATGAGGTGTCAAATGTCATTCAAATAAACTGTGGAAATATTTAGAATACTCCCAGAGACTATGACGATTTACGTTTGCATTAATTTCTTTATTTAAGTGGACCAATTGATCAAAGTACCATAAACATAGATTGCAACTCAAATTTGAAGAAATCAGATGAGTGAAACAAGCTCCATACAAACAAAACAAAACAGAAAACAATACGGTACTGTGAAACTAATCAAATAAGTTCGTCAAGTCACGTTAATTTTAATGCAAAAATTTAAAAATTTGTAGGTGGCAGTCTTTCGCATTTCTGGTGTCTGGCATGTTGGGTGGTGGAATTTAATTACAAGTGTCCGTTTAATACAGGTTGGAAACAATAGAAATGACCATTTCAGGTACTTTTGTAGATGTCTGCGTCCGCTTAATAGAGGTGTCCACTTAATAAAGGTTTCATTTAAAGTAAATATTAGGGAAATCAATTTGGGGACTTGGCTACTGTCCGCTTAATAGAGGGTGTCCGCTTAATACAGTGTCCGCTTAATACAGGTTTCACTGTACATCCTTGTGCTTGTGTATGTGCAGAATTGCAAGAGAGCTCACTCCCTCGTCTGTTATGGTCCTTCGTAAAGGAGTTTGCAGTATCTTCATACCGCAAAAGCTAGCTCAGCTGTGCATGTCGAGATAGGATAAGTCAACAAAGTTATGAGAGCGACAATATACTCCGGGATAGAAACTGTAGTTGGCTTGGTCAAAAGTCTCAACCAAGGTCTTTGGCTTCACATTCGGATCCATTTCACTCCACTTAATCAGTAAAAGGATAAAGGAAATCCTCACACAAAACACCAAAATAATGCAAAATATTTATCCTAGTTTAATGGTAAAAATGTTTTCAGCAAATAAAAAAAATCTATATATTTCGCGGAAAAACCGGAGCAACTAAGTAACGATCAAAAGCTTTCGTTTGCCATTCATCTCAGTGTATTTCCCCTTTTTGTCTCTAAATTTATACTCTAAAGTAGCGACATTTTGGCTCCTGGAGATAAAGATTTCATAGTAAAGAGTGAAATGTCAATAATTTTAAATAAGTATGACGTCAGTAATAATAACAAGAGCAAGGTATGTTTCTTGGAAACCCTCTCTTGATAATAGATATGGTAAACTAATATTTGTTCACGGACAGCCGGTCGTCTACAAAGATTTGCTCTTTTCACTTTAATTTGGTTTGCTTTGAGACTTAGAAAACATGGCGGGTTTGCTGACAGGTAAGATGACTAAAGTGGAGCTTTGATATATTTTTTTCCTAAGATGTTTTGGAGAAAAGGCTGGTCCACGATGTGTTATAGAGCTTTTCGGGAAGTACTGTTGAACCTCTCAAGGACGGCCGTCGTGGGGACAGAAGCAAGTGGCCATTGTAGAAAGGTGGTCGTTAAAGAGAGGTTGAGGAAGAGTGAATGTATGGACTGTCCGCCAAAAAAATGGCCGTTGTAGAGAGCTCGAGGTGTCCGTTTGTGGAGGTTCGACTGCAAGAAATGGACTCAAAGGTCTGTCACGCAAGTGCGATACCTCCTTCCACGGCCTGATAAAGAGCTGGTGAACGTTGGGCAGGGGTGAGCCCCGGGGGGGGGTACTCCCATACATTACCTATACGGGTATGTGCCGCCCAAAGGGGTCGTGATTTTGAAGCTCCTGATTTAGAACGGGGTATCCATTTCAGAGGCGTTTTCTAGAACGGGGTATAATATTTCGAACGCACGAAAGCTCCACTTTTGTAAGCAGCCACTGAAAGTAGTCAAGGACAGATTGCTTTTAAAAATACGGTTCAATGCGTTAACAAGCAAACCGTTGTACTCTTGTAGCACCCTAGAACGGAGTATAAAAAATTGGCCCATTTCTAGAACGGGGTATCAGTTTTACGGCGAATTCTAGAACGGGGTATAAAAAATTGGCCCATTTCTAGAACGGGGTATCAATTTAAGGGGAAATTTTTTCTAGAACGGGGTGCCATTTTGGAGTCCCGGGAGGCACATACCCACCCAAAAAATACCCAAGTGCCCCCCCCCCCCGGGGGGTGAGCCAACCACCGAGGTCGCTGACTCGGCTGTGTAACTCAAGATCTCTCCTAGATTCGGCGAGAACCCCAGTGATGGATCCGAAATGGAGTAGAGAGTTAGAGGGAAAGTGAAACTGAAGTAACAGTCGCCTGAACGAGGCGTTTCTCAGAAATGGGTATCAGATGGCGTGACTCAACTTTGGGTGTCGTGACCTGTGAGTGCTCTTGAAGACGATCGTCACCAGTCACTCGCGTTTCGCGCTCGCCTCTGCGGCTCGGCTTGGAAAACGAAGCGCCTGAGGAGGAAGCTTGGGATATTTCGTTACCGAATGTAGATTCCAAAACAAATTCCGTGTACAGTCCAGTATATCGTAGGCGTCACCCCCATAAAGTGTTTCGTTTTCCATCGCCTACACAACCCATTTTTGGAAATGAAAACTGAAAAAGCCCCCAAAACAGCAAGAATTTCTCTTATTCAAAATACACTGAAGCGGTATGAGTTTAACCTACGTCATAAAGGGGCATTCATTAATAAATGTATTAATTGCGAGTGAGCGTTGTTTTGAATTCTTGACTTGCTGGTATTTAAACTTTCATGTGACTTATTTTTTATGTCCCAGTTAAACACACTGAACAACCTAATCCCGAACCAGGGATTTGTTTTGCCCGTTTCGCGTTTTGCCCGAGACCCACGTTTTCCATAGAGGTGGCGATGGGAGCGAAACACTTTATGATGTCTGTGATCCTTTATGTTGAAGAACAAGATTCAGATCTCCAGATGAGGAAAATGTTAACGCAAGCGGAGAACTGAGGTCTTTGATCGGCGATGAACGCCTAATTTAGAGTAGTAGGTTAGCATTGAATTATGAAGTTCAAAATCTTTTAAGTGACCAGTAATCACACTAAGTTGCTGCCTTATTCTTTCTTTTTTTACAAGGACTGAAAAACCTACTTTTTGGCAAAGAGAGACCTTTCCTAGCGACCGTTGGAATCGATTTGGGGACAACTCACAGTGGATTCGCATTTTCTTTCAACAATAATGAAGGTGAAGACACAATTTTCTTAAACCCAGAATGGAAGAGTGACCTGGGTTATCAAACAAGCAAGACGCCTTCATGCCTTCTGCTAAAACCTGATCTGACATTTGACTCGTTTGGGTATAAAGCCGCAGAAAGATACGCATACGTGAAAGATGTGTTCAATACATGGAAAAAATTCCTATTCTTTGAAAATTTGAAGATCAGTCTGGACGAGGGCGAGGTACGTTCCCTTCCTTAATGCTTAAAAAGCGTTTGTAAATGGTTATGACACCCGTAAGTAGTAACAAGTCGTGTGTTAGATGAAGTTTAGAATGAAAGAATGGAATTTTCAAATCTTGAAGGATGTACTGTAATGCAAAGCGATTGAAAAAAGATGACAAAAATTTACTTAACAACGTCCATAGTTAAACATTTATGTCCTGTTTTGAGTTAGCCCGCATACCGTACTCATTCGATTAAACACCGCGGCGTTTATTCAAGGATGACGTTTTATTCGGGATTTTGCTGAGTAAGACGCTTCGTAGTATAGAGAGTGACGCTTTTTCTAAGGGAGGCGTTCAATCCAGTAAATACGGTATCCAGAATTTCGTCAAATTAAATACTATCTATGGCCGTCTTTAAATTCAAGTAAGTAACTTTATTTATCGCCGATGACGTGGGGAGTGGTCGCCCAGTCTCCCGAGCCAGGGGCTCATGTATAAAACGCTCGACCGAAGGAATAATTAGCCTCGATTACCAGCCGCTGTTAAGATGGTCTCTTTGCATGTAATAGGACATTCTTTTTTCTACTTGACATGTTATTTTTTTGTGTATTTTCTTAGATTTTCAACCCTGGCGAGACAAGCCTCGAAGCGTGCAATGGGAAAGCTGTCAAAGCAACAACAGTGTTTGCACATTGCCTCCGATTTCTTAGAGACGAAGCTGTCAATGTCGTTCGACAGAAGTCTGGAAATGAGAATTACAACGTGGAAGATATACTGTGGGTGTTAACTGTTTCTGTAGCATGGAATCCAGCAGCAAAACAGCTTATGCGCGAAGCAGCTTATGAGGTGTGTATCTCCTGAGAAAGAGTGAAGAAGATCAGGGCCATTTATACGAGGAAAAATAAGACGCGTCTTACATAAGACACGAACTGGACCATTTATAAGAGCATGTCTTATCTAAAACGAAAACAGCTCGTATAAATGCTTCGCGTCTTATTTCTGTTCTTGACTCGTTTTCATGTGAATGACCTGAACTTACTTTTTAAGTGTAAGTTTATAATACGAAGATAGCAATTTGATTAATTAATATAAATTGGGATAGTTTAAAGTTAAAAGGATCTACTCACACCAGCAGATGTCACGCACTTGTCCAGGAGGTCTGCTATCGCCTTCTCCTTACATAATAACAAGAAATCCTTTTCCTCCGCGATGGACCAAGTGTTTCTTTTTGCCTTTAACGGCGAGCTCATAGTAATTGAGCGAAGAAAAAATAAAGCAAAATAGACAAGAAAACGAAAACGCGTTGTATTTGTAAACAACTTTTCCCCGCCAGTAGCCTGCCAGTCCGCCGCGGGGCAAGCGACAATTTTCCCGCCAGAAATTAACGCATGCGTACTATGCGTTCGCGTCTTATAGGTCATTTACACGAAGTTTTTCTCGTCTTAGCTGAGACGCGTCTTATCAATTGAATCTCATACTTCATCATCATCGTCATTTTAATCGATTCTTCTAGGGCAATGTCGCGCCATACACACTACTGTTCAGCGTGCAGGCTTTTAATAGAGAGCTTTAGATTCCAAGACGAGAACGAGATTTTCCCAATATTAAGTAGTGCCCGCCCGCGAACTAACGTCATTTTGGCGGGAAAATGTAGTGGTACCCGTCGTCATTCTACTACGAGTTTTAGCGAGAATGTCGTAGTGACGAAAACAAGTTATGAACTGTTAGAAATTTATCATTTAACGATCGGGAGAGGGACAAGACAGAAATAAGCGTAGTAACTTATTAAAATTAAATGTAGTCCTCGTGTTTGTTCTCGTCCTCGAATCTAAAGTTCTCTAATTCTTCATGGAGGCAAGATCAGTGTCCCTTTTAGTTGACATTTGCGCCCCCCACCCCCCACCCTCATGAAGCCTCGCCTTGTTTTGGCTTCCTTTCCCCACCTTTATCCATTTGTTGCTTCAATTTTAAGTCTGATATATACTGCCACACTTTTTTCTAATAGGCCGGTCTTGGATCACGTGACAACCCTGGTCAGGTTATTATTGCCTTCGATGCTGAAGCCGCTGCCCTTTTCTGTTCAGAGACAATACATTGCGAGGCTCAGACCGACAATCTCGCACTGGGAGAATTAAGAGAGAGTGATTGTTCTCCCTCGGAAGAACCAAATGCGCTCAGCGTAATTGTCGATTTGGGAGGTAATATTTTTTTATGTTTTTCTTAACTTGTTACGTCCTTGCAGGTCCTTGATAAAAAACACAGGCTCCACATTTCGCCAATTAAAAAGGCATGGGAGACAATCTAGGCATGTAGTTTTATACTGGTGCTTTCTCAAGGATACACCCTTCATTTTGTAAAAGTATGATGTGAACGGGGTATTCGCTTTTTTCTTTCGACATCAGCGGATAGGATAGGAGCTATCTTTATTAAATTAAACCAGGTTTTTCTACGTCGAGATATAAGAGAAGGAGCAATCCATTCCAAAGAATACAAAATACTTAACTAGATTTCTAGAAAACTACTGCGGCGGGCCTGCATAGTTGAAAAATAAATGTCACTTTCTGGTAGATGCCTTAAGAGTTTTGATACATTTTCAACCTGGTTCCCAGGGTCCTCTCTCGCTTCAGGGGCCAAGTAGGAGAGTACCCTTGGGAACGAGGTTGCTTGGGAATAATTCAGAAATTCTTTTATAGGAAGCTGTCTCAAAGTAACTGTGTTTGAGAAGAGCACTGATGGAGTTTTGCATATGTCCTACAACGAAACTGTCAGGCCTGATGACGAGGTAATGGTAGATTGTCAATTCAGGACTCTTTTAGACCAGCGGTTCGACGCACAAAAGATGTGCGATTATCGAAAACTATTCCCCGCTGATTGGTTAAAAATGATGCAGGACTTTGAGGCAAAGAAATGTGCCTTCCTTAAAAATGAAACCAAGATTCACCTGACTGGTAGCTTCGTATCCTGGCTGAACGATTACCGCTCTCCATCCATGAAGTGCTTCGCTGAGGGAGTAGTTAAAATAGTGGATGACAAGTATCTCAGCGTCAGTTCTCATGCTATGCGAAGCCTTTTTAAGCCATTGTTAGAAGCCATAAAAGATTGTTTACGGGATACCGTGTTGAAAAATCCGCGCAGCACCACAGTGTTTCTTGTTGGAGGTCTTTCAGAATCTCCTTTACTTCAAAAAGAAATAAAAAATGTTTTTAGTGGACGGTTCTCAGATGTCATTACAAGGGGAGCCAGTATCGCAGTCGTCCATGGTGCAGTGATTCTGGGGAAGAGAGCAGTTGCAGAAAGCAGACGGGTCGTCAGTAGAACGTATGGCACCGACTGTTCACTAAGGTTTGTACTGACCGTTTTTGATTGCACAGTCTTGGTTATAGCCTCGAAAGTATAGCTCCAATTTGCCCCCGTTACTATAGCTTGCACGCGTATTTGCCGCTGAACAGTGTATGGTTCTCAGGGTATCAGGGTCTAACATTTCACTTTTTAGTGTCTTGAAAGGGATGTCTTTTTGGTATGGAAACCTTTTAATAAGTGTGAAAGTTGCCGATGAGCGATCTGCATGTGCCACACCAACAGTTTTTCTAACCCTAATCTAATCGCAACACACTCTGTGTGCGAAACGAATCATGGTCAAGAAATCAGGTCTCCTGCCTTTTCTTAGTGTAGCGAAATTAAAGATTTTTGTGTCAACAGGGTCAGGGTTTGATGGCCTTGAGGGAACATTTCAACTCAAGTTCCCCCACCCCCGGGCGTGGAAATTATTATTCAGAGATTATCAGATATCTCTGACAGTCATTACAAAGTGTCCTTAGGAATAAGAGGTCACCAAAAACAGCCAGAGGTATGCTAGTAATATATGGGATTGAAATTAGTCTTTATTCAGATCAGAGCAACTTTCCATGGCCAAGAACATTACTGACCTCGTATTCTGTTGGTTTTCGTCACACGAAGAAGATGCGCGCCGCTCGTTTCAAACCCAACCGGGCCGTCAATGGATTTCAGCTTTTTTTCAGCGTTTTCTTGTTATTAAAATGCAATTTAATAGAAAGAATTATGTACAAATTGTACTTTCTTGTACTTGTAATAACGTTATAGGTTTGTCAGGCGAGTTCACCCAGAGGAAAATAAGTTCACAACAAGTTCGGGACAAGAGAGGTGCAAAGACTTGTTCAACCGCTTTGTGAAAAAAAACGACATCGTAAAACTTGGACAGAAGATTGCTATTACATACCGACCTTGTGAGGCAAATGAAACGGAAATGAGATATTCATTCTACACTGCTGATGTGCAAGAGGTCCTCCTGGTGACAGAGCCTGGCGTCAAGAAGATCGGGGACCTTGTTCTTCAATCTCCTGACACCTTGAAAGGACTGGATCGAGACATTGAAGTCAGCTTACACTTTATAGGAACAGATGTGGTAGCTTCAGCTTGGGATGTTGAGAGCGGTAACCTGGTTCAAACCACTTTGGATGTCTTCCTGCCACGCGTGAACATGGTCTAATAACACATTGGTTATAATGACGTTTGTTACAGATTCAGTTGAATGTTATGAAATATATATTAGGGGGCCGAAGCAACCACGACGGCGGAACCGAGAACGGCAACAGTCAGTTCGAGTTTTATGAGCAAAAGTTTTATGAGCAAAACAACAGCTCTTCAAGTGATTCATTTCATTTTCATTTCAATCAAATTCATTTCTTTTACGTCCACTTTTAAGACTACGACGTGAAACTGTTCCTAATGCCTTGTTTTATAGAGGACGTGAATACAAAGGGACAAATTTTCCTTTTTCTTTCTTACAGCCCTTAAGAATTCAATTCCCTGAAAAATAACCTCTGTACATTCAGGGACAAATCCAGAAGAGGGTAAACAAACGGGTTTGAATAAACTCAAATTCACTTTTGGTGACTTTTTACTGGCGTCGTCGTCGTGGTTCAGGCTTTAGCACACTTGACTAATTCCTAGACTTTATTCTGAATTTACAAAAGCTGCTGATCTTTGAATGAGTAAGAATTAATAAGAGGTCTTACAGAACACTAACGTTTTATCACGTAAATTCTAGAGGCAACTGTGCCCCGAATTGGTGACGAAGAATGGTCTGAACTTCAAAATTTTAAGCACAAATTCAAGAGAGTAGACGTCAACGTTATTTACATTTTGTCCACAGGCATGTACTTTTTTTAAAGTGTAAAAAAATCATAAATTATTTAGACACCAAATATCCAACAGTAGCAATCATGGAAAACGCTTTCTTATCAGATGTCCAAAAATATATTACCGACTATTTGAAGCTTACGCTTTAAGTTAATGGATCTTTTAAATGAGGTAAAATTCTGTGATCTTATAATTTTCTTACAATCATCGCATCAAATAAACTGTAAAAATTCAGCATAACTTAAGGTCCCTGTGCCCACAATTGAGACGACGAATTGTAGTAATAGTCAGAAATACAACACTTTGCTACACAGACATGGAGAGCAATATTTTTCCCCTCTCTCTTTTTTAAAGAAGCCGCCACACCTCTGAAGCTAAAGTTTAATTTAAAAAGTCTTGTTATAACCCTTTATCTAAGACGAAAATATTTTGTTGATTAAAACTATGTTCACGGTTGAACAAACAAGTAATCTTTAACTGTTTGATGAATAGTATCTCTTGAGAATTACCGCAACAATATTTATTGTAACTGCCATCTGTTTCAAAGCTGGCTGTGGGATAAACCCGCTAGCTTTTGTTGATTCTCTGAAGTAAATATTGTAAAGTAAAGCTACTAATGAAAATGTGAATACTATTTTTAAGTTTTTTTTTTTAAATATTTTTTGCCACGACTGTGAGGACGTTTTTAAGATCCATTGCAAATTGCCGGATCCATGTAATGTTTCTTTGGTCTTTGCTGCGCCGTGGTGGTTTTGAGAAACAGCCACTGAAGTTCTCTTATTGAAAATATGACCAAAAAAATATGTTGCTTTTGAAATGACCCATCACCTGTTTACAGGTGCCCTGGCTCTATATAGTGACAGTTGGCACCCTTACTGTAAACTTGACTGTGCCAGACCCACCGGCTGAAAAGTACAGCGACAGCCAGGTGAGAACATTTGTACTGTAATGCTTAAATTTCATAAAATTTTCACAAATTTATTTCATAAAGACGCAGGCTAGGAAACTAAGGGGCCGCAGTCAAAGACTCGGACATGTTCATTTATAAATTAAAAAACTTCCTGTGAACAAATAGATAGTGATATGCATCCAGTGCACTGTAATTATTAGTTTGCACCAAGACTACAGATATCTTTATCTCTTATAATAGAGGATTAAGAAGCGATCATTAAAATGCGTACAGCTCAAAGTAAAATATAATTGTCATCCATATTTGCCATTGTTGGTCCTTACATAATCTTCCTGAAAGTATTGTTTAAAACCGTCCACACTAATTCTTTCATTTAGCTTAATAATACTTGACTGTGAGAACCTTCCAAATGACAGGGCCCCTGTTCTGTACTTTTTTTTTCCAGTTTCATGCATTATTGCTCTTGGCGTCAGTCCATTGGTTCCCATTCAAGCATAATGTCATTGGTTCCCATTCAAGCATAATGATCTAGCCACGGTAGTCTGTGCCTTTACATTAAAAGGCCTTTGATAGACTTTGGTGTTTTGTTTTCCTTGAGGATACATTATCATATATCAAAAGCACACATCTGCACGCTCTAATAGTGATATGGGCAAAAGAATGTCCGCAGTTACTGTTATATTATTCGTCACGATTTTTTGCTACATTTTCGCTCGTCAGTCGTGTAGAGAACGTCGCTCATTACACGGTTTTGCCCTCGTCGATCACGTGTACAAATCATTCACTGCAGATCGCCTCGCCGTATGTTTCATTGCTTGTAACGCCCAGTCATCTTGCCAAAGTTTAAACTACGATCTCGTCGACAAAACTTGTCAGTTTAACAACAATACCAAGTATCACCGAGCCAAGTATTTGGTCGAAAAACCCACCTCAGTATACGCAGATAACCCAGATTCTGGTGAGTTGCCATGTATCCCAAGTTTAGTACTTGAGGTTAAAGTCGATGCCGGAGTTTCCTTTTTCTGTCACGATTTTATCGTGATTTTACAAAACTATAACGTACTATATCGCCTTTTTTCTAAACTATTTACTTTGACTTGTTCTTTTTTTTAAACAGAATTTTGGCTCAAGCTAAACACGGACCCTGTCTGTTTCAGAACCAAAGCCGATGGCTTTGGCAGATTTACAGTGAAAATGGGTGGTTTTGCTGAAGCTGTTAAACTTGTTCACGTTTCTGGGTCGGTTAGTTGTGCATCTGGGAAATGGTCGAAGTGGGGTTGCGGGCCTGGAGGGCCGTTTAGGACTCTTGTAACGACTTCAACTAATCTTATTCTGCTTCCCGAGAGTAAAGAACTCACCTATAAGATCTCAGGATATGATGTTAATTCAAAGGAATTCATTTTTACAAAGTTTTCTAACCCGCTGCGTTTGTCATCCGGACAAGAACTACGATTGTGGTACAGTTTGGATCTTTTTAATCACTCAGAGCACGACAACAAGGGGAAGTCCTGTGCAGACGTGTACGCTAAGTACATTACATCATGATGCGAGGGCAGCTTAGACAAGCTAAAGCTGTAGTGTGAAGATAAGCTTTGCGGGCACAATTTTGAGGTCTCTCAGCCAAACCATGATGAACATCTGTCTTTTATTGATTCTTCGATCAGTTTAACCAAAACGTTATTATATCTAGTTGTTCTGATGCTGTAATATTACAGTTTTAAATCATACTGGAACAAAAGTGTGCGACTGACATAAATCCATGAATGACAGGATTCGGGAAATGAAGGTGGTGCTTGGTTGCCTGTTGGTACAGTATTGAGAGGGTCTGGATGTGGGGAGTGGGGTACAAATGTCAGTTAAAATTTTGGCCATTTTTCAATTAAAATTTAGGCTTTTTGTCAGTTGTCAGTTCAATCGATTATCAATAAAGTTAATAATTAACTGTAAAATTTCTTCGTTTATTTTTGATCCGCAATTTGCCTAATAATTTGGAAGAGTATTCCCTGCTAATAGGGGCTCATTTCCCTGGTAGTGCAAAGACTGAACAAAATTTCTCGTATCTAATAGGTCAACACAGATGTCTACCGTATAAGCATACCTTAACGGAAGAAATGGGTGCGTATTGGTCACCCAGACGGACCTTGAAACCAAGGCAATAGCGCAATATCTTCTATCTCGGTTGTCTGTTAAAACCAGGGCAAATATCAGTTGTCAGTTAAATTTTAGGCGATTTGTCAGTTGTCAGTTAAAATTTTGGCCATTTGTCGGTTGAAAGTTAACCCCATCCAGACCCTCTATTTGGCTGCGTTCAAAATGGAATGATCAAGTCCAGTTTTAAATGTGGGAGGGGAGCGTTTCGATCATTGCATTGCTTATATCTGAGTGGGGGTGTTTAAAACGGTCTGTATTGCAAGATCTGTAATGCTACTCCCTCATGGCTCTGGTTAAATAGTATTATAGCGCAAATTCTTACTGAAAGGAACTTGTACCAATGGCAGCATGGGTGTACTGTCATCATGCCATATGCCTAATAATATACATGAAAAAATTTCTCGATTGTGATTGGCTAAGAGAAATGCAGTTTTTGGGTAACACGGTGCAGAAAAAAGGTAATTGAGTGCAGAAAAGAGTAACAAACGTGACATTCTGATTGGCTAATAAACAAAGGAACTCCGAGAGCCAATCAAATGTGCCATCTAAATGGCGCAAGATTTGGATCCGCTCCGGACCAACCGGACCAGTTTCGAGCAAAAACCGCAATGGTTGGCCGTTTGTAGCACATTTGCTTTTGTGACCGAAACAACTGTAGAGGAGCTGAAAAACTGATCTAAAAACGAACACACCGCGTTTTTGGCTCTCTGTTTGGAAGAATTGGTGCGTAGATAAGGAAATTACTGATGAAATAGAAAATTATGAGCCGGCTGAGTTTTCTCTACGCCGAAGTAAACAATATAAAAAAGGTGAAGATTATGAACCAGAAAACCTTAAAGTAATGATGGCATCGCTCGATAGACACTTCATGCAAGGACAAAGGCTACACCCTGTCCATTGTACGTGATCGAGAATTTAGTTCGTCCGAAGAGGTGTTGGAGGACAAAGCGAAACAGCTTCGCTTGGCTGGCCGTGATAAGCGCTCAAACAAAGCTCGGCAAGTATCAGAAGAGGAAGAAGAAATTCTCTGGAGGAGAGGAAAACTCGAGGTAATAACCAGAATCTTTAATTCAAACACATTAAACAATTCCATGAACTGTTCAGCCCGTTTCTGCAGTTTGCAAACTTTTAAAACATAGAGCAAAATGTTGTTTTGACTGCACGTGTGATGATATTTGCAGCATTTGAATAATTTATTTTTGCACGTGGTTTACGCGTGTTGACTCCCTATCAAAGTGATTTTAAAGCTATCTCACAATTTTTTCATGAATATTATTAATAAGTAATCTCATGATTTTTCTCGTGCAATTTGGAATAAATTATTCCAAATTGCACTCGAAATCATGTGATTACCTGTACAAATGGGCCACTCGAACCTATTCTTCACGAAAACAAAATCGGCTGGAAATTAAGAAATTGAGAAAAACCTGCTGCTTTAAATAGACTGCTCCATGAAAACCCTTAGTTTGGTATTTTTCATTCCGGCCTGAGTCCCCTGGGCTTGCTTAATATTTAAGGGCTTTGTTCAAGAACTAGGGGCTCCCCTGAGTTTAAAATAACGGGCAGGGAACTATCAGAAGACACCGTAAATTTTTCGTCAAAATTCAAGACATTTCTAAGCGTAGTTCCTGGTTTGTAGGGGGGATGCTCGATTGTCAGATTGAGTGTTTTCTCCTGCGAGGTTATCACGACCATTATCTGGCCTCTTGAAAAGGCGTAGGCATTGGACTGAACATGTCTCTCTACCTGAAAATAAGACACAAGAAATATGTTTTGGTTTTCTCAAATTCGATTTTATAAAACTGCAATTCCGAAAAACCATGGGACAAAGCCTTTGACCAAAAAGCTAGTCTCAAGTTTATTGGTGGTGAGGTAAGTTTTATTACTAACACTTTATTTCCCTCGCCCAATTAAGAAGTTTATTCTTGGTCTATAAATGCATTTGTTATGGAAGCACAAACGTAATGCATCTGAAAGGGGAATAGCTTAACTGCCTTAGCTATAGGCCTTTTTACTGTCCATTGGTGCCTTTATTATTCGCGAACTGAATATCTCTAGTACTGTTTCTTAATCAACGACAACTTATTGTTGCAACAGAAAACTTACGGTAAAGACTTAAAGCATCGCGCCTCGGGTTTGTAACGTTTCCTTTATTAAGTTGAAAGTATTAGACTTATGGTATCATTTACCCATGGATTAAACGTGAAGGTTAAAAATAGAAATACACCTGGGTTATAACTATAGGCAATAATTATCGCTCCTACATCACCTGTCTGTTTTGTAACCAGTCATCTCCAAGAGATCTTCTGAAGTGAACCAGAGTCTGAATAAATTTGTACAGCGGATTTTCGGTGGACATGAAGGGCCAAAGTGATTCACGGTTGTTAGGATCTGAACCGCCATTGAAGCCTTGCTCCGTGCCATAGTATACTATTGGGATCCAGTCCCCCATTAATACATACGTCAGCGCATTTCGAAGTGCGGTGTGGCTTGGGTTTAAATTCAGAAATCTTGGATTGTCATGATTGTCTACGAACCCACCAATGACAGATCTTACAACAAAAAATATCAAATGATATGAGAAAATAGAAGCATTCTTCTTGAAATCAGATCATAAACCGTGAAACTGGATGGCATTGATGAGATCCGGGATTTCGTCATGTCCCTTTTCGTCTGCTGAAAACTGCAATTATGGACTGTTAAAATCTATAAGGTCATCTTCCCAATTTGAACGCGATTTTGCAATCACGGGTAACATTAGCCTGCATAACGTTACCGTGAAAAAGGTGTTAAGTGGCTAACATTCCTTTTGAAATTGTCATTCTTGTCTCTAGCTAGTTCTGAAAAACACAAGTGTGGCCACACTATTTTTTCGCGACAAGCGAAGCACGAATCGGGCGTCGAACGAGAGCCAAGTGCGACGGGGAAAGATGCGGAAAAAAACAACTAAAATAATTTAAAATAATTTTCTGCGCCTTACTCAGTCGCCCGTGTCTTGCTCTCCTCGCTCGCCTGTAAAACACCAAAAAAATAACGCTTTTTCTGCGGGCTAACAATTATTTACATTTTTTGATATTTTTACTTTTACTATTTTAAGGGCGTTGATGTCGATAATTCTTGTTCTAGGGCAAAAGATGGGTCAGTTATGTCTCACTTGCAACTCACCTATCCTTGTAAATTTGATAAGCGTTCTTAACAGCGACGCTTAAAGCATTGAAGTCCTTGGACTTTTCTTGAAATATTTTCCTGAGTGTCCAATAGGAAGGATAGGCCAAAACGGAGTCTATGTACCTCTGGTATCCCGCAACGTACTCCATTGATCCGCAGGGAGGTGGACCATTGTTTGCCTCTCCTATCATAAAACCCCCTCCGGCCTTACGAAACTGTGCCCAGAATTCCTTGGGAACTTGAATGGTAGTATCAAGACGGTAGCCATCAAAGTTAAACTGGTCAGTCAGGTTGTGTACCCAGTTAAGCAGGTTCTGATTCACGAATGGATGGCTTTGGTTAAGATCGGGCAAGTTAGCAAGCCAATATATTTCAATTTTCCATTGGTCTTTGCACTCTTGCGGCCATTGTATGTAAGCATGGGGTGGATGGTAGTACTCCTTTTTGTTAAAAGGAGCTAGACCTGTCGGCCATCCACCGTTGGGTGGATTTCCCATGTGATTGGCTACGAGGTCTGCCATTACCCAAACATCTCTATCATGGCAAGCTTTCACCAGTGACTTGAGATCTTCCTCGGTCCCAAAATGTGGGTTTATTTCAAAGATGTTTTGGGCCCAGTAACCGTGGTAGCCTTTATCGATGTTTTTTACTATAGGGGATATCCAGATAGCATTCACACCCAAGCCTGTGATATAATCGAGGTGCTTCTCAATGCCTTTAAACGTTCCACCACAATAATCCTTCAGATCAGAACACTTTTGAGATGGTAGTTGACTGGATGGGGCAAATCTATCTGTGAGGATCTTGAAAAAAATACATTTCATTATCTTTCTCTTTTTTCTTTTTACTTTTACCATTTATGTGTTTGCTTATTTTCTTATTAAGTAGCTGTTTTAGTACTTATGTGTGACCGGTGGTCGTGTGAATTGTACTCACCTGAAGGTCTTGTGACTTTAATCATCATTTTAACGGAAACAGTAAAGTCATCAATAAAGTTTATAGATTAAATAATGACATGGGTTTAAATTTTTTGAAATTCGAACGATGACTGCCATAATATCTTCCGGGGGAGTTACACTGCGCATTCTTTGTTGATGGTATGACACAGGGACCCCATAACCAACCTACTCATACCACTGATACCAGACGTTTTGGTCCCGATCTTCTCTCGACCAGACAACTATAGCGATAAGGCGCTAAGTATTGCATTTAATCTAAACCTACCGTTGTTCTTAATGGCCCTGCTGAATAGTTTTCTCAGAAATTGCGTGTTTTGTCTTTTATGATCTAGCGACTTTATACCCATGCGGCTTATTTATATCCCCCACCCCCTGCGGCTTACTTAGACTGATCACTCCAACCCAGGCGAGATCGACGCAAAATGCAGTCTCTCTCATCGCTGACTGCAATCTGTGATAAGGCTTGTTGTAAAGACAGGTGAAAGCACTAAAAATCACAAAAATTTCGAATTTCTAACTACAGAAAATTCCTGCGAATATCAAGTGCTTATCTCAGTAATTTTGAAGAATGAGAGTAAAATAGAAATACGAAGTCATTTGTTCTGGCTAAACCAAGTAGAAACAGCACCTGCGAAACGTTAATCAACGTTGGTGGATTGTGTGACGTCCGAGCCTAACACACAGGGTGGGGGGGTACTCAACAAACTTTCATACGGGGAGGCTCCGCTCCAAGATCCAGCCGCTTACTCTTTTTCAGTATACCATATTTGACGGAAAAGCCGGGTACCCCTTTCGTATACCTTCGATCGTTGAAAGATGTACCTCTCTCACTTACCCGTTTAGTAAGAATAAATTACTTAAGCTGGAAGTTCTCTTGGTATCTTCGTGTAACGTTTATAAACACATTAAAATGTCAATATACCCATATCGCGTGTCTTTCGAAACATTTTAGTGAAAGGATCTTAAATGATAGATTTTACTACCCTTTCAATATTTCAACTAGTGAATTCCCCACCCTTTGATATACCTATAAAACCTAACAGGGTACAACTTTCTGGCTTTGCCTCCCTTTGTAGGTCATGCATTACAAGAAGTGCCTCCCCCGGGCCTTACAAGAAATGAGACAACCAGGAACCCATCGGCTCCAACTTTGAAAATGAATTACCTTTCTCTGACTTTCTCTTTAGTGTGTGCGGCATAATCAGAGAGTTGTTACGACAAACTTCTCAGGTATCTGAGATTGCATTGTGTTAATCTCACATATTATATACAGAACAGTGAAAACAGTCACTGGGTGGTGTTGTGGAACTGTCTCCTGAGGGATAAAAAGGTTGATCAAGGAAATTACCTGATATATGATTCTTCCTTTCCATTCTTCGGCTGTTTTTCCGTTGCAGTGAGAGAAGATAAAAGCTAAAAGAAGAGAAGACTTCAGAATTGTTTGTAAGGTCATGTTTCCACCAAAATATAAATGTACAACTCGTCGGTCTCAAATGATCTCGCACTATTTTTAATAGTTCGCTGCATGACGTCTTTAGTCACGAGATCAAAATCTTCTCAAAAATCCTTCAATGGGTTAGCATTCTTTCTCATGTGTATTATCACCTATGACGAATTAACCCGATTGTTGGGCCAAAATAAGTTTACAAGCTCAAGATTATTATCTCTTTTTATTCACCTTTAATACGGACATGTGAGCGTCATCAACTGGGGAAAAAAAGCATACCCCCGAACCTGGCTGATTTGTATCAGGGAGGTCTTGCGCGCGTGACGAGGTCGGTGAGAAGGTGGAGATGGCCTGGAATCTAACACTGTTACTTGGAAACAGAAACAGACGTACAAAATGGCGGACAACACATAAGATTGTACCCACAAACAAACTGGTCGCGTTTAACTTTTTTGCTTGCCTCTAATCCGGAATAAAATGACCGCAAGGAGTGACAGCGGAAATAAAGATGCTGGCGGTTCAGAAAAGTTCGAGGAAACTCGTTCTGCACACACTAGTTTTGAAAAGAATGATGTGGGTAACAACCAATCTGCTGTAGAATCGCGTTCTAATGGAGACGAAAATCTTGCTGAAGGTACAAGTTTGGAAGTTGAAGAAGACCAGGTAATTGTGTGAGCACTTTGGTTTATTTCAGTAAAGCTGTAGGATTTGAAATTTGTTTTAATATCCTATGTAAGAGCACTAAGGACAATTTGAAGCAATTTACCACCATACATGAAGCTGTTTTGCAACTAGAAATACGTGAATCGCAGGACCTCGCGTAGCACTTTGGGGGAACGACAAGCAGTAGGAAGAAAGGGAAATATTAAAGGCAATAGGGAAGAAAATTTATGAATTTAAAAAAACGTACGCTATATAACGAAACAAAATAAAACTACAATAACTAAAAAAACTGAACAAAAAGGAAAAAGAAAAGAAGAGAAAAGGAAAAACAGCTTCCCTCCGAAAGCGAACTCGGGACCTTCTACGTGCCGGGCCATTTCATTACCACTACACCACATGCTCCATGATGTCACACATTAGATGTCGTCAGGGCGGACACCAAGCGATATATAGATTCATAAATAATTAGAAATATGGGGCATCCAAGTTAGCTGCTGGCTAAGACTGCATGCACACGCTGCGCGCACCATGAGATTATAAACTCTCGTCGCAAGGAACAAGCTCAAATTAAATTATTTCAGATTAGTTTTTAGTTTAGTTTTACCAGCTTTTCTGGACACAGGTCCTGCCCTGAGGGAATGGCCACGAACGGGACTCATAGGTCCCATGCAAGATGCCATCCCTACCCAATCCCACAACCCGTAAAGGTTGGCCACACTACCGGGGTCTACCTCCCCTGCTCTTTTTGAACAGTGGTGTGGGTTCTTTTACGTCCCCCAAGAACCAGATCGGGGAAAGTGCTGTGAGACGGGACCTACGTTTTTTCATCCTTATCTAAGAAGACTATTAAGTCTGACCAGTTGCAGATGTCATTACAAAGGCAGCACTTTCTTCTCAGTTATTTGAAGACCCTGAGTGTTGGTCCGGCCGGGGTTTGAACCTGCAACCTCCCACTTGGTGGACCAGCGCTCTCCCAACCAAGCTAACCAGGCAGCGGTTTTAGTATTTTAGTTTTACTGTGTTTCTTTAATAATTTACGTGCACTTTGCTAAGGAACCTGAAGAAGATGAGTTTGAAGAGATGATAGCTGAAGGACTGTCCCAGTTGGGAAGATCGGCTGATGGAACTCTTCAAGTTTATCTTAATCTCTTCCTTCCCGTAAGTATGCTTTTTGCCATCATTCATAACATTTTCACCTTTAAATATTCTATCACTTCTGATTTTATTGTTTTTGTTCTTTTTGGTCTTATTTTTTTTGACTGATGACTTTTTAGGGATGTGGACTGACAGATATTATGTGCCTACAAGAATATGTTCACTTACAAACAGTAGTTCTTTCACACAATTCTCTTACAGGTACCTTAAGTATAGACATATCTTAAATTTTGCATTTTCTTTTTGTGAACTTTACATGTTGTGAATCAACAAATTGTTAAGGAACATTTTTGTTGTTGCACATACGAGCATTATTTTTATGTGCATCACGGGAAAGTCCAATTTGTTCTTTCCTCTAACTCCTGCAAAAGTATTTTTCTGGTGAAAATGTTTTTATCATAATCATATATAGTTTATCTTGGCAAAATAAGTAATAAATCCAAAACTATGATTGTACATAGTTGAGTGAGATTCCCTATAGTAACTGTGGTTTGTAAAGGAGATCCTTTTCTTTGATGTGTGAAAAATATTTTCTTTGCATTTGATACTGTTGTGCAACAAACTTCAACAATAATAACAATCTTTTTACTTGAGTAGGTGACTGTTTTCTACCACTTTTCGGGAAATGAACCTTATAAAATCCTGTCCTTTTAGAATACTGAAAATGAGCATGAGGCTTGTATACTTGAGACTTGTCATAGGCATTTCCTAACTGATATTAATGACATTCAGCCCACCAATCGCTTAACTTTAACACCAGTACATATTAAGGATTTACGTCTGACATTAGTTTTTATGTAACTCACCTCAGGGTAGTTTCCTATCACTGCATACTTATATTCTCTGTTTATCCAATTAGATTTAAATCCATTAGGCAGCATGCCATATTTGGTATCACTTGATGTATCACACAATCAACTCAGCTCTGTTTTAGATTTCTCTCCTCCACTTGGTCTGAGGGTAAGTGAACTTAAACAGACAACTTTGAACTTGGATGCTGCCACTGAAATGAGAGCATTATTAGGCTGCATCCATTACTACAGAGAAAGCAGAATTAAGATATATTATATATATTTTATTAGATGAGCAATATCTTTTAGATCTCCCACCTCATTAAAAATTATTGATGTCTCCCATCTTGACCAAAAGAAAAAAAATACATCCCCCTTCCCCACCCCTCTTGATTAGGAAAGTAAATAACTAACATTTCTCCTCTAAATCCTCTGCCACCCCCACCCCCTTCCTTTGGTATACATAATAACTACAGCTTAATTTTATTTATTTATTTTATTTTATTTTTGTTTTGTGTTTTTATTGACACAGGAGGTGAACCTGTCTCACAACTGTATAGAGACACTTCCTGATCTTTCAGCTCATCATTGCTTGACAACTCTAAACCTGGACTGTATCCTCATAGACTTTCATTTTAATTTAGTTAACATAATATATTTGTAACATTATCTGTGTAGAAAAAAATCGTTCCAAGGCTAATAGAAAGGCTCTTCTTTACCTGTACTTTTTAACGGGTATGTAGTGTTTTGAATTGTTTGGTCTCTATTTCATCCAATGAGATACGACGTGCTGTTTTTATGGCCTTAACATTTGCATTTACAGCTAATTTCATATCAGAGATCCAGGGTTTGTCTAACTGTTATCGTCTGTCACATCTGAGCCTAATGAATAACAAGATCACTCGAATTGCCAACCTTGACCATCTGCCTCTGAAATTTTTAAATCTGGTGAGTAAATATCAACTTCGTAGCGATTAATCAATCGCACTGCAACAAATTGAACCTCCAAGTGCAACCACTTCATTTTCAAAACTCAATTTTTTCCAGTCAAAGCACTATCTAATGGTAAAAAAATTAATAATTTTCTTAAAAGATTTTCACTGTGCTTATTAAATAATCTCCTAACTACTACAGTTAACTGACTCAAGTGTTATTTTCTGTTTTTAGAGTAACAATAATATCAAGAAAATTGAAAATTTAGAAACGTTAAAATACCTAGAGGTGAGTGTCAGAGTTTCCCCTATTAATTTATACTTATTTTTGCAGTGCAAACATTGGAAATCACTACAAGGTAGCCCTTATTTAAAAACAAAATATTATTGTATCTTTACCTCTTTTGTCAGGTTATTAATTTGTCAAGGAACAGTGTTAGAAGCATGAAAGGTCTTCAGAACCATAAATTACTACAAGAGATTGACCTGGAGGAAAACCAGGTTTGTGAATTAATACATCACACTGAAATGAACTATTAATCTGTCAGTGCTGTTAGAAGTAAGAGCTGGAATGTCCATCATTTATTGCAATCAATTCATTGGCATTTTTTAGATGAACTGCTTTATGAAGCAGTATTTATAGTCACTAAATGCCAGCAAATGGTGGCTTTGTTGCTTGTTATAATCTTATTGTTTTTGGTAGATAATTGACATAGCTGAAGTGAGGTACATCAGAGAACTGAGTTTGCTGCGGAATCTGAATTTCCTTGATAACCCAATCCAGGTATGAAATGTGATATTCCTATCCCCTCCCACTCCCCCATAAGGTAATTACATTGTAGAAAATTGTATTATTATTTTTTTCATTTTATTTGCCACACAATAATAGAAATTACAAATAATGTAGGAACAGTGGGAAAAATAAGTGGCAAGGAGACTTAACAGAAACTATGGGAGCTCAGGAGAGGTTAGGCCTTCTCGAACTATGACCTAGAACTGCTTATGTCAATTGAAAAGAAGATGCTGAAAGTCGGAGGTGTAAAGATTTATGATCGGTTTTCATATTTACTTAATAACTTCAGTATTTGTCTTTAATAAAGGAGGAAAGGGATTGAGAGTTGTTGACCTCGTTGTAAAGTGAATTAAAAAACTTAGGTCCTTCAAAAAAAGCCTTTCACTACACAACTTCTCAAAAACCTTAGAAGATTGTCATTTCAAGTCCTGATTTATTTTACTTTCTGTATATAGGGTATGCCAGACTACAGACTTTCCTTGTTATTTAGAATACAAAGTCTAACAGAGTTGGATCGCTCCAAAGTTTCAGTCGAAGAAAAGGTATAGTAATGAATATACTGTAATATCATCTGTCATTACGCTCAGATCATTAAGTAAGTTCTATCTTTTGCTGAAGTATAATCACAGATAACGCACTCTTCACTCTGGTTACCTGTCTATTATCTTAGTGAATCTCCCACATTTATTCATCTTACCCATTTGAAGGAACTTAGGTAACAGATAAAGTAAATAATTGGTACAAAGTGATGGAAAATATTTTGTCATTCGTAATTTGTTACAGTTACATCAAGTTGGGCAAAAATGTTTGATTCACAGCTGGTGACATTTTTCTTTATGGTGTATTTTCCTCTTTTGACTACTTTTCATTTACTTCTTAGGTTGCAGCTGTCAACATGTTTAATCCTCCCCCAGAGGTCGTAGCAGCACGTGATCATATGTTTCACGTGACCAAGTCTCTTCTCCAGGCCACAAGAATTCATGACAGGTCAGTTGAGTAATGCAAGTCCGTTCCTTCATTTAAACGTCCTACAAATGTAATACACTGGTCAATTAACCAAAAAAAGTTCTTAGTCTGATTTTGGAACTACATTACGGTAACGATCGAAAAAATATGAACAAAGTTAAGGAAAAGTACGGATTTTACAAATTATTACCTTTCAAAGGTGGAAAGCTAAACTATACTTCCTGTGCGGGTTTTGGGAAATTTTTGTTGCAGAGTGTATCGTTTTGTGAGTTTTCGAAGTATGCAAATAGTGTAATAATCGAACTTAAAAGGGGACTGTTTAAGTCACCAATTATTCCTCTGTATAATTTTGTTTCCTATGAAAGTAACCAGCGTACGTGCTCATGGAAGCCGGTGGAAATCCCCGGTCCCCGGCCTCCGACCCTTAGTAAAAGCCCTAAGTTATAGTCAGTATACCCTGTTCTTATTTATGATCTCTCTCTCTTTCAGTACCCTCCCGAGTGTGGATACACCATATCCTATGTTAATCTTGTGCGGTCCCCCCGGGTCTGGCAAACGATATCTGGCAAGAAGACTTTGTCAAGAGTTTCCAGACTTCTTCGGCTTTGGGTGAGAAAGAAATTTCGATTTAGCTTTTGTTTTAAGTTGTTGAGAGGCAAGTTGCAAGAAAGGTGTTGTGCAAGAAAGTCTTCAGACTGATTTACTGACATTGTTAAGTTGCTGACAAGAATCAAATTTCGCAAATCTATCGAAAATCACGAAGTGGTGAATAGGAATCCATCCTGTGCCACGTTCATTAAGGGCCACTTACATGTACGTAAAAAGGTACCCTCAAACGAAGCTTTTACTTACAACGTTAAGATTTATGCAACGTAACTTGTCTGTTCCCGTGTATTAAGCCGTTATTAGGGGTGGGAATAGTCTGAAATGTCATCCGTCTCTTCGCCACACCCTTCCCCTCCATCCCCCCTCCCCCCTTCCCTACTAACGGGCGGCAAGGCGAGAGAGACTGAGTCTGAATTCCCAGCGTTTTAATGCCGCCCGTCTCTCTCGCCTCGCCGCCCGTTGGGGGGTGGGGTGAAGAGACGGGTGACTTTTCAGACTAGGGTGGGAAGGGATACGAAAACGTTTTTGAGTCTTTTAGAAAAAAAACTTTATTATCAACCAAATTTTTCCACACTTGTGGATACACTGGTTAATGTTCAAACGTCATTTCCTTCTTAGCGTCTGTCACACGACAAGATCGCCTCGTACCAAGGAAGAAAATCTTGAAGATTATTTTTTCGTAACGCAAGAAGAATTTGAACAAGGGGTAGTGATGGTGAGATTCCACTCTGCTCTTGATTGTCTTGCGCTTTTCATCTTTCCGTTAATGTGTTAGTTACTCGATTTCCCTTCCTTTTTTGACCTTTTCTTTTTTCTTCTACTATCCTATTTCATTTTCATTTCATTTTTTTTTTCATTTTATTGTCATTCATTTGCAGGGCAAGTTCCTTCAGACTTGCCAGCTAGCGGGAAACTGGTACGGAGTCACGAGAGAGGCCGTGGAAAATGTGGCCCGCGAGGGACTTGCTGCAGTGTTTCATATGGACTTACAGGTTTGAAATTTTGTTCAAGTTACATTGGCGTCAATCAACGTTAATTATTTTTAACGTCAATCACGTTAATTATTTTTAATCGTGCTGCTGAAGGAGAGCATGAATAGATACGAATCATACGATTACAACTTTTAAAACACAAGGGAACAATAAGCTACAATAACTAATAAACCAAGAAATATACACAAAGAGGAAGGGGATCATGTCAATGTATTCATTTGCACAAATGGAGAACTGAATATGGCTCTTGATACCTAGCGCACATTGAAAGAGAAGGATCATTTCAACTGCGTTAACTTCTTCCTGCTTTAAGCATTATACCGAAACGTAGATGTAGCGATCCTAGTTGTCAAAACACTGCGGTCAACTTCTGTTATATCGGTGCTCTTGTTAAATACCTTGCTGTAAGGGGCTTTAATTGGGGAAATTGTGTGATTTATTTTACTTAAATGTACTAAAACGTTCAAAAATCAGTGCTAAAACGTTTATACCTTATTTTTTAATAGGGGGTCTTGAGTTTCAAGAACACCTATTTTGAACCAAGATATGTTTTGGTGGTTCCTGTATCAAAGGAGGTGAGAATGTAAAGAACTCCTTCAGTTTGATCGTTAATTTATTTGCCATCAGAAGGTATCTGTTCCCAGGGAATGTGTCACTCAAGGATGCGGCGCAGTGTAAGATATGTAGATCACGGGGTCCTGAACACTGCAAGCTATTACTGTGGACTGAACTCAATGTATTAGTTATTTTGTATTTTCATTTGCATGATGTGTTTTTCTATGCTCGAAAATTCGTCGCGAATATTAATAAACAGGCCCAATGGCACACTTCGCAGTGTTTTTACAACTCAGAGTTTTGCGGTTGTCGTTGTTTTCAGATTCATGTCGCCCGCCTCCGTGAACGCGGTGATTATGCAGAGCCTATGTTACTCCAATCATTAGAGCGAGCTGATGCGTGCCTACACCACAACAGAGATAACCCTGGTTTCTTTGACATGGCAATAAGCAGCGGTAAGAAATTGCATGGTATTCATCTCTTAAAACAAGGAAATGTCTTTCTTTTTCGTCGTAGTAATTTTTATTTTATTTTCTTAACCATAGATGACCTTAGCGACGCTTATAAGCGTCTTAAACGCCTTATTATGGAATACTTGGGCATGTCACCTCCGTCAACAGTGCATTCCGATCTGTTCAGCGGTAGCATGACATCGGTTGATACCAGCCAATCAGAAGACACCTTCCATCAAGCGGATAAATCTGGTACCAGTCAAACTACAAGTATCACGGTCAACATGGCAGCGAGAACCTGGTCACGTCCATCCGACTCCTCCACCCTACCCTCCAAGGGCATTAAATTGAAGCAGCACAGGACACCAGTGGTGAGAGAAGTTTTACATGTGAATATTTTTTATTTCGAGAACAATTTTTTGTCAACTCTTAGTTTATCACTCGGCTCTTCACAAGCTTGCAGGGGTAAAAGACAACTTTGAAGCGTCCATAATATCCGTAGAACTTGTAGTACGTGTCCTAAGTAAACTAGCAATACACAGCCTTCTAAGGAAAGTTCACTTAACCTGAAGACATATTCCATTTTTTGCACCTGTTCCTCCTTCTAGGAAATCCTGTCACTTGAGCGTCGACAGACCAAAGCCAAGGCGGCAGTGGCGGGAATTCATCAGGTTTCACTGGAGCAATTTATGACTTCAAGGTATACACAATAACTGAAACCGATAACTGTTGGCGCTTGTCCCTTTATAACTTTGCTGTTTGTCACGTCACGAAGTCATCCTCATCTCCTTACTAACAGGTAGCATTGCTTCAAACTGTTTAGTTTTCTGTTTGGAGCGGAGTGTAGTTGTATTTTCAGTGTAACTTTCGTTTTCCCCAGTGTTGTTGAATGTCTTTTATTAAAGAGGGACACGGCTTCTATATCACTTTCTCCTCTATGTTCCTCGTGGATAAACACGTGGCCTGATTATTCATATTTCAGACACGCAGTTTCAGCCAGTTTCCAGCCATCAACAGCGCACTTTTCCTCCTCCGGGGTCAAACGCTCCACATCAGAACCTCTCAACTTCAACCCCTCATTGGCCTCCATGGTCGCAAACGCCAGCAGTCAAAATGAGGCGAGAGAAGCGGGCCTGGAATCGAACATCTCTGAATCGGACGAGGATCAGGAATCCGCTTCATCCATCATATCTTCTGCGCGTGCGTACTCTGATAACGGAGTCCAGTCTCCAAGAGACTCGGACGAGCAAGAAGGGGAAGACTCGAGAGACTTGCTGGATTTCATTCCAACGGAGACACTTGACTCACAAGAAACCGCTTCTGCTCCTTTCTCGGGTGTTTTTGGTCAAGTAGAAATTGCAAATTCTATATAACAATTTGATTTCTTTTAATGCGTCAGAAGTAAGACACTTATAATTTCCACGTGGGAAAAAATTAAACTCACGAGCAGCGATACTTGAGTTGAAGATACCATTTTCCATCGTTTGAGTGATCAATCCATCTTTTGGAAATGAACCATGTGACTTAGTAAAATTTGATTCATAAAGTGAAAGAACTGTAAAATTTTACAGCCGAGTAAACTCGTGAAATGCAAAAATATAGTTTTCTAAAAGCGTGCATGCTGAAAGCCAACGTTGTACATACGTGTTTTTTCTTTTCCTCGATATATTTTCTGTTTTTGTAAATAGTTATTTAAGGTCGTTGTCCAGCTTTTTCCCCTCTCCCCAGTCTCCTAAGGGCACAATGCCAGGCCCATTTCTTGACGATATAAATAAAAACAGAAATTGCACTATTTTGTTTAACTGCTGCGTCTCCCTGATACTTTCTATTACTAGAGTAATGTCACCAGAAAATTCACGTCACTTTTCTTGTTCGACCCAAATAATGTATTCCTTAGCCAGCCTTTTTTGTTATTTTGTTTTGTTGTTGTTGTTGTTGTAACCTAAAATAAATCGTTGGAACTTTTGGGGGGCAAATTTCCTTTTGACGTTTTATTTTCTTTATTGGAAATTGGATTCTCCTTTTCATACCGAAGTAAAACGTGACAGACAAGTTTTAGTAATAAATATTTGCGTGACACTTTGACCTAAAAAATATATGGAATAGAAGCAAGAAGTTTGAATTTTTAGCATTTTAACAGACAAGTGAACAGCGTATGGGCTATTACTACTCTTTCTAGGAGTAAAAAAAAACACCCGATTGATTATTTAATATATTTGGTTTACTGAACTTTTTTTAATTCAGCAAAGCGTTGCTCATCATAGGGGCAAGGTGGCAGACCGTTTTTATTGCTTATTATTATATTTTATCAACCCGTCAGCTTCTTTTCACGTATGATTTTTAAATAAACGCACATTGTCACCGTTATATTGTTTCTTTGCTTTGCGTGCCTTAATTAAATCTCAAACCACTCCACCTTTGCACATATCTACATATCAATTAAAAGAACAGTCCTGGATTTTAATATTTATTCACCGGAACCATGGTAACATACCTTGGCTTCCAAAGTGACTCTTCACAGCAATTAGAAGTACCTAAATTTTAATATTCACTATTATCAATGTTATAAGGAGAAAGTCGTAAATATTTTGGACTTTTCTCAGGAAGCGAAGCACTGAAAAATATTATTTGGAAAATTTGACGCAATCGATGCTCGCGCTAAAGAACCTATGACTCAACAAACGGATCTGTACTTCTTCGATCAATGTTTCAGACGTCGAAAATACAAGCGCCATCGAAAACCTCAAGAGCTGTTGCCGTTTTCATTACGGCTCACGGGACTTAGTGGAGCTGTTAAAGTCGAAGCCTATCTTAAACAACAACAACAAAAAGCTGGAGAGGGAAAAGAAGGTTATAATAAGGTTTCTGTGGCCGAGAAAGACAATGAAGCCGAGTCGCCATCTCGTGCAGGCCTGATTCGTAAGGATCAAGATGTTGATTTTGAAGGTGTAAAAAAATTTCACGGTGGAAAACCGTTTAACTTACCGGATATTGCAGCTCGTGGTGTTCATTCACCACCAGCCATAAGGAGCTATGAGCAGTTAGAGGGAGACGACGAGGAGGAGGATACACAGAGGTTCTTGTTCGAGGAAAATAAATTCGCGGCTCCGAATCTGTTAGCGCAACTTGGACGATTAATTGATCACATACACGAGGTACAGTTGGAAGAATTAGAAGAGGTTCAGTCTAGTAGTGGTCACTTTAATAGCAGATCTGCGACACCCGTGCCGGAGGAAGAACAAAGTTTAATCTCTGAAACTATTCGCAGTGGAGGCGTCTTTATCCCGCTACCAGACGATTTGCATAAGAAGCTTCGAGGAAACTTCGAAGAACTATCCGCCAATGTTGTGTATGTTCGCCGAGAATGGCAAACTACAAGTTATAGAGAGCAGGCACTTTTAAAGAAACGATTGGGTATCATGAGTGACTCGCAAACGAATGTAGATGTGGCTAAGAGTCCTGATAAAAGTACAATATCAGGAGAGCAAATCAAAACAAATGATGATATTAAGGCATCTGCAGCTAAAGGATCCGAGTCAAAAGATTTCACTAAACGAAAACAATCAACTGTCGGTGAGTCTACTTCAAAGATCGATTCTACCGATGATCACAGGAGAGAATCGCTTCTTGGTGTAAATACTCCAGACCTTAGTACGAGTCATACTGAGTTTCCAAGCCGTCGTGAATCATCTTCGCGACTTTCGTTCATTACAAGCCGTCCTAAGACTCGGTTAGAGAGGTTCAAGGTATTTACGGATAAGGTTTCATCTGGTAAGTGATAATTTCACTTGTGTATTGTTTAATTTACCCTTCTCTAAAAAGTCAAAAAATATTTTGACTACGATACGAACAGAGCTGGTAAATTTCAATGCAATGTTTACGAAATTTACATGACTTTAATAACATCTTTGCAGCTGCAAAGCATTTGAATGACTTCCTGTCACGATTTCCCGCGAAAATTAAGTCAATTATTTAATTTTATTATTTGCTATGTGCCACTGTCGCGGACCGTTATTTAATGAACGAAAAATCGGGCTATTTAATCCTTTTCTTCATTGTTAGCACTGAAAGATTTATTTTTCATATAATATCTTCAGAGAAAAGAAGAACTGCAAGTGGAAGTCACTTTGACGAGGATGAAGAAAATCAAAAAGATTTATCAGATGGTGAGTGGAAAAAAAGTTTTATTAGCTTGCGGTGAGTGGAATATGCACTGTGTACACATTAGCAACTAGCAAGCGACGACCAGAAATACGTCTGCTGTTTGCAGGCTAACTAGCAACTGGCTGATAAATTAATTATTGTTTACATTTGTTTTGTTTCAGTTCATTCTGGTCATGGTACCTCAGGGCAGCCAACTGTTATTAACTTCTCTCTTCTCTCAAAAACCTGTGAGGAAAAAGGTAACACTAACATTAATTTAAACTTGTATATATTTTTGAGAAAAATTAAGTGTTTCATGAGAAGAAATACAGAAAATGTACTTGATCTATAATTAATAATTATAATAATAATAATTATTATTATTATTATTATTGTTGTTATTTAACCATTTGCCTTGTTAATGTTGTATTTGACAGGTTGGATTTTGCATCAAGATAGTGCAAGCGACCTTGAAAGACAAACGTTGTTAGAATGGGCGCGAGCTAGGCTACAGCAAGCTATAAGAGAAAAGTAAGATTCCTATAAATAATGTATTGGATTATACCAGCTCTGACACAGTGCATGCCATGTTAATTTACAAGTGTAACTTGTACACAAATGCTGATTAGCTTTGGCGTTCTTTTGCTTTCATTTGACTGTTCATAATCAAGTGTTACCCAGGCTCCAATTTTAATAAATTTTCTTAAAAAAAGGATTTTGTTACAGGATCAGAGTAAAACCCATCAGTGTTATTGTAAATATTACCATTTACATCATCATCATCATCATTACTATTATCATCATTAGTACATTATTATTATAATCACTATTATTATTATTATTGAAACTTATTATGATTACAGTTGAACCTCTCCACAATGGCCATCTTGGGGAGCGAAGAAAGTGGCCGTTCAAAAGAGGATTGATGTATGGATCGCCCACCAAATAAAATGGTCATTTTGGAGAGGTGGCCCTTAGTGGAAGTTTTACTGCATGTTATTTTTATTAGTATAATTTACTATTGTTAATTTTATCACTGCTTTTCTTATAACTTTTTACAGGGAAGAGATGAACGAGAAAGCAAAGGAACTTGGTGTAGATGGCCCTCTAGTTACTAAATACTATGGAGACACTCAGAGGGAAGCTGCTATGAAGTACAAGAAGGGTGTGTCATGGGCCAAAAGGTGGAAGAACCTCTCAGATGAGGACAAGAGACCAAAGTTTCTCACCAGCTTACCAGATGGCACCTCTTATTGCTAGTATCTTTTATAAAGTACTAAAACTCTACTGGTATCATATCCCTCTTTGTAACCAGACCTTGGTCAGTGGGGGAAATATTTTTCCTTTTCCTTTGTCTAGGGAGAGTTTTCTTAGAGCTTAGAAATTAAAGGCCGGAAACCCTCCAGTCTGTTCTTTTCTCTAAGAATTCACAAGATCTTTCCCAAGTTTCATCAAAGACTATGTCCCTTCCTGTGATTTTAGTAGGCAGATTTAGCAAAGACAATGCTATATTTTAAATGAGATCACAAAAGAACCTGGTGAACTCAACTTCCAGTGTTCAATTCGCTGCTCTGTACAGTCACCATTATCATTGTCGTTGCATTGTCTTTGCTTAATCTGCCTAATGAGGCACTCAGTAATATCCTTGTTACTGTATTTGTTGTCACCATGTTGTTATAATTCAAAGTTTTGTATTCTTTAACACAACTGTCTTCAGCTACCCTTCTGGCCGAGTGGCTATATGTGCCATATACCCTGGTCCTAATATTGCTGGGAGGTACACTATAGTGTATGGAGACTCTGTTGACAATCCAATGTTAGCAATTTTTGTTCCAGCAGGACAAGGCTGCTGTTTCCACAAGAATGGAAGCATTAGGTAATAAGGATATTGGGTGATTAATTCCCTGATGAATCTGGCTTTTAAGAGTTAGACAGTCTCACACCTTTGAACCTGACTGTGTTTCATCTTCTTTGATAGATTTGTTTCAACCACTAAATTTGGAGCTGTCATGGAGGATGTAAGTAGAAGTAGAATTTTTACCTTTTCACAGTTTTCTTTTGTGTTCATGTGTTTTCCCAGCAAACAGAGATCTTCAGTATGTATGAGATGCTTTATATTCCTTGGATTCAGTCTGGCTGATTTTATAGACTGTACTTCATACATAGTCAATACATACTTCATACTCAAAGCCAGCTGAGTACAAATTTACTCCAACCAAGGGGAGACTGAGTATATCTCAGCTTCCAATACTAAAAAGTATTGGAGGTGATGGTGAAACCCGCCTTTCTTGGTTACACAATTTATTCTCTCTTGACTTCCACCCTTCCATCGTTATCATTTTATGCTCTACCTGTCCCCCCGAGATTCTTGAGGTTTTTCAAATGTATCTTCTAATATTTTTGATAATGCACTGTTAATTGTGTTCAGGATGGCAAAGTGGAACAGAAGTGGAAATGGCCTCTTGGAAGACTTCAAACAACTATTGTAGTACAGGTAAGCACCCCATATAATTATCATGAACTACTGAGAGGTGCTTTTATGAAACAGCCATTGATAACTGCTGTCTATTTTGCCTCTAATTCAAATTTCTTAAAGTAATCTCTGCTGTGACATCAGTAAGCTTTTACTTAAAGGAAACTTGGTTTTGTAAAAATGATGTGAATATTTTTGGATCAAATGGCTGAAATCTTACAATGCTGATTTGTGGTGAGTTGCCTTAAGTGTTAACCACCAGTCAGACTACCCTGACTTATTTTCTGATAAAGCTAGATTCTGTGAGTTAGCAATTTGAAGAAAGAAACATTGCTTAATAATCTCACTTCCTTCTTACACAATGACCACAAGAAATTAAACTCTGATTATGATGAGACTGATTCTCTGTTTTCTTACAGCTGAATAACTTCATATCTCTCCGTTGCGTCAGCCAAATCGGGATAACACTGTACTTCAACTGTCAGAATGAGACAACTAAGTTTCCTGTTGGAATGGCACAAGGAGCAAAACCAGTTAAACTAACAGAGTTGGTAAGTTTATATAGGCGTGGTATAGGCGTGGTCAGTGTTGTCCCAACAGGATCAGCAGCGTCACTTGAAGTCTGCATGTAAGCATTAAAGTACTTACAGCTCAAATGGGTCCTTTGCACAAAACGGTCACATGGTACAAAAGCACCTTGCTGGAGGGCAAACAATACAGTCGGGCTTTGAAAAGAACAGCCTGTATACAGACGCCCCCCCCCCCCCTCCTCCCCTCAGAAAAAATCTGAGGGGAGGGGGGCGTCTGTACACAGGCTAGAAAAGAAAGGATAATAGCTTTTTGAATGTTGTAATCTCTTTGTTTTACTTTCCACACTGCTTTTCGTTTACCTTCTAGCAAGTTGTTTTTGTTTCATGTGACCTTTTCGTGCAAACCAGATTCAATCTCGCTGTTACCCAGTGAACTGGACAAGGACGCAGGCTTAGACGCGCATAAAGTAACTGAGTTACAGACGTGTCATCAGTTTGATCACCCAAACAGAATATCATAGGTACTGATAACGAAACATTGAAAAAACGCTCGAACTGGATATAGTGGCTAGCGTAACATCACTTATTCAAAACGCGTCATACGAGGAAGAAAAATTTCATTGAAGTTTCTTTGTAAGCCACTTGAACTTTCATCAGTTTTCCTGATAAGAAGCCCAAGATACAAGTCCCAGCTGTTTGGTTTCTATTTGTACAATTAATCTTTGTTTTTGTTTTTTTTTTGGTACGTTGTATTTCAGGGTTATCTCCAGACATCTACGAAATTTTCTTCAAATGCAGCGCTACAGGTAAATAGTCTAGTTTGTTAACGTTTTAACATTATTCTAACGTGTATAATTCCCTGTTTCACTGTTAGTAAATGGGTTGCAACACATCTGATTAAATCCAAGTGATTTTTGTTCTTTGTATTTTAAGTCAATGAAGCCAAAAGTGAAGAAACGAGAAGAGAAGAGAAGGCGGCGGACGCAGGTGGGTTTATTACTATTATTTTTTGTCGAAAATAAACATTGTTTCACTGGTGCACGGGTTTAAGGTTGTGAAATTTGGAGCTATTCAATCTCATATAACATTTTTCTCGTAAGTCATGCTTCAATTGGTCTAATGTATTTTCGATACTTTTAATAAATTACTCCTTTCTCCTTCCTCTTTTGTCAGTACTTGCGTCTGCTTTCTAACACACGTAGAAAGGGGATTCGTGGCGAGATTTGTGTGATCATAAATTTCAACCCTCCGACATCAAGATCAAAGCTTCGTTCTTTCCCACTGTTTACTACTGAACCCTTTTCACTCATTGTGTGTGTCTGAACCGTTACTGACTCTATTATATCCAACAGAAACTGAAACATATAGAAACCATTTCTGAGGAGTTGCTTGAACAGCGCCTACAGGAGTTAGAGGAGAAATTTCCTGAGAGAAAAGAGTTGGATTTGGATGCGCCGTGGCAGATGGATCTTTTAAAACTGCAACGTAAAGTCAAGTAAGAAAAAGATTAAAAACAAAGTCACCCTTAAAGAATTGGCTTGGGGTTTTGATCCAGGACAACTTATACTACAAAACACTTTTCTTTCAGGGGTTTGATCTATGACTGGATGGAACATTACCGAGTCGCTGTCGGTATATCTCCCCCTTTCCGCATCTCGTCTCGTGCTAAGCGTCGCTCCAAGTCTCACTCTGCTCGATCCATGCCCGGGGCCCTTCCTTCCGCGGTCCAGGCAGCAAAGAGCACTTTTCGGCGATCTCCGTCGGCCCCTCCTGTGTCTCATCGTCAGGGAACATCTCGGGACCGTCCAAGTGTACAGTTTGGTATTCGTCCGCATAGCTCCGCGGAGAAAGCAAAGATTGGAGTAAGAGGAGAAGATATCAACGGTATTACAATTGAAGTACCCACTGGTGAGATGCTGGGATCAAGAATTGCTAGTAAAGCCACCTCAGCAATATCTGGGTGAGTACTTTAGTGTTTCATGTCGCGTTTTAAGCCCAGGGGAGACTCCGCATATGAAAGGGGTGGGGATGCTCGTGGGAAATTTTGAATTAAACCCCTAAAGGAGAGCGACCTGGGCGTGGCCCAAGCGTTTTTTGACCCCTAAAAGAGACGAAAAAAATATACATATCAAATGTGTATTTTTATATTTTTTCCCGTGCAACCTTGAACGAGACCTTCACGGCTAAATATGATGGCGTTTTGTCCAGAACACCCTAAGTGAGACCAAAGTCCGAAATTTACACCCCTAAGCGAGACGACGAGTATCCCCACCCATTTCACCACCCCCGGGGGGTTTTAAGGCTCTTCTACATGAGGTTCAACTTCGCAGTACATGGATACGCAGCTTTTAGAACTATTGACTGACCTGCATGATATGCTCTGAGATAATAAATCAGGTGGAAATGTGCTCTGAGTTTGATTAAAGGACGGAAGCAGAAAAAGGCTTGCTTAAATTTGTTTAGAGAACCGGTAAAGTGCAAAGATGAGATCTTTAGCTTATTTTGCCATTTACTGACCGTCATATGTTGTCCTTTTGAACGTTCTTTGGATTTATCATGAAGAAGGGCGAGTGCTTGAAATGCCAGCTTTTCAATCTTTTTAACCTGGTAAATTGACTTCATCAGTAGCCTGAATTTAAGACATATCTTCGAGTCGTACATGAGGGTGTACGCGACTCGAAGATATGTCTGAAATTCAGGCTACTTCATCAGCTCAGTTGATTAAACCATTTATTTTTCTCCTAGCTATAGTCCAACAGTGGCCAACTCACGGACACCATTCCGCTGTGGGGTGATACAGCAGGCACGTGCTTCCACGCCTCCCAGGTGTGGTTGCCCTGTGTATCCTTTAATAAATCAATAATTTGTTGCTGTTGTCGTTTTTGTCCTTCTTGAGGTTTAGTCAAGCTCAACAATACATCGGGCCTCACAGATCGCCCTTTCGATCTTGTGCTTTCGCCACAAGACTGCCGCGTGCGTTATTCTGGGTACCAGAAGTTTTTCCTCGCGTGCCGCTGGATGCTTCGCTGCCGGCCGGAGACCGACAGATCTCGGGCTGGCGGCCGAAATCACGAGCGGGTCCCCATAAAGACTTGACCGCAACCGGAAACCGCCCATGAAAGTATCTGACACTTAGGTTAGTCGTGCGTTGAATTGTATGAATTTGAGTTCTACTCCATGATCTCTTTGTTACCCTGCCTTAACCTGGTGTTCAGCGCTCTGAGAGCTGAGATGAGGGGAGAAAAGGATCCTCAATGCAGGTAAGGTATCTCAAACCAGATCGAGTCATTGTGAAAAATTTTACCTCTATTATTAGTAAATCTGTTCCACTAGAATCTTCTTTACGCGAGATCACGCATTGTACTTGATATCGCAGTGGACATGTGACACGTTAAATTGCCTATTTAATCAACCTCGTCCCCAGGACTTTTTTGTTAAAAAATGGTTGGGACCCACCCATTTTTTAAGGGACAAGCCCTGGGACGAGGTTACTATTTAGTGTCCCTTGCCATAGAAAAATATTTCTTGATAGCTTCACGATTTAATTTTCTTTTCACCGTCAAATTGTAACCGTGCGCTCTCATTTTCTCGCAGATGTGATCGTCGTAAAATCCCGCTTGTCACGGACCTAGAATACGATGCATTTATTACCGACCATGTTCCTCGCACGCAGCTCCTCGTGGTCAGCGTCACTTCATCACTGTAAGAATTGTTAAATTAACGAGCAGGATGACACCCGGGCTTAGATTGCATCTCCCACGCGGCATCGCAGTGATTTCGATGCTGCACTACTCTCAGTATAAAGTTTTACCGGCGACTTTCATTTATACATGTTCTTTGGTTATTCTCGAGGTATATTTATATCCTCTTTGTTGTTTTCCCAGCTATCCTGATGCAAACCCCTGTGACAGTATGCTGGATCAACTATTTCATGAAAAGAACCGCAATCGATCTCTGCCTTGTGTTCAGGTAATCATATATTAAGACATTAGTGTTTAAAATTGCTCTTGATGTCTTAATGACATCAGGGGAAGGAACTGCTATACTTAAAGAGAGCTTTTCCGCTTTTTATCAACAGGCCCAAAATGATCCATTCCGCTTGGTGCGTTACGACATCTCCTCAGCATCACTTGGATGTGGTGATCAGTCCCAGCCCCTACTCCTCAGAAGACATAACGCTGTACCAGGACTGTTTTTAGTAAGTAGTGAACGACATGATTTTAGTTAAGCAAGGTAGAAGAAGTTGAAAGAGCCTTGAGGATGTGAAACGAGCATACCACACAAATCCGAAAAAACGCCCTTTCTGTCGTAATTAACCCCGGCCTCTATGAAGTTTGCATTACAGTTTGCCGACACAGTTCCGGACTGCAAGCGCCACTGACTGTATTCATTTTGGCGAGAGTTATTACCTGGTGCACTGTTAATTGCTTGGTGTGCTTGTTTCTTTTGCAGATGTACACCGGGGGTAGGCTTCTGTTTGCTGATCATATATTCAACGGCTATGGAAATGCTAAGAAAGATTTTCTCAAACAGGTATGACTACCATGTTATTAAAAAAAGTAATGCGTTAGAGCGCCACCAATTCAAGATATCCTATTTTATCTTACAGCTGCTAAATGTTGGTTGTTCTGGAGTGTGATCCTTTGACGACTTGCGTAGTACTCGATTTCAAGTATGTAATCTGTCATTATTGTTTTATTGTAGATCATGAGGTCAAGAAAAGACGCTTTGGAAGGAAAATCTCTCCCATCAGACTTCCGCCTGAGCCCTACGCGCGGTCGATCCGGACCGAGAGCAGCCTGGGGTGGAGAAATAGGTGGTGTGAAGATCACACAGCGTGCATTACCCAAAAGTCCACTAGTAGGTGAAGTTGAAGTCTTTCAGAGTGGTACAAGACTCGATTCTGCCAATACTGTTGGGTCTCTAAGCTCTGCTTCGATTGAAATCAGGTGAGGTTAATGGCCTGCTTTCGCTCATCTTCTATAATGCACCGTGTCTCCCCCACCCCCTTCAAAAAATTTTCCATCGTCCTCAATTTCTCTTGGACGATTGTAATACCCAGGAAAAATGAAAAACAAACGTTATGAAAAATTCGGGGAAGTGGGGGGAGGTAAGCAAGGTGTATAATGGGAAATGTGCAAATGGCCAATTCAAAAAGCAACGTTGGTGTGGCTGTTGGCGCAAATGTACGCAGGAATCCGCGCTCGTACAGGACGCGGTTATGCACAGTAACATGTGCAATAAGTGTAGGGATGTTTCCTCATTGTTTGTGGCAGTCAGACATAACATGAAAGTGCTAGAAAACGCTTCAAACGCAGATACCCACTAAAGTTCTTTTACTAATAGTACTGATCCTTTTCTTGTAGGGGTGGTAGTAGTTCTGCTGCGAGTTTTGTTAATCTTGGTTTGTCAATTGACTCTCCATTTCCTATGCACACAAGAAAATGGGTGGCATCGAACGAGACAATTCCCGAGCATCGGAGAGTGCAAACATCGGCGTGGTAACGAGGGCTGACAGAACGAAAATTTAAAGAAATAAATAAAAATTTAAAGAGAAAGATAAAGATAAAGAAAATTAAATCTTATTTATGTCTGCTAGACGTGGACTATTGCAATAAAGAGAAAGATATTTTCTTCTTGTATTTAAATCAAAAGAATTTTCTTCGTTTTTTAGCTTTCTTTTTTTGAAATCAAAAAAGTGTTTAAATCAAACTCTTTGCCGACTGAACAGGCAGAGAAACCTTTTTTATCACGTGACACCCTTCAATATCTGTAATATATTTATAAAACTACAATAAAGTAGATTGTTTTCTTGATAAGCGTGATGCGTCTTTAATACTCAGAAAAAAGAAGGGTTTCAGTCGTTGGTTTCCATTCAATTACAGTAAACTCTCTCTAAACTGCACACTGCTGGAACCCGCAAATTGTCTGTCTTGTAGAAAGTCAAACAAAATTACTGAAGAACGACAGGAACCTTGTTCAGGTGTCCGTCTTATGGAGATGTCGCTTAGGTAGAGTTGTCTGTAAAAGCTACTGAATTTTGGTGCTTTTTATTATGTACACTATGGCTCTACCATATTTTGCTTAAAAAAATCAATGGCACAAACGCGTTTCAGTTCTCGGTCGTTATTGGTTATGATTTAAAGAGCTAGGTTAGATTAAAGAACACATTGTCTAAACAATATGTTGAATTTCTCGATACCATTTTAAAAATGTTGTTTCGGAACCAAGATGTGATTGGCTAGTTTAGCAGGTGTGGCAGGTGAATACCGCCCAATGTAAACCTGTTGACTTTTCATGCCCTTCCATTTCATTGACGCATGCGCAATTTCTCATTTAGAAATTATCTAACCACACAAATCTTGAAAGGCTAATTTTGAAAGCCGCTATGTTTATCTGTGGAAGGTTTACACAATCGCAAAGAGTGGGAAAGCGAAGGCAGTGACGCACGATCGTGAATGAAGGTTGGCAACTTGAGTAATATCATGTGGTGACTCGTTTTTGTTGTAACCGGTTAACAACCAAGTTCACGTCTAACGCCGCAAAATATTTGATATGCGAACCTCAGGGTTTTCGTGACAAGCAAGGACATTTTAATTTTGGGGATTCTGCAATACTTACGGGCCTCTTTGGAAGTTGGCGTAATATGTCTATAGTCATATGTTTTCAAGAGCAGAATGAGATGATTCGCAAACGGCTGTCAAAATGTGTCCTGGGTTTGGTTGTCGTAAACTGTTGTTTCTATTTCATTGTTTTTTACTTAAAGTTCGACCCCTTCTCTTTCGGCGAAGGAGAGCTTCCATTTACAAGGCAGATGTTACTTGAAAACAAAGCAAGTGAAGGACGAGGGTAAGTAAACATTAAAAGGAGGGAGATCAGAAAGTATCAACCCTTTCTTACGATTAATTTCAAAAGGCCAACAGGTCTTTCTTTGTTCAACGTTATGACACTGGAACAAAACTGACGCTGCAGCATTCCTATTTCGACAATAAAACATGCTGGACATGTAGTGGACATAATGTACAATTTATAACAAAATTCATAACACAAAAGCTGATACTCTTTGGATATATCTTTTTCAATCCGCAACTTTTTCTTTTATTCAAAAATTTCCACGTCCACACGTATCCGCATTCACTCTAATAGGTGGTTTTCATCCAATCTCAGGAGACACAAATAACAATGGTGAAATGAACAAATGCTGGTGGACAAACAAAACGAGCTAATGAGCGATCTTTTGTTTACCGTCCACCAGCATGGCGGCGATGACGTAACGTGAAAACCACCTATACCCAGCTAGGCCCAGCTAGACCTGGTTGTTCAAAGCAGGGTCAGTGCGAAATTTGATTTCCGATATGAAAGCTTGAGAAGCAAATTCAGTTTTATTCTTTTTGCCTACAATTTGATGATTGGATGCTCTAAAATGTAGAGAGAAAATTATCCAGTAAAATGCTTTTGAACAAAAGCAAAAGAAACCCGGGTTTAATTTAAACCCTGGGTTAGCGCTAATCGGCTATTGAACAACTGGGCACTCCCCTGATAATATGTAGATTTAGTCAAGGCTAAGAGCTTAGCTTTCTTTAATATTTATAGTTCACTCTAAATATAAAATCATAAAATCTTAAAGAAACCGTGAAGACAACGAGAACAGTAAAGAAACAACGACAATCGGTCTAATTAGCAAAAAAACAACTTTGCACGTGCAGCCCACTTTTTTCTAATTAGCAAAAAAACAACTTTGCACGTGCAGCCCACTTTTTTCTAATTAGCAAAAAAACAACTTTGCACGTGCAGCCTACTTTTTTCTAATTAGCAAAAAAGCAACTTTGCACGTGCAGCACACTTTTTTCTACTTAGCAAAAAAAAAACTTTGCACGTGTAGCACACTTTTCCTTGCCGTTGCTTTGCATGATTAAACGTGAAACTTCCAGAAACTTCCTAGTTACACGTTTTGTGGAGGAAATGTTGTATTCCTGTTCACTTTGGTTTTTCACTGCCGCTCATTTTCACCTTGGTGGCCGCTAGCATTTCTCATTTTCACACCGCCGCTATAAAATTTTCATGTTTTTCTTCCAGTTATATTGGTCTCAGTTGTTTTTTTTTATTATTATTATTTCTCGCTCTAGCTCTTTCCCTGTTATCTACGTTAATGTAGACATTAGGATTTAGTCAAAAGAAAGACTAGTGGCATTTTGGTTTTGTTTTTCCTTTTTTTTCTCTCCCTCTAAAAGTCCGGGTGGCCATGCGATTTACCGCCGAAACGAGAGAGGTGCTTGAAATGCAAAATGTTACATCAGCTTACATGAAGGGACGGACGATTACGTCACAACCAAATTTTCTTATCCATGGTGCTCCGCGCGCAAGAGTCCCCCTGATATTGGCAACAGAGTACGCGTCGTACGCGTCGCAAAGAGCGTGAAATTTGCATCTGGCTCTAAAGAACTGGGCTCAATCTTATTATGTCACCGGCTAAAAAAGTATCCGGATTTAGTCGATTTAGCGTCAATACGATCTCGGATTCATAGCGCATTCAAAAATCTTTACTTTGGAGAGCGGATTCAAAAAGTTGTAGATTTGTTTGCCAGATTCACCGGATACGTGTAGACGGAAGCCGAATCAGGAGAGAAAAAGTTGCGGATTAAAAAATAGCCGGATACGAGTGGACGTGGCTTTAGAGAGGTGCCGTTGCCGGAGTGACCATGTCCTGCGGCGTACGCCTTTATAAACGATAGCTCAAATACTACTTAACAGCATGCAAAAGCATGTTATGAAGAAGGTTTGATGTAACACCCCCCCAAATACCCGACTAACGAAAAATGTGTGAATTCCCAAACGCGAGAAATTACGCGCTACATAGTTTGAACTTTACAGCCTCTTATTATATTATTTTTTTTAGGTGTTCGCCCAAAAAGAACGTCGTTTTCCTTAAGACGCACAAAACAGGCAGCAGCACGGTAACGAACATTTTAAACCGGTTTGGAGACAAAAACAATCTTGTATTTGTTGTCCCAACTCAAAAATACAACCGTCTTGGATGGCCTTGGTTATTTCATGAAGATTATATGATTCACTATAACCACACTAAACCCAACATGCTTTGCAGTCATGCGCGTTATAACCGCGCAGTCCTGGAGCGGGTGATGCCAAATGACACAGTGTATGTTACCATCTTACGGGACCCAGTCAATCATTTTGAGTCCACTTTCTCATACATGGAGTTTAGCGATATATTGGGAATATCAAATGAAACAGATCCTTTAGAGACGTTCTTCGACAGCCCAAATGATGTTTTAGTTAACTATGTATTGACCAAGGATCTGAGAATAAACAGCGATCGCTTGAAACTCATTCGAAATGGTATGTTCTTTGACCTGGGAATGAAAAGTAGTGATTTCGACGACTCAGCAAAGATTCAAGCAGCCATTCAGAGACTCGACAAAGAATTTGATCTAGTGCTCTTGACAGAATATTTTGAAGAGTCTATGGTGATGTTGAAAAACCTTCTTTGCTGGACTACAGAAGACATGATACACTTTAACCTTAATCAAAGGCACCAATCAGAAAGAAGAAATATTTCATCTCATCTGGCCAAAAAAATTCATCAATGGAATAGAGCCGATACTGCCCTTTATGAATATTTCAGGGACGTGTTTTTGCGGAAGTTAAACGAGGAAGACGAGGATTTTTTTCGGGATGTTAATGATCTGAAAATAAACAATGAAGTTATGCGTGATATCTGTTTGGAGTCAGTCTCAGAAAACGATGAAAGTTACCAAGATACCGGTATAAAGGGATTTCACGCTCGTCAAAATCTTACTGAGCCATTAAAAACAACTTGCGAGAAAATGACTTGGAATGAAATAAGATACCTAGGTTATTTTAGGTACAAACAGAAAAGGTTGCTTGCTACCACGAAACAAACAAACACATTCTGGGAATATTTTAAGCACTGGATTCCTAAGTTGAACTAAAAGATAAGTTGAATCCAGCCAACGACAGACCTGAAAGCCTTGTATAAAAATTTGCCACTTTAAAAAATAAAGTAAAGTTAAAAACCTTTCCTATTTTATAAAGCAAGTACACAGGTTTTAATTAAGCTACTTAAATAAAGTTTCTTTTAAATAAATGATCAAATGTTAACAAAATGACGGCAAATGTTTAATTCTGTCAGTTATCAAAGTTTGATATGGAAGAGCATGCGCAGTCGTTCGCCACTTTACCGCCTTTTAAACCTTTTGACAGGGGAACCCCATCATATGACCACCTTGTTTCAAGAACTGTCCTGGTGAGAACCTCATTTTCCTGCAAAAACCATTAATCTTTACGTTTCCATATGTTCTCAAACAATGAAACATAAAACATGGCGGTGACCTTAATGAGCACGAAAACAACTCTGCACGTGCTGCACACTTTCTGATTACTGTACCTTTCTCTTGCAGTACGTCCTGCAGCAACTACGAAGTGCAATTCTTCATTCCAAAGAGGGCATGAGCACACAGCGACAACAATTTTTTCTTTCTCTGTTTAACTTGAAAGTGCTCCCTAAAATCACCTCTACTGAGGAAAAATCGTTCACCACTCAGCTCTACTCATAACAAATTTAGTGAAGTGGAATAATTTTAATGATGTTTAAACGAACGCAAAGTCATTTCGTTATCAACATTTTCACGTTTTCATTGTCATGTTTGGTAAGTTGAAACTTTGACATTACCTGTTCTGTCGTCAAAATCCTGCTGAGTTACAAAATGAACGAAAGAGAGGGTGCTGTTCATACCCCGATATTTCAGAGTCTAAGAGTTTGTCGTTTCAGCTCTTCGAGATCAGAACCTTTGGACTCTTATACTTCGTATTTGTACGATGGGATTTTACTGAATTTGAGCAAAACCAGCGAGAAATCCCAGTGGAAAAAATCTCGTATGCTACAAATGAATCCACCTTACCGGATAGCGGATAACTTTTATGCCAGCACGAAAACCATCCCAGACAGGGCTTTTGTTTACACATAAGAACGGTGATTTCAGCGCGAGGCGGCGCCTGGCCGCGCGCTTATCTCTAATGTGAAGAATTACATATCGGACAGGTGTTTACGCTACGCCGGACAGCTTTTCGTGTAGGTACGAAAATCTATCCGCTATCGGCTAAGTCATGCCGTCTTTCCTCAGGGTATCAGATAAAGAAACTGTTTCATCCAAAATCTCCGATGTATAAAATTTCTAACTGTAATCGCTTTACTTCTAGTTATATTTGTGACAACATTCTACTTCTGGCTTCATTCAGTGGCCGCAGAAAAAAGAAGATAAAATGTCCAAAAATATCAGGAAACCCGCACTGTTAGCCTTTTTTCTTTGCGGTTTTATAGATTATTCTCGACCGGTTTGTAAGGCTAGCGGAGCGAAAAGGCCCCAGGTTAAATTTCCTGGGAAGTATTAGTATAGAGTTTGTCTATAATAATATTTTATTAAGAATTAAAGACGGAACGAAAAGTTCCTTAAAAAGGGGGCTTTTTCTCTGTAACCTTCCCGCCCACCCCGGTGGCTACAAGTGGAAAGTATTTTCGCGCCATTTTAGCCCTAGAGTTGGCGCGTGCTATTTGTGGATTTTGATTGGGTAATATCTGTCACGTGAAGTTTGAATTGGTTCAACACTGGGTAAGTAAAAATGTCGGAACAAACAGGGGAAAAGCGGCGAAGGAACAATAAGCAGAAAATATCACTTTGCTCAACTACTGTTTTTACAACTTTGCTCTTTTCATTAGTCAACGACTCTTTAGGTTCTTATTTTAAAGGTAAGCTGGGCTATTTCTGGACTTTTTGACGCTTTCTGCATCTGTTCTTTTCAAAACTTAACACAGTTTTAGGTATGGATTAGCTGATCGCTAAAAAAACTAAACTTCTTAAGCGACAAACTGTAAGCTTTTAACCGTAAGCTCATTGCTAAAATGCCAATCCATCTGTTACTTTTTCGTATTTATTTGCATCTTGCTGAATAAGATTAATGCATGTTCAGTAAAAGCTGGAAGTATTTCTACCGTGTAATAGGGTTTATGAGTTAATTTTACCTAAAGTTTCTTGGTTTCGTGTTTTTCAAAAAGAATTCGGCTTTCTTTAGGTTTTAGACTTGTATCTTTTGCATTAGCATAAGTATATTTTGTTAGAACTTAATGAAGAGAAGTAAGCTTAATTCCTCCCTATAAACAAAGTTTGAATTTTTTTTTTTTTTACCTAAATCCAAAATCCCACTTAAAAACAACGGCATCAGAGTAAATCCAAGTTATTCTTATTTTATTTTTGAGAGCAGTTCCTCCGTTCATTTCCTTTGTTTTCAATTCTACTGGTATAATATAATTATTCGTGTCTACCATCAACCAAAAAGGGCTATGGGAGTAAAATAGTTATTCAACTGATAACATCAGTCTTAGGACCCTTCCAAAAGTCCGAACTGGCCGGCCTGACCAGTTATTTTGATGATGAAATAGGCTTTTTCAAAGAGTTCTTTTTAAAAGAAAACCATCTCCTTTGTGGATACTATTCAGGATTTGAATAATCTGGCTAGATATTCTTGATTAAAAGTGAAATTCTCATTACGACCAGAATGGACTGGCCGGTCAATTCTGACAAATAGAAAGCCCTCTTAGAATAATTATTAGGAACAGTTTGCAATATTTTGTTTTTTAGGTGCACCACTTATGAGAAAAGTTGTAGATTAAACTTACAATAACTCCACCGATTGTGCCTCACAACCAGCCAGGACAGTTAACTTGACCTTAGCTTAGACATGAGGGCTTTAATCACTCTATATATAATACTGTGTTATGTTTTATATTTTAAGACTGTCAAGACCCACTAATCTCAGGTCATGAGGACAAGTTTTTTTGGTTTACTGCATCATCAGTACACTCGATGTCAGTTCAACCTAAACTGTCTGATGGATGGTGTCCTGTTGTCACAGATGACAATAGAGAAGAATACGTAACGGTAAGATCAACAAAAGTTTATAGTTAAGTACTAAGTAATATTGATTATTTTTGACCCAAACATATATGTGTGGGACTTATCCAACTAACTGACCATACCACAGAGACAACAACATATACTGATTTGCATAAATTCTATTTTTAGGTTGATTTTCAGTTCCAAGTGGCTGTGACTGGTGTTGTTACACGAGGATATAAGAATAACTGGGTACAAGAATACCAGATGGAGTATAGTGATGATTATTTTTTCTGGATGACACTCTGGCCAGTAGAACATTTTAGCAGGGTAAGTTTGATTTAGTCTTGGTACAAATACTTTATAGCATGAAAGATTAGGCTAAGCAAGGTGTAGTCAAAATCTATAGGGTGTTCTCAAAAGAGGTAAATCCCAGGCAAAAATCAATTGCAGACGTTTGACTGATACAAGCACCCGCTATTACGAGCTCTCGCTAATGGTACACTAACACGAGGTCCCGCTTACAGAGACCGCTATAAAGTGAGTTGACCGTATTGGTATCCCAAAACCGGGGGGGACTCCGCATATGAAAGGGTTGGGGATGCTCGTCGGAAATTTTGAATTAAACCCCTAAAGGAGACCGATCTGGGCGTGGCCCAAGCTTTTTTTGATCCCTAAAAGAGACCATGTTAAAACACAGACGAATGAGAAAACTTGGATTATAGAATGGAGTAAATGAAACGAATTAAAAATATACAATATCAAATATATATTTTTATTTTTTTTCGTGTGCAACCCTAAACGAGACCTTCACAGCTAAATGATGATGGCGTTTTGCCCAGAACACCCTAAAAGAGACCAAAATCAGAAATTTACACCCCTAAGCGAGACGACGAGCATCCCCACCACTTTCATATGCGGAGTCCCCCCGGGGCCAAAGCAATGAAACAGCGGCGGCCATACTGGCCATACTGGTGTCCCAAACTAAAAATAACTTCGTGTTTAGAAATACAGGATTGGATGGATCACACCTACAACGTAACTAATCAACGGTGAGCCGCATCTCACGCTCATAGTTCTTATGGCGGCTCGACGTATAAAGAGTGATCTGATCTTCAAAAAAGGTGGAAACGGAACGCTACTCTCACGTACGCTATCAAGGTTAAACGAGTAGAAAGGATGTCAATGATTGATTGACAACGGTCTCCAAGATTTTTTACGCCTTGGAAAACAATCGGTATTGCAAAAGTAGAAATTTGACTAGAAAACCTTCCTTCTTAGTACTAATAGGTAATGTAACTGTGATTACCAAGATTCCCCCCCCCCACCCCCTCCCCCACCAACGAGGCATGAGTTTGAATGCTTCGAGATCATATAGAAAAGAGAAGGAAGATGCACGAAAAGATGCATCGTCGCGCGTCTTATTGTAATTAACAGCAACTTATATTTTAATTTTGAGTTTGGTTAATGATGTATGACTCCGGGACAGTTGAACCTCGATGTAACGAAGGGCGAGCGGATTGCCAAAATTAGTTCGCTATAACGAGGTTCGTTATTTCAAGGTTCTTTTTCGTATATTTTACTATTACTGGGGTAAAGAAAATTGTTCGTCATACCGAGGTTCCACTGTAAGCTGATTTTTGCCAACAGTTCTCATCAACATAAGTTTCATTTTCCTTTGACAGTTAATTCTTTGGGGCAACACAGACTCTGAAAGTTTTGTAATCCACTGGTTTACTCAGCGCTGGAGAGCAAGGTATTTCAGAATCATACCGAAACGGTATAATGGCATGCCGTGTTTGAGGTTTGAACTGTTTGGATGTGATGGAGGTTAGTAACGATTCCTATGCCGGCCTAGCTACTTGTACAGGAAATCTATTGGTTGACCTGAAAATAATATGGCCAGTATATTCTTTTGTTATATGGGTTTTACCAAATGGACCCCGGCGGATAAATCACAAACTAGTAAACAAGTGGCATGAAAACCAGCTGCTCTATCCGCTGAATTGACTTTTACCAAGTAGATAGCCGCACTACATCCACATTTTGAACAAACAGAGCCAAAAGTCAATGCTGTTCACCCTTTTTCACAGCAAGACTCGAAACATGTGATTTCATAGACCCTAATAGTAAAAGACCTTGCTTGACTTGCTTAGTGGCCCTGAAAAATATAGCGCTAAATCATTGGTTATTTATAAAGATGGTTTGGTAAAATTTGGTCATTTCACGTCGCAGTTGTGCAGGGACGACCATGAAAATTACAAGTCAGGAGCAGAGTTGTTGCTTTGCTCATCACACCTATAGCTTTTTTATGACGTTTCTGTTGTTTCCATCGCCGTCTTAGTAGGGACCTTACGATCCGGCAACGGCGACGTCCATGAAAACGTTACTGAAAAATACACTCGGCATCCTTTCAAACCAGTTCGCGATTTTGCCAGGTCGCCCTGTTACTTACAAGAAGGGAATTTAGGTTGGAACTGAAGAGAGGGAACCGCGCCCGAGCCCAGACAGAGATGGTAGAATTTATTATCTTGCCGTTTCCGTCCTCAAAAAAAAATTAACATTTGGTCATTCCACTTTGTAGTCGTTCTGGGTCGGCAAAGAAATGTACAAAAAAGCGTGATTCAAGTGCAGAGTTGCTGTTTTGCTAACTAAACCTATTGCTTGTTGACGTTGCCGCTGCCGTCGTAGTTTCGTAAGGTCCCTGATAGGCTGATTTAGCAACAGAACGGGAACGACAACGGCGCCCGCAAATCAAACAACTGGCTTGACCAATGGCAGAGCGACAAATTGGGCACCGGAAGTCGTCTTTAGTCCTTTCCGCGCGCTTTCCCGTCGTCAACTGACGTTCCCGTCCTGTTGCTAAATCAGCCTATTATCTAAGGAGAACTAACCCTTCCCTTTGAGAGAGAACCAAGAAGATTTGATTGATCTTCATTCTGAAAGCTAAACTGAGTCACTATCGTTCTATTTACCACCAGGTTTGAGACAGGCTATGGGATTCAGTGAAGCAAAATTTGGTCCTAGGAGTAGCATGATCCCACCATCATTAGGGAATTTGTGGGATATAGGATACATTTACAAGGGTATCGGCCAAATCCTTGGATGGTCACCGGAGAAATCAGGCCATTGGGTTACCAACTTTTATGTTTATCTGGGGGCACTGCACGTGGTCAGTGGATTTACTATAGAAAAGTGTACGTTAGTACGTCCTTGTTCGCCATGGTATGCGTACTTCGCGACGAAAAACGTTACTCTTGCCAGCCAAACCAAATTTTCTGACGAAAACTATGTATATGAAGGGCCACGTAATTGGATCTGGTATACTGCCGAAAGTCAGGTAATTGTGGAATGTATTGTTGGGTAGATATTGATAACCACTTATTCTGAGTAGCTCTGTAATTTAGCATTTACAATTTTATATTTACAACTTCGCAGTTATTGATGTCACAGTGAGCGTGCAGCCCGTTACTGGATGTCCTGGGTTCTTATTCCAAGCTCTAGGCCTGATGACGAATATAGAGAAAGCATTTCTAGTGAAATTAATGTGGAAAAAGTTACTAAATCCTTTGATAATGATATTTAAAGTAAACGAGGTTCCGAATCCTACGATAAAAAACTTTTTTTTTTACTTACAATACCTTTACCTCACATAAAAGACAAATAAGACAGACTTGGGAGACAACGTTTTACACCAATTACAGTATTTAGCCTCACACTAGAAGAAGAATAAAAGCTGTGTCTGGTTTGTACTTCAGACCAAACTAAACGAATAAAATGGACGATAAAGAAAAAAATACACTAATTATAATGATAATACTTATGATAAAAAAGGGGGAAATTTCTATGTAACAAAAATAAATCTAGGCTGCGATATCACAAGATAAAGGAGAAAACGCTTCATGCCTTTGCTGAGGGATAGAAAAATTATTAGTATACACAGGAAGGAAGGCCATGGAAATATTTTGTCGAGTTCCAACACTGAACTTGGACGCCGGCAGCGAGCTCCCTGCAATCAACCGGGACGATTTGTCACGGGATTCACAGCTTAAATCGCTTGAAAAAAAACTTCCGACTTCATCACTGTAAAAAAGCTTGTATAATAACAAATTCCCCCACGATCCTAGGATTCGAAAACTCATTTACTTTAAAATTTTTAGTGTCTTATTTATATATTATATCTTTGTGATTTTGCTAAAAGATGCCCGCTAAGGTTTTGCTTGAACACAGGCATCGCCCGTGTTCAAGCCAGTATAGTCGGAAAAAAACCAGTGGGCTTGCCGTCTTGCTAGGTGTCAGCTGAGAGGCCACGCCCAGACCTATCCGTGGGTGGGTGGCTTCCTTGTTTTGAGTGTAAACCAGGGGGATAGGGAGGGGAGATTTTGTCACTTCGGTTAGAGTTTTATGTCAGAAAGCAGTGCAAAGTCAGAGAATTTTTCCTGTGGCCTAGGCCAGCCAAATCAATGCGGTGACTCATAATCATAACACTACTAGCAGAGCTTGGGGGAAGTGATTGACTAGTCAAAAGCTTCATGGGTGGGGAGGGTGAGTAATGACTCCTTGGAGTTGAGCGTCTAGAGACTCAGCACAGGCACCTTGTATGAAATCCAGACAGATATATATATATATATATGGATATTTCTTATTTGTTTTCTACCATTTCAGCGCTATCCAGTTATGGAACAATTGGAAGCAACTGGCCAGAGATCATTGACTTACCTCTTTGAACCTGGTTTTGGCAATGTTATCACTTTTCAGATACGTCACTTTGAAATATATCCATGGACTGACCCGAAACTGGCCGATCTTTGCCGCGACATTAGCTACGATTTTTGTTTTCGAGTGGAGGTTTATGGAAAAGACTTGGGTTTGTACATACATACACTTAAAGCTGTGTGAAATAAGGAAGATATATATACTACCTCTAATCAATACTAAACACGGCATTTCATCGCAATCTTCTGGAAGAGAAATGTACTCCATGGCCTAATTCCATTAAGTAAAAAGTTGAAATGACACTCGTTGAAACTTGTGAAAACTCTACTTTCGTGTCTTTTTTGACTAGATATGTTTTTGCTTATGCAAGCACAACGGTAATAGTAACAAAATGTCGAGAACTAAAATTGTCTAAGTAAAGCAAAACAACAATTTCACACGTGCATCAAACGTTTTGGTACATTTTGTTTCCGTTACTGTACGACTTTGACGTAACTCTCGGAGGTAGACGTATTCAAAGAATGAGGCATAAACACATTACTACGTTTCTTTTATTTGTTTGTTTCTTTATTCTGTTTTTGCTTTCACTCTCTTAACTTGTTCACGCTACCTAAAACTCAAAGGGTTATTCGAACGCATTTGACAAATATTGAACACTTTTCCCCAAACTGTGTTTCGCACATTTTTTATGTCCTTCTAAAAGTTATTGCTATCCTTTTCTTTTCAGAATGTAAAGCGCCTCTTGGGGTGGAGCGGAGCAATATTCATCCGCATGGTGCAGTTCAAGATGACCAAATGACTGCAACATCATTTGATATAAAGCATCCTGCACACTATGGTCGACGTGATGATTATCTAGGATGGTGTCCTAGTTCAGCCATCATGGAAGACCCAGTAGCCGCCAAATCACAGTACCTTCAAATAGACTTCATCAAAGTCAAAAGAATCACGGCTATCTTAACCCAGGGATTATTTCGTAACAGTACTGCGACGACGAAATACTACCTCTACTATGCAGTTGATCTTAGTGCATTCCATATTTTACGCTATGGGCCAAAAAAAATGGTAAGAGACATTAAAATCTTTTCTTTTTGCAGCGTCCTTCTGACTTAGTTTATACTTTAATGCATTGAACTCTTTCTAAGTCGGACACCACAGCCAGGATAGTGTCAGGACTTTGATAGAGACTGACACACTCCAAGACAAGGTTGACATGGATAATTATTTACATAAATGTTCACGATTTGCAACAAAGTTGAAATATATGTTGCAGTTAATTTTTTTTATTTCAGGCAATTTTTATTCTTCCCTTGTTTCAAATTTATTAGCATACTTACCACACCCAAAAACAATCTAAAACAGCCTCTCAATTTAGTTTTAAGGCTCATTTATTACTGACAGAAGATAAGGGACACTAGGACACTTAGTCCCGGTTCTTACGGTGTCGTTTTAGAGCCTGTTAGACTTGTCAGCCTCGCTATCTCCGCTTAGCATTTACTTGTTTAACCTTTACATAGAGCGACTTTCTGAGTCGCACCCCCACAAACTGAAATAGAGTGATTTGATTGGTTTATCGAACAGATACAAACGCCCGTGGCTTTTGGTTTGTTAAGCGAACGCTCAGGTCGAAAAACGTCATGTCCGAGAACTTTCTAGAAATCATTTGATACTTCGGTTTGATGTCATGCTGCAACACGATTGGCCAATCGAACAATGCCTTCTATTTATTAGGGTTTCTTTGGCGGGAAAGCGAAGAGTCCATGTTTTGATCTTCTCATCCATTGATTGATAATTTAAAAATAAAATAACGAACACTTACCGAAATCGTTTTTCAAGGTCATACGAAAATTGCTCTAACCCTTACATAAACTCTTATATGTTTTGACCAGCTGTTACCGGGAAATGATGGCATTTCTGAAGATCGCACCATCTGGTTTGATCCTGCAATTAACGCCCGCTACGTGCGTTTAAATCCACAAGACTGGTTCAACAAACCTTGTTTACGAGTAGAAGCGTTTGGATGTGATGCACTGGGTAAGTGCAGAAGACGGCAACCAAAAGAAATTATCACTCATTGGTAGCACGCACATTCTCCACACTGTGACTATTGCACTGATAACGTGATAGTTTTAACGATTTTTTCAGACGCGCTTCTCATCCGTTCACCATTTTGTTGAATACCGAGTACTCAAAAACTGCTAGGTTGGCACTACGTTGTCTTGCATGACGTCAATGATGGTATTTTTGCATTATACAGTCACTGAAATCTCATTGACTGACGTCAGTGATGGTATAATTGGTCAGCGCCAGATGGTTAAGAAGACAACAACCTGGGAACCAAAGCCGATCAGAAACCCCTCAAACGGAGAAATATTCTGAATGAATACAAATGAATAATATTCTAAACAAGACAAAAATAAGTCAACTTATATTTCTTTTAAACCTTTTCTATAAACGATCTTCCACGTATACATAATTAAAAATTAATATTATAGTTATTTACCTGAACGATAGAGTAAGGTCAAAATAAGTAAGCAATTGTATACTGAAGAAACGTAATTTTGTTTATAGATTGTTTCCTTGATATGTATTATCATTTTCAATGTTAGAATATTTTCGAGGTAGCCCTTGGCTGTTTTATATTCTGACATCAAACGAACCTAATGCTTTCACTATGCAGAATGTTACTCCGCCCTTGGGATGGAACATGGCATCATACAGGACTTTCAGATTTCGGCATCACGTGATACAGCTGCAAACGACAAAAACTGGGGCAGATTAAACAGTGTTGGATGGTGTGTAGATAGTGGTCGTTTACAATCCGCTTCTCCAGGAATGGTACTGGATCACTATTTGGAGATTGACTTCCTGGAACCACATTTGATCTACGGAGTAGCTACCCAAGGAAAGCAGCCACAAAAGCCAGACGATCCAAATGAAAGACCAGAAGCTGTCACCGCGTTCTATTTAAAGTACAGTTTTATGGGGAATGAGTGGTTTAGGTACCACACGGTATGAATCCTTTACTTTGGTATCTTTAAAGAAAAAAGACGGTTAATTGTACTTGAAGGTGTGGACCTAGTTCTGAATCTATTTTACTTCTTGTTTCTTTTTAATCTTAATAACAGTTATTGAGAGGTGAATATTATGGGAATTCAGTGATTCAATTCTGGCTGGACCCTCCTCTGATGACAAGACTAATTCGCTTTAATCCACAATCATCCTCGTCTTCATCGCAAATCTGCATGAGGGTCGAGGTTTATGGTTGCCCCGAAAAAGGTAAGGATGTCACCTTGAGAATCTGAATGATCTTCCAATAAGCTGCTTATGTCATATTTAATCATTCATAACTTTGTTCACATTGGGTTTTTTTTCTCAGTCCCTTTTAATCCTTTGTGGACGCGTGGAGTCGCCTTCCAGTCGTTCCATATGTAAGGATGCAGATTATGCCTTTTGGTGAACCCATTTAGCTTTCAGTTTTCAGTTTCGCACAGAGTAGTACTGTACTGTGCCCTTTATTCACCTCGACGCTTGATGAAATGTGGTTGAATGGGTTAAGTCCCGCTTAGATGATAATGTCACGATTAATGAAAAATGTCAGTCTTTGTTGCCAGTGCGCATGTGACAAATTTACCCTTACGATTTGACATTTAGGTCTCATAGAAGTTGTATTTTGGCTATGTTACAGGAGGACAAGATAATACTGGAGGTGCTTTTCGTGCTATTTCAGCTTGTTTACCTATTTACCTGATATTTTATTTTGTGCTTTTTAAACAGATGTGAGAAATCTTGAAAAATACCATGCTATTGGTATGGAGAGTTTTGGGATCAGTGATTCACAGTTGTCGTCATCCTCACAAGCAAATAATTCACACTCTGCCACATCTTCACGTTTGAATCATCACATTGAGGGTGGAGCATGGATTCCAGAAAAATCCGATGGTTTACAGTACCTTCAGATCGACTTAGAATGGGTGATGATCCTGACCGGAATAGCAACTCAAGGACATCCGGAGCAGCAGTATCGCACTTTAACCTACAAACTGAAGCATTCAATCAGCGGGGATCAGGCTTTCACTGACTATCCCCTGGTACGTATATAAATACACTGTTTGTGTACTCTTTTTCTCGTAGTCCGTTACATTTACCCTGCATAATTTACAACCTTCGCTATTAGTCATTTGTCTTCTTTAGAAATATCAGAGAGGTTGTTATCATTTCCAAGAGAGGATTGTGCATGACCGGGGAAGTCCAGTCCCTCGTCCCTGCTCACCAATACAATTGTGAGCGCACGGGCATTGTCATCACCGGGGTGTAGTAAACGACGCCGTATAGCTAAGGAACACATTTTGAGAAAAAGAATCATTTAAATGTTTCAATTATACTCTTTAGGAATTTGATGGAAACGTTGTGGAAGGATCAACAGTTTATGAATCTCTTACCTTTCTGAGATGCCGTTTTGTGAGGATATTTCCCCAACAATGGTCAGGAAAAGCAGCACTAAGAGTAGAACTTTATGGATATGACGCCGGTAAAAAGACTGCATCTAAATTAAAACCTTTTTTAAGAAAAATAGAGAATTTTTCAACAGTACCACAATAGACCATATTCTGAAAGTTAGCTTTAACTTTGTCAGTGTTCCAGCCAGAAAATTCTGCTGCTTGAGGGCCAAAGTGGCCTCTACAACTCATTTTTTGGGGGCCAGATATTTCAAGAGAGGGCCAATGTACCAGTATCTCTCTAATATGCAAAAGAGAAGAAACAGTTGGAAAGTTAAGGAAATGAAAATGACAGTTTATTTGAAGCACAGATGGGGCATCCCTTTTTATACACAATAGAAAAAATTATCTTCGGTAATAAAGCAAACAGTACGATCAGAGTGTATGCAATAAAGATAGTAAGTAATTTTTTTCAGCTCATTTTCCACTTCACCATCAAGATCTGCTTCCATTCGCTTCTTCTGAACTGCTTCGCCTCCAACCACTTTTTCGTGACTTATTGAGAGAAAACTTCTGATAGACCTCGAAGATGAGTTTGTCAGGTTTATCCTTTTTTGAGACGCCATGACCCATGAGCTTCTGCGATATTTCAAAAGCCAAGTCGAGGCTCATTGGTCTCCAGATCACTCACGGTAAATCAGGTAAACTCAAGAAGATCCATCGATTGATTTTCATGTTCATTGTTGTGTACAAAGGTACGGAGTCGTTGTTCTTTAGATTAAAAATTCTGTTTAATTGGAAAATTATTGAGGCAATTAAAAAGGGAAAGGGCCATAATGGCCCTTGAATGCTTTTGGTGGGGGCCATCTCTCGATCTTTTGCGGGATTCACGCAATGGCGCACTCTGGCTGGAACACTGCTTTATGCATGTATAGTTGAAGTTAAAACATTAAGCAATAGAGAGGATGACAACAATAAACAAAACTTAAACAACGACGGTGGCGACGGCAACAACAACGGCCAAGAGAATCAGTAGGTTTATATTAGCAGAACGGCAACTTTGTAAGTACATCACGCTTTTTTGTACATTTACTGGCGTCTTTGCACGACTGAGACATGAAACTTCCTAATTTATGGAGTTGGTGAACACAACGCAAAAATTTTCTTCTTCTTTTTCTTAACTTAGATACGGTCCTTTTGGATTCAACCCCTTAAAATTCGCCAACATTTGACATATTAAATGAAACTGAATATGATCGATGAAGTTTGCCGAAACAGCGGGAATTCAGTTTTTAACTGACGTTTTCGATTTGTTGTCATCCAGAAATTTTGCTACCATGGTAACGTGACATAATGACTTGTTCTCTCTATTATTACCCTGGGTACCAGAGATTTGTTCTCGCGTGTGACGCGGAGCTTCGTCGGCCGCAGGCCGACACGTCTTCGGCCTTCGGCCGAAGACACGACCGAAACCGGAAACCGCGCATGAAAAGTCTCTGGCACCCAGGGTACTCTATTATTGGATTTGGCTTTCGAATGATCTGCATCTTCAGATCATGCAACAGCTAATCCAGTTATTGTTTAATCGGTGTTATGCTGCCTGTTCTTAGGATAATTCAGGATATAAAGGGACGATTGGTGTTTAGATAATCATCTAGCAGATATTCTTCTAGAAGTTACCATCCGTCGGGTTTTATTTTTGCTGTCTTGCAGTGTTTTTAGGCTGTACTTCGGATATTTCTTCTTTGGAAAACGTGTGAAAGTTTCCACCGTTTTCTTCATCCCTCTTAAATAGCTGAGCTATCGCAACTTCGTTTTCAGGGCTTCTCGATTGCTGTCACTTCTGTACTTTTGAGGTCATTAGATATATAGTAGGTAGGCATGTACACGATACCAGCTTAAGCGTTCTGTTACAACGTTTTTTCTAAGCCTGCTATTGGAAGATAGGACGTTATTCACCATCAGCCGGACCTACCGAGTACAAAGCTTCATCCAATGCAAATCTTAGTCTTCCAGGATACAGTCATCTCCTTTCAGGGCTTGGAACTGGAGCATGGTGTGCTGAGATACAAGATCTAAACCAATATCTTCAGGTGCAGTATAGAATGTCAACTGACCAATCAAAATGTTAGGTGTTTTCTCGCTCACCAGCATGGTGGGCTAAGATACAGGATCTAGACCAATATCTTCAGGTGCAGCATAGGATAGCAACTCACCAATCAAAATGTTAGGTGTTTTCTCGCTCACCAGCATGGCCTGCTGAGAGACCAATATCTTCAGGTGCAGTATAGGATAGTAACTGATCAATCAAAAGGTTAGGTGTTTTCTCGCTCACCAGCGTGGCGTGCTAAGATACAGGATCTAGACCAACAGCACCAAAAGCTTTATTTGCATGACCATAAAGGAGTTACAGTATTGCAAAAGCTATTAGCCTAAATTTAAGTATTAATTCAACTAATTAGTACGTGCAAAGCATTACAAAACGTTACAGTTCTCATTCATTCATTCATTGATATTAATTTGGTTCTTAATTCAAAGCATTGCGAGATAAATGAAACTAATTGACAGTTAATTAAATAATCAGAAGAATTCATAAGAAGAGATATTAAAGTTTCGTGTGAAAGTGATTTGAAGTCAGGTATTTTAGTTTCTAGTTTGGAGAAAAATATGTCTCTGATCTGAGAATAAGCCTTGCAATCTAGTAAGAAATGATTTTCATCTTCGATTTTGTTACTTGTACAAAAGTGACATATCCTTTCATTGCGAGGAATGTTTTCGTATCTACTTGTTTCAATTCTAAGTTGATGACTACTTATTCTAAATCTAACTAATGCTTTTCTCGAAGGGTTTTTTCTTTTTAAACCTAGGTACGGCGAGGGGCTATAGTCGTCTTTGATTGTACAATAAAAACTGACTTTTGTGATCGTTGAAGGGTCTGATTCCTGTAAGAGACGTATTTATTTTTCATTAGACCAATATATTAGGTCTAATATAGGATAGCAACTGATCAATCAAAACGCTAGGTGTTTTAATGGCGTGCTAAGATACAGGATCTTGACTAATATCTTCAGGTGTGATAAAATATTAGCAATATAGTTTAGCTACTAACCAATCAAAAGGAGAGGTGTTTCCTCGCTCACCAGCATGGTGTTCTGAGATGCGGGATCTAAATCATTATCTTCAGGTGTGATAAAACCGGTATTAATTAGCAGTATAGGATAGCTACTGACCATTCATCGAAAAAGGTATTCCCTCGGCCACTAGTTCTAGTTTGTCCAAAGGTTACCGAACGGATTTAGCTAGTTGACACAAGCTTCTAAAAGCAAAGTGGTGGAATTCAAAATAAATCGGTAATAAGGTGTTGAATATTCCTGCCAGGTTGATCTGAGACAGGAAGTTGTCGTTACTGGAGTGGCAACGCAGGGACAGAAGTATTTTGACAACTGGGTTTTGAACTTTACGCTGGCTTACAGTCAAGATAGGCGTTCATGGAAAGACTACAATGGAGCAGAGTACGATTCCAGACAGGTATGGATTTATTATAGCCGTAAAAGGTAGAAAACAAGGTAAATATACCTTTTTTGTTTTTCCCCGTCGTTTTTTTTAAAACAACTGTAGCTTATTAGGTTTACTTCAAGTCTTTTAACTTGTTGCCGTGTACTTCGCACTCACGCGCGAGTTTAAAGACACGCACAGAGGCGGCGAGGGGGGGGGCGGTAATTTTAGCAACAGAGCAGCAATCATGGCTGGCTTAAGTCAGGTTATAAAAGATAGACAAATCATTATAGCATGTTACATACTACGGCACTCTTAAAGATTTCCTCTCAGATTGCTCAAGTTATAAATCGACAACAACAACTCTGTAAAGAAGTACCATAACACTAGGAAATTACTCTTGCTATCTGAGACCTTAACAATGATTGCAACGCTTGCATTACCATGTACTTGTTTCCCAGGTATTTTCAGGTAACCGAGACAGGGATACAGCTGTTCTTAACTTTCTCTCACTACCTTTTGTAACACGGTATTTGCGCTTTCATCCACAAAGCTGGAATAACAAGATTTGCATGAGAGTAGAAATTTATGGTTGCGCACCAGGTACAGTTTATACAAATTTCCTTTAATGATGTTTCTTCACCTAGTCAAAAGCTTCTTCTCTAGCTTGGTAGGTTTTTCTTCATTCGGAGTAATGTTTTCAAGGTTCTCGTTGCTTAGTTTAAGCTAAACAAATCTGGAGAAAAACAAAACAATATAGCAGTAAGAACAAAGAAACGTGGAGTGGAGGGTGTTTCTTCAAGTTCGAACAAGATCGTCTTGTGGATGGAAACTAACTTAATCCGGTTTAAGTTGATTTCTTCAAAAGCTTATTAATTGGGGCTACTTTTTTAAAACTACAAATTATCAAAATAAAATCATATGGTAAAGGTTATTTGAACCACATTTTTTTAAAGTCTGTCTCTTACTCTTCTTTTATCGATTAATCTTAGTTTAGTTGGCCTTTTTCAGGAAGAATCGGTGAAGCGCTAACTGATTACTCACAATGTTAGTGTGCTTCTTCATCATCATCATCATCAATCTTTATTTATACACGAAATCGTATCATTTTACATGGTCTTCCTAGGAATCGTGCTTAAAACTAGACTAAAATACACTAAGGAACTATTGACTATAATGTTAAAAATACAAAAACTTACATTATTAATAATAAGAGTTACAACGGGTCATGGTGTATTAAAATAATCTTTCCCATGAATTGAAGTTTTGAAAACATTTAAACTAGGCAGTTTTCTAATCTCTGAGGGAATCTTGTTCCACAGAGCAGATCCTCTGTAGTGTAGGCTCCCTTTTGCAGACTCGGTTCTGGGATCTGGGGACATAAAAATTTAACTCAGAATTTCTAAGATTGTGTGAATGTACATTTGAGGTGTTGGTAAAGATCCGCCTCAGATACGACGGGGAAAGATTATTATAGACTTTATACATTGTCCCAGCCAACTGTTTAAGTCTTACATATTTTTCTTCTTTAATTTCAGCTCTATCGGGTTGTGTCGATTGTAGTTTTTTTGCTAGATGCCTTACTCTCGAGGATAATGAGCCTACAATATGTATTTGTAATCCTGGGTACATTGGAGATGGCAAAACTTGCCAAGGTAAATGACTTGTGATGGAAAGAGTTGTTTAACTGACATGTTTTAGAGCATAGAAACGGTCGAAATTTTTTTTTCTCTAGGATCTCTTGGATCCCTATGACGTCACAGCAAAAAGTCAGACGCTGTAAACAACTGAATGAGCGTTAAAAATAGTGTTTATAAACACTTCTGTTGCAATGTTTTTACTCTGTCAATATTCCTGGAAAGGTGGCGAAAGTGGTTCGCTTCTTCCTCGAGTTATATATTTTTTAGTTCTTACACGGACCATTACTTAAGGCAATAAGCAAGGGTCATTGGAGAGGGTTATGCTTTATTTTATTTTATCACTTAAAATGGTCATTAACAACCCAACAGAAAGATCGACATGAAATCAATGAAGTTTTAAAATTTTAGGCTCAGTGGCCTGTAAGTCTGCACAACACCCATTGATTACTGAGTATGGACGACAGAAAGACAAAATGAGCTAGACTGTCTTTCTGGTCAGCATTTTAGTGTATTGTGTGAATATCTGCGCTAATACACCTTGTGTCTGAATCACACAATTAGACCGAAATGAATGTTCAAGTCCAATCTATCCTTGTGACAAGAATTCTGATTGTGTAAACACGTTGGGAAGTTATACCTGTAAATGCAGATTTGGATATGCTGAAAAAAACTCCGTTTGCACAGGTAAGGCATTTAATTCATGCAACAACAAACAACAACAACAACAACAACAACACTTTATTTCACCCCATAATATACAAGAAATAAAAATTTATAACAGTAGTACAGACGATGATAGGGGCGCTGGCTGCCCGAAATAACCTAAGAGTTAAAAATGCCAGTCAGCCAGTTAAAAGAAAAGATGTTTAAATGTTTAGGTCAGGGACACAATAACAAAGAAAACAGAGAAACACACACAAATAGTTAAGTAAACTACCAGTATATAAAGAGACTAAAATTCATACATTGCAAAACAGTATTATTTCCATTTTAAAGTTAGCCAGGAAATGTACAGATGTCTAGTAATCTTTGATAAAGTGCTGTTTCATTTCCTTTTTAAACAAAGACAATGAAGATAATTTGATATCTTCATCAATGGAATTCCATACTGATGGACCTTGAAATCTGATATTGAATATACCATAATTTGTTCTTGCTTTTGGAAGATAATAAGACTGTTTTGCACCAAGCTGTTTTGCAACAATCGCTTTCAACAGTTTAACCGCTGAATGATCGTAGGAGTCACGTTTGTTAGTTCTAGTTTTCTTTATGAGGGTGTACCGTTAAAATAAATTTGAAGTTGACTAGTGCGACACCAAATACGCGAAAAGACCCATATTAAAATTATCTTAATCACCTCTAGTTATATATGTATACAATTATTTTGTCTTTCTTGTTCTTTTTCCGTTTGTTTGACGCTTCTGGCCGTTTTCCCACCCAACTTTTTAAACTTTATTTACAACGTCCACAAATATAAGGATCACCCTTTGTAAGGGAATCCAAGACACTCTTGGACTCTGGATTCCACGTCTTGGATTCCGGATTCCAGGTACTGGATTCTGGAATCTTTGTCAGTGGAACTTGGATTCTGGATTCCAATCGTTAGTAGGATTCCGGATTCCTTGAAATGTATTCCGGATTCCAAAGCCCAGGATTCCGGATTCCACAGGCAAAAATTCGCTGGATTACGGATTCCACGACAAACATTTTCCATGGTCAGCTTATCAACGTTGATTTTTCTGAAATCTGGAAGATGGAGAACGGGCTTTTTTGTTGTACTTCTTCCCATCGTGCTCTGTTTTAACGTTTGTGTTTAGCCTGAAATGTGCATAACTTCCTGTAGGTCATTTATCTTATCTTATCTGCTCTATTTACTAATTCATTAAATCAAACGGCCGTCTTTTCCCCTAGATATTGATGAATGCAGTAATCCAAAGAGTTGTCCATCTTACACTACATGCATAAACCAAGATGGAACATACAAATGCGATTGCCGCCAGAATGGTGTGCAGTTCGATGAAACTAAACTCCCAGGACACGCATGTGTTGGTAAAATTTTTTTTCACTTCAATTCAAATAGAGACGCCACTGAACCCTAAGGCGTGTCCAATTTATACAGTAGATACAAACGACAAAAAAATTCCCTCATGATACGACTTGTTCTTTTTGCAAATAACAGTTTTTACTAAAAACTGCATGAATCATTGGATAATGCAATTCTAGAGCTCTGATTGGCTTAGCCGTCATCGTATATGAGCCATTATACCATGCTCTACAAATATGGTAACTGTACGCGTCTGCTCAAGATTAAAAACAAGCTGAAAATCGGTTATTTTTACAAATAAAGTCGGGAAGAATTCTCGATATTTTGTGGGCGTTTTCAGTTATTCCACTCGCGCTTGTTGGATATGAGATGATTATAGCCAACGAGGCACGTAACGCCGAGTTGGCTATCTACCATCTCAAATCCAACGGGCACTCGTGGAATAATGGTTAAATATCGGGTGCGCATAATTCACCCTTTTGCAGCCTACGATCTGAGTTGTTACGGGAGCCATACACAGACCTTCATTACCCATTGGGCGATAAAAATGCGAAAGGACGAATAAAAGTTGATCGGTATCATGTTCTACATTTAGGTTAACGGATCAGTTTCAACGTGTCTTGGCTAGATCATTTATTTTTTAATTCATGTACTCTAAGTTAGTTGTGATTGGTTGACTTAAATTTTAATCAAAAGGCGTTTATTGGTCGACTCGTTTTGATCAAGCAATCTGGTTGGCTCTGCAACTTTACATTCTCTTTGCCAAGTAATAGTGGAATAAATCATGGTCAATGTTTCTAGTCATAATGAAGATACTGAATATTTGACTTTTTCCCTTGGCTTTCAGACATAAATGAATGTTGGACAGGTCCTTTTCCGTGCCACCGTCTTGCAAGGTGTGAGAACACCCATGGGTCATACAAATGTTTCTGCCCTCAGGGATACACTGGCAGTGGAAGAGTAACTTGTGTTGGTATGCCTGTGCTATGACTAAGACTCATTTCTAGAAGCTCTTTGTATTCGGCAATATTAAGACTAATCATTTTAAAACTTAACATTTCCTCCTTAAATATTAAGCTACCTGGAAATTTGTTCTCCTTAGCTTCTCTTAAATTTGGAAAATTCGCATGCAAATGATTATCACAGACGAAACACAGTGTTTGTAATTCGACGAAATCAGTCTCGGAATGATCTGTGGATTAAGAATCGAGGCGCCAGCGGCATCCAAGTTCAGTCTTAAGGTCGCCGGAATTCGAGCTGAGTCTGCATGTTGAATGAAACACTATGCAGAGTGTTTGTTATGGCTTCCCAAATATGGAAATTAAACAATAGTTCCGTATAACGAAATTTCCAAGTCGATTCACAGCTAACAAAGCACAAAAATTTAACAATAATTTTAAAAACATCACCACAACTACATAACAGAAAAAAAACTAGTGCACTTTATTGAGTGTCAATGTATTTAGCATGAAAGTACTAATTGGGGATACTATTTTTACGTTTCCTTCGGGAGACGGGACCGCCATTTTAAGTGATCAACCGAGCCACGCGAAGGTCAAGCCATTTGCAGGGCAAAAGCAGTACCTTCATTTTTCAGTCATTTTAAGACCCTGTGTGTTGGTCCGGCCACGGGAATCGAACCCGCCATCTCCTGCTCTTCAGTCAAACGCTCTACCGACTCAGGTAATCCTTGTAATTTCAGATGTAAATGAGTGTAAAAAGGAACCCAGCCCGTGTTATCATGAAGAAAATACTTTTTGTGTAAACACGAAAGGATCATATCACTGTAAATGTAAAACAGGCTTTTCTCGAAAGGATAACAAGTGTGTCGGTGAGTATGGTATTTTTTCAAGTTTTTCCCTTTTGATTCCTTCCTGTGCTCGAACAAAAAGTTTATGGCTGGGGGATTTTATTTTTTTCTTAAAGTAAAGGAATGTAACCGGTTAGGGTTAGGTTGGCCATAATTACAAAAAGAGAGAACTTTTTTAATCAGTTAAAACTGAATCTTAAAACAGTACAAATCACGGATAAAAAACGACGTTTCGACCGATCTTCGGTCATTTTCAAGTAAGTAAAAGAGTTAAAAGAATTAGCATATATATATGTGTAAGGTGTAAAAATGTTAAGAACTACAAAACGTGTTTGAAAATCAGTGATAAAAGAGTGAAGTAAAGCATGCAGAAAAAAAAACAACAATAGAATCTAATTAAAGGGCTATTTCAAAACTTTTGCACGATGTGAGTCTGATTGTACATTGAGATGCACTAGAATTAGTTCCCTTCTATGTTGATTGCACAGGTGACGAAGTCACGGGCATAATAACGTTAAAAAATGGCAGCCAAGTCAGTACAATTATTTTTTTCCACAGATGGAACACTCTCATTTCCTTTGGCGTTTTGTACAAGCTCTTCATTAGCCAGTCTAGCCTGATCACAACGCCACCACTGGTTTACCCGTGGAATGACGTCTGAGAAACAAGCGCAGAAATTCCATACCGAAGACCATCCCTACGCAGATCTGGGTAGTGCTTCTGATTGGTCGTGCCACGTGGGAAATTTACTTCAATTAATAAGAAGCCTTGACACGTAATCCGTTTCTCATACGTCATTTCACGCGTGGCGGCGTTTGTAAATGCCAGCTGTGTTGTCAGGCTAGAGCTACTCATTATAGATGTATTTTCTCCGGGGGGGTGGGGGTTTGGTAACTTAAGGAATTTCTGGGTGGGAATTGTGCCGCTGGGGCCCTGGAACCCTTAACCTATACCAGAGCTAGTTCAGCTGAATTTTGCTACCCTATACTAGAGTAAACTCCTCAAATCCCCCCTATCCTAGAGTACCTGTTTCCCTAGTCTAGATAAAATCTTCAACCAACTGATCAGTTTCCTGACAAATGATACCCTCTTCTAGACCCAAACGCTCTGATTTACATACCCTATCCTAGAGTAGACTGCTTGAAAACCATACCCTTCACAGCGGCACATACCTATATAGCCCATATATGGCAGTACCCCCCCCCCCCCTCCGGGGGTATTTTCACAATGTAAAAATGATGATGAGAACCGCGCGCTTTTGGTATTACCTTCAGATGATGACGAATGCAGTAGTGGTTCAGTTGAATGTCAATTGCACAGTGACTGTGTCAACACTATTGGATCTTACATATGCAAGTGTAGACAAGGATTCCTTAGAAATGGACCATACTGTATTGGTAAGCCCTGCATGATTACCACCGTGAACTGTTCCACTCTATTCTCAACCTTTGCATAATTTTACCTCTCGAGGTGAATCATAACGCAGGAAAGAGAAAAAAACTAAATATTCTTTAATGTAACTGATACTGCGTAAACTTAAGCAGTTTAGAGAAGCAAATCAGTAACTTGTAAATGCTGTTCAATAGGATACTTTTTAAGAGTCAATAAGAGGAATGACGGACGTATGGAGTATTTGAAGAGGCAAGACCATGGTATTGGTTAAGACTTCACTATTGACCAATACGTTTTTCCAATAAAAGCCCTGCCCTATCTAGTAACACCATACATGACAAGCAAGAGACATTAAAATCTTCAAAGAGTTTGTTTATTCTTCTTTCTTTCCAGATTTCAATGAATGTTATAGTGATCATGATAAGTGTGACGTCAATGCATTGTGCACTAACACCGCGGGCTCATACAAATGCTTCTGCAAAGAAGGTTATCATGAGAATGGAAACAGTTGTATAAAGTAAGATCATCATCAGTAACTTGAAGTGGATTTTTATTTTTTCCAAGAAAAAGTTTTACATAGGTGCTAAAATCTAGCTTATCAGAGACAATGAAGCCAATTCCCTTTTCTGTGCTACAGAATCGCCAAATTAATTGCTGAGTAACCGCGCTTATTACTTTGCAGGAAATTGCCAACAAATTGCCTAAAATAACGCGTTTTAACTCGCACTGTAACGTGTTGTTTATTTTTCTTTAATTTGCAACGAGAGATCAATCCGTTTTTCCCTGTGCAAGCGGCCAGCGTTTTTCCCTGCCAGTAGAGGAAGCTACGGTACGACAATAACGCGATATTACTGGCGTTTTTTGCTAACTGCGTGCCAAAAATTGTACTTGCAATATAATGATTATAAATGTCTAGTAATCCGAAAACGAACAAAGTAATCCACAAATGGAATGTCACTTAGTTCTTGTTGTTACTGTCTTTGTTTCATTAATATCATTGTCATGATCGTAATCATCATCACTATAATCATTATTATTTTTGGTCGTTGTTGCTGTTCTTTTTTTGTTAGAGACGGCGAATGATTTTAATTCACAGCAAGGAGATGCAAGGCTATAGATGAACTAAGCTGAACTAGCAAGTGGACCAAAACAAAACGTCACCACCAAACTTTGCTTTCAAAGGCAAAGACGAATCGACAGAGCAGTGAAAGTTGACAGCAGCTTCGTACGTTTAGACTTGGTCGTAGTTGTTTTAATGGTATGCACAGATAGTGAATGTATCCATTTGGAACGGGAAGACAATGACGTCACAAGTTACAATCATGAGCGCCAAAACAACGCAAATTCTATTCCTTACTGTATTATTTATCCTTGTGATGCTCGGTTAGTAGATAATGAAGGATAGTGAAGGCGAAAGAAACGCAGCTATACTTCAACAATTCCATTGTTGTACTGACACATTTCTCTTGTTTTTCACGTCCTTGATACTACTGTTTTCTGCTTTCTGTCAGTCATTTTCTTCTTGACTCCGCCATGTCACACTGTTTGCTCTCTTAGTGTGAATGGTATAACTCTCTACTTGTTGTAACTTACAGTCTTGAATGTCTTCAACCGCGATCATTGTCTTGACTTGCTGGCTGGTATGATGTGACTCGCAGTTCCTCTCCTGGAGCTACACCAGGGCAGGGCTTCTTGCCTGTTCTACAGGTCTGCAAACTGTGTATGCCTGCAAAAACTATTCTAGGCCAACTTTGCTTCCTTCAGTAACGTCTCTGTTATCAATGCTGTAGTATTCTCTGAGGTGATCCAACACTGCTGCAGTGCTTTTGAGTTCACTGAATACCCTTCTTTCTGTAAAGATATATACGGTACTCATTGCTTATCAATCAAAGGCCAAAGGTAGAGCAAAAATTAAAATTTTCAATTTTATTTTTCACACTTAACTTTTACAGTTGAAGGCTGCACAACTAATGACATTGTGCAATTCTTTTACTACAAGAGAATGAACAGATAATTCTTGCCAAAAAGGGTAAGTGCCCTTTATTGATTTTAATATATTGAAAAGAAGAGGGGTCGCTGACATCATCTTCAGAAAAATCATCGCTCAGTGTTTGTGTTGGGTAAATCGATTAGTGCATTTGTAAAGGTGTTTTTACTGTTAAGATTAAGTCGCCTTTATTCAGTACTATCAGATTTCACTAAACTGGGCCTGAATAGTTAGAGTACGGGAAAATCATTAGAGTCAAGTGGTTTTTGGAGAGGTATCTCAATATCTAAGAACATACCTGCTTTACTGGTTACTTTCTCTAGCATGTACATTAAATGGTGATGAAAGTTGGTGAAAGGAGTGCCAAGAGAGAGGGCAATATTAATCTGTAAAAATCAAAGTAAAGAACTTGCAACTAAGAATTCAAAAACTATCACAACTTTCTTTGTATCCTATGAGGACAACTACAATGTACGAGAGATGATTAGCCCTTATTTTGGGGAAAAAGTATCGATTATTGATGAACCCAAAGGCAAAAACTTTTCCACTGCACTTTTTGTTATATGAGATAATAAAATAATAAACTAGAAAAAGACGACATCTATGTTTAACTGTTGAACAACACTATACCTCAGTCTATAATAGACATACCCAGTCTGCCACACACTCAAGAGGAGTCACACCATATCCTGCATACATAGCTGGATTGTTTAGAATACCTCTTGCAGCCATTACACCTAAAGTTAACAAAATTAGTAGTTACGGTATTCACACCCCTAACCTGCCTGTCACTGATGGTCAAATAAGGAATTAACTTCCAAAGAAACTGTGGTGTTGCATCAGTGGGGGAGTGAAATGCGAAAGTTTGGTTTTATAAATTGTGTTGATTTTAGCTAGATTAGCCACTGCAGGGGGAATGAGAAGCTGACATTTTGAGAGCTAGTCCTTCATCAGGATAAAGGGCTAGAACACTGTTCACTACGGAGAACTGGAAGTTTTCAAAATTAAGTGTGGTATTACACTGTACCTTTGACACCAGTTTTTGCATGAACATTTTTGACATCAGAATCAGACTTGATATCGCCATTGGCAACCACAGGGATGGACAGACTCTCTTTGATCTGAATTATGAGACAACATATTATTATAAATGACTGTGGTATTACTGAATCAGGAGTCTATGCGAGTCAGTCTGTAATCATGAACAGACAAAAGACAATTGGATGACTAGTATTAATAGCAAACATAATTGGATGTATTGGCAAAAAAGCCTGTGACCACTTTAAATCAGAGGGATCAACATTTTTTAAATAGAATTAACTATTCAATACCAATTTGATAGCATCCCAGTTTGCTGGTTCACCTCTTTGTCTGACTGTCCTTCCATGAACTGTTATCCATGAAACACCAGCCATTTCAGCCTGTCTACAGAGCTGTATGGTTTTTCTATAATAATCAAAATGGGAAATTACATTGTGTAAACTTAAATACAAGCTTTAAGGATGTGCTTATTAACATAGGTTTGTCAAATAAATGGAAACAGGGAAGAAAAGAACATTGAATGAACAGTCAATTCAAATCTCGCAGACACTTCCCACTTTGTCATTATGATAAGTAAGAAAAAGAGTTTTTGTCCTAAAAAAGAGCACACCCAAAAAGCTATAAGAAAGCATAATTATTGATTGCTTTACTTTATATTGTCATGAATTCTGATCTTGATGGATACAGGAAGTCCTGGAACTCTTGAAACAGTCTGCTTAACAATGTCCTGAATTAATTCTGGGCTGCTGATTAACTTTGCACCATAACCCTCTTGCATGGCCCACCTAAAAAGTACAAGCAGTGATTTTGTTACAAATAGTTATGGCTAGTCCTACGACTCATCATGTGAAAAATCATGAGTCGCTGTCCATAACCAATGAGTCCCAGCTCAAAAAACAAGGAGTCCTAAATTGAAATTCTTGGGCCTTTATGTAACCAGACAGTTAACCTTACCTAAAACTCTTGATTTCAGTTTACAAAAATGAAAATAGTGTCCTTCTTCATATTTAAAGCACAAGATAAATAAGCATCTTTAAAGAACAGCCCCAGAAATCCCACAAACAGGATATTCTACCAAAAAATCTTCAAATTGATTGATTGTTCCTTGTGTCCTAGGGACGTATTTCACGAATATTATTATTATTTTGCATCTTTGGCGATTTTTATGCATTAGGGACGCAGAACGCAGAGATAACAAAATGACTGACAAATACAGAAAGTACAAATTAAGGAGGCCTTGTAAAGGCAACAATAGTACAACTAATAAAAATGAAAGTAATATAATAATTTGACTCATGTCTGTCTAAAAAATTCACCTCTGGGGACAGCCACAGTTAAGATCAACACCATCAACAAACCTAGTGAGAAAGAAACTTTTCAAATTTCAGGATATCTCTACATGTAAGAAGACATTAATATCACTGTTCTAGACTTAAGTCACATTTCTGTTATCAGTATAATCAAAGGCCAGGTTTTTTATGATGATGATCGTGCTTTCATATATGATTAGGCACAACCACAAGCAATTTTGCAACATTTTTGTTCACAAGGCAGTGAGTTAGCTGTGTTGAGTTACCCACAGGGATTTCCTGAAGCATGTAAATGGTGGGTTCTTGAATTCTCAATATCTTTCAGGAAAGATCTCCAATTTTGAAAATCTTTCCACTAAGGTGTTGAAATTCAAGAAGCTGCACACAAGATGTTGAAAATTCAACATCTTGTGGCAGTTAAGATCTGACCATATCAGTGATATCACTGAGATTTCTATTTTCCAATGAAAGTAGCCTTGAGAAATAAAAGCATAATTTACAAAAGCCTGAGCCACATTAATTTTGTGGTAACCGGGGGAAATCCCCAGCCCCCGCCTCTTAATATGTTAACTTGCTGCGACAGGTCATGCAGGATAACTTACTAAATTTCTGGTCCCTTTTTACCACCAATGAAATAATGAACTTTTCATGGAACTTGCAAAGAGGGTAATGAGTAATTCTGTAGAAACTGCTAGATTTGCTTGAACATTAAGCAAAGTGATTCTTGTATGTTCAAACATTTAAAAACTTTTGGTATAGTAATAATATAGATGCAATATGTCTGAGGTTTAACTTACGGGGCTACAATTTCAGCAGCATCAGCAAAATCCTTTGCATTGCTGGCAGCAAACTGAGCTACTAGAGGGCGGTCACCTACAGAAAGAAGGGAATGAACAGCAAAGAACCAAAATGTGCTGTCTCTATAAGACCCTGATTACCGGTATATCAAGAGATAGCTTTCTGGATTAAACGTGGCTGCTTAGATACAAAACAAGAGTGTGTAGATCGTTGTTACCTTCAAGCAATCTTAACAGATGCACAACATTATTTTAGCAGGTTTACATTGCATTAGTGAGGAAAATCCACTAGCCTGGACAAACCCAAATAACACCACAGTGGACTTGGGAGTTTGAATTTAATAATAAGGCATACTGGGACTGGACAACCATTTACAAAATATTCAAAAGGATTACTTACCAGAATGAAGATTATATATTTGATAATTTTTTACAGAGCTTAATTATGTTACAAGTCAATCTTCATTTTACATACCTGAGTTTGTAGTGAATTCCATATCTCTAGCTTTGATGGACTTGACAAAGGAGTCTGAAATTATCATTGGAGTGAATGCCAAATCACATCCATACCTACATGGATAAATCCCATAATGATAGGCAACCATCACAATTCATTACTGTTATCTACTTGAATGCCCCGGGCGAGGTTAATAATTGGGATGTGCCGCTGGATGGGGTTGCTTCATATTTTATGGGGTTGCACATTTGCGAGATTTTAGGGGTAAGAACATTCTAGTAAGTAGGGATTTAAAAATGGGAAGATTATAAGGTAGATGCGTAAACCAAAAGTGACCAAGTTGGGATTGCAAAAGCTTACACTTTCCCAAAAGTGACTCAGATGGGGTCTGTGGTGTAGTGTCAGTTTGTGTCAAGGGAATAAGCTCTATGGTATGCATTTTTTGAACTGATTGTACATGTTATGAATATTTATGTAATTGGTGGTATTTAATGAGTGGAAATTATTCATTAAAGGTCATTAGTTGTTTGTTTATAACCAGGCGTACTTAGGTACTTTACGGGGTAACTATTGGCCATTAGAATACACTGTAATAATGGGAAAGGGCCTCTGAGAGGCCAGCAGCACGTACCAAGCAAAAAATTGACCTAGTTACCCCCACCCTGGGGCTTGAAATGATGAGCGATGATATATGATATTCTTTTTTCTCTTGTACCCTCCTCGAACAACCTTCGCTAATTGCGGGCACAAGCTTTACAAGCTATACTTAATGTGAAATAACCTTGTTGTTGTTGTTGTTGTTGTTGTTGTTGTTGTAGTTCTGAACCTCTCTACATAGTGGGCAGGATGTTTTAATTGAATTATGATTTCAACATTTTCAATATCTAGAATTACAGCAAGTACCGACGTCGTAGCTTATCTCTAAACATTCGTTGTTTTTGATCAACGTATGACCCCACTGAAAAATGACAACATTTTGGTTTACCTTCTCACTAGCGTCCGAAAAGGAAGCCTGCAAATACAAAGATCCCATTTAGGATAATAGAGTCGGGTAACTTACTACCTGTCTTTACCATTTAGGAAACAAGAAATGCCAGTAATTTAAACGTCTTTTGTGTACTTACTTTGAATACCTTACCATAGGCGCACAGATCCGTACAACTTCTTTCTTCTCAAATAGTTCCAAAGGTGTCAGAAAATCTTCCCTTGGGTCCGCCATGTTGATTGTTTCCCACAATACACTTCTTACCTTCTCCGATCCAGGGCTCCGCAGAAGGAAAATTTAGATGCGCAAATCGCTGTTTTTGTGTGTGTTGTGCGCACTTCCTTCGACAGTGGACCGACAGCCGAACGACATTAGGAAAAGGCTATTTTAAGCTAGCGGAAAATGGACGACCTTCCAGTGGGATATTACAGGGTAGAGCTAAACAGAACTATTTGGGAAGTACCTGAAAAATACAAAGATCTTAGTCCCATTGGAACGGGTGCTTACGGACAAGTGTGGTAAGTCAAATGCAGTTGCACTTCAAGAGACTACTTTTGTACAATTAGTTCTCATTAAGACTTAATAACCACAGCCCCAGTATTTACTTAAAGAAAGTATACACAAGTATTACACATATATGAAAATGAGCCACACGCACACGTGCTGTTTTGCTTTTTTTACCTCGTTCAGGACTGTGTGGCAACACTGCTAGAATGCAGGTAATGATCGAACCTTTGACTATGACTCACTACTTTCGAGAGGTTCGAGTTTATCTGCATTCTAGTTAACTTCTTTGTTTGTGTTACTACATCAGTCGTTAGATTTCGCTGTAATTGTTATTTTGTCCTAGGATCTTGTGTTTCTAGAGCAACACCTCACCGAGAAAATATAATGACATATTTGATTTTTCCTTGTAACCACAAGAGATTTTAAGATATCATATCTTGATCTCCCATATCAACTTTTCAATTATTTCTGTGAAATTATTTGCCAGTGTTATGGTACAGTGCCTTTAGATTCATTCTAAATGAAAGTTGAAAAATTGATTCCATGGTTGGGAAACAGATTGGACCTTGGGACTGCGATCTGTGAAGAGGATGAGACTACAAATCAGACCTGTTACACCTTTCACTATTGACAAAAGTGTCAACCTGCATAGTTAGGTCAAGAATTTCGGTAGAAAATGTTTTGAATTTAGTGGTATGATATCAGCTCAGGGTGTAAAGAAAGTCAGTTTTACAGCCTGCCATTCGGGCAAGCTGTAGCTAGCATGTACTAGCCCACGAGTCATTTCAACTAGCCCAAAAACCCTTTTTGATTGCAGGATTGATTACCATCCTTCTGTAATTTGAATTTCCCAAAAAAATTCACTTGCCCGTCGGGCAAGTTAAGAACAGAATTCACTAGCCCGAAAGCAAAATCCACCAGCCCCGGGCTATCGGACATGACTTTCTTTGCACACTGCCCCTAAAAAGGATGCTAGGATTTCCACATAGCCTTATGCATATTTCCTCATATGTATTTAGTACTTTCATATAGTAGAGTGCAAAGAAATTTGGTTTAATAGCTAGCTTGTAAAAAGTTCTTGACCAGCAGGACTTTCCCCCTACAACTTTACGTGCCCATCAGCCTTAGAACAGAATTCATCAAGGGTGGCACAGTTGATTGGTGCGCGGCCTACGGTGCGTGAGGTCCCGAGTTCGACCCGCCATGACATCACATCCTTGCTTCAACTTCTCTCCTTTCTGTGTACCTTTGACGAGCTTTAAACACCCTTAAAATGGAGCACCGTTGGAGAGAGGGGGGTAAAATGAATGCTCCGTCAACCTCAAGTTTATCAGTCATGTGTGGTTGCTTTACCTTTTTTTACCTTTTATTAGCTATAGCAGAATCCCCTAGCCTCAGGCTATCCGTCAGACAAAAACTTTTTTGCACTCTGATAGAGTCAGTATTGCAATGTTACTAGCCAGCTGTAATGTAGCAATATATATTCCATGAAATCAAACTTTTCCATTCAAAATGGAAAAGGGGTGACCTGATACCTCCTTTACAAGAAAATAGGCCACTTCCGAGTTCCAAAAACCCTCACTTTCAAAATGAGGCCAAGTGCACAACCTTTCTTGCCAAAATGAGTTTTGTTTGCAGAAATGGCCTATTGATACCAACTAGGTAAATGGTGAAGCAGCTTGTAAGATGTTTGTATTGAAAGATAATTATTGCAACTTATTATTTTTTTCTGTTATAAACTCAAAGCTCGGCAACAAATGTTGAAACTGGAGAGCAGGTTGCTATCAAAAAGTTATCTCGCCCATTCCAGACTACCATGCATGCAAAGAGGTCCTTCAGAGAATTGAAACTTTTACGTCATATGAACCATGAAAATGTAAGTGAATAGTTACCATATATATGAATGCAGAAATCACTTAACACTTGAGATGATCAAACCATAAAATATTTTTACATAGTGTATTAATAGTGAGCTGCATGTAGCTTACTTGTAATGTGTAGATTCACCCAAGGCTAAAAGAGAAGCTTCCGTTAATAATTTATAATTTACTTCAAACAACAAACTTGTTACCATCACAAAGTACTGAATCCACTTGGAGTTGAGTCCGCGATCAGTTGAAAACTAATAACCTGTCAGCGGATAACTTAAAAGAAAAACAGGTAGCCTCGATGGGTGGACACTTAAGTCTGTGATATGGTCATTTGATACTGGTCAGCAGATACCCTGTTTTGACAGCTGTCAATTGACCACAACATGGATGTGCAATTATATCAGGCTGTTGGCTCCTATACTAGCTAGAAAGTGTGAGATTTTATATTGGTTTCCCTGTGGTGCAGGCGGATGGGTGGATGATCACATGACTACCAAAATTTCTTGGATGGATAGATAACCAAATGTTCTTAGCTATGGGGCTCTGCTTGAAGCACATGCATGGAGCTCCATTATAAAACACATAGAGCAGTATTTGGCCAATAGATAGTCACAAGTCCAGCTTCAGTTTCAAATATTGCCTTGATTGTTGTCCATTGCTATCAGAAATTTATTATTACTGATATCTTGCAGCAGATATAGCCTAGTGCAGACTTTGTAAATGCAAATATCTAGTAGGGTGGCATTAAGATGAGAAATTAAGGGGTTGGTTTTTTAAGAAACTGTGGTGTTGTGTTGGTCACCATTGGAAGTTGTAGAAGCTGACGTTTCTAGCACTTGTCCCTCATCAGAATGACACAAGGATGGCCAATAATATACCTTATCAACTTGGTTTATAAAACCAAATATTTACAACGAGATGACATCTTTGAGTGAAATAAACCAATCTTGCTCAATTAACTGGAATGGTCAGGCTGGGGGTATAATTAACTTTGTGAGGAACGTTTTTACATTTTCTACCAACCTGGAGACAGTTTTCCATGAGCACTAAGTTTGCTAAGTAGACGTTATTGAGTCAACGTTTTGTAGCCTTATGGATCTGTCATTCAAAATAAAGCATTATCGAGCAATAACCCACCCTGTTATCTCCTTACAGGTCATTGGTTTACTTGATGTATTTACTCCAGACACATCATTTGATGAATTTAAAGATGTGTAAGTGTAAATTTGAGGATACCAAATACGATCTTTATCCTGTCACTTTAACTATTTTACATCATTCCCGTTATCTGTAGTATTTTTTCTAACAAGATTTTTGCTGCAACTTTAATTATCATTATTTGATATTTAAAGTACTTGTTATTAATTAAGTACAAACTTTTATCAACATTTAAATAAATTAATCTGAGTTTGAGTGCTACTATGCTGATCATGTTCATTTAACTTTTTATTACTGTTTTCATTGTAATCGCTAGATACATGGTAACAGCTCTCATGGGGGCAGATTTGAACAGCATTCTTAAATGTCAAAAGCTGACCGATGAACATGTCCAGTTCCTCGTGTACCAGATATTAAGAGGACTTAAGGTATGTAACATAGAAACATGCAGGAATCCTTTACAGCTTCACCCACAAGAGCTAAAAAAGGCCTTCAAGAATTTATTTGTTGGCAAACAAACGTGACAGCCCTTTGGTTATTTGCGTGCTAAATTGAAATAATGTTGGCAGCAGTAAATCAGTTAGAAATCATCATTTTTGTGCTTAATCATCTCACTGTTTTAGTAGACTAAAACAAATGTCCACCTCAGTGTCTGTGGCTAGTGGTGGATATTTACCTCGCTGCTTCATGGCTCGGAAAATGCCCGCCATGCCACTAGCCACCTCCACTTTAGTGAATAATAATTATTATTCACTGAAGTGGAGGTGGCTGGTGGTGTGATTTATCAGCTCAGTTGATAAAACCAAATTCCACAAACACAACCCTGCAGTTTCCTTAGAATTAAGCTCTTCTTTGAAATATTTAACATTGTGTTTATTTGTTTCAGTATGTACACTCAGCAGGAGTCATTCATAGGGTAAGAAAATTCATAACTATTACATTGTTTTACAGTAACAGAAACCATTTGGATTTAAAACCAGCAATAGTGTTTATGACTGTGAAAGGTTTGAACCCAGGAGTCATTTCAAAAGTAGGTTGAGTTTGATCGTCCGGGTGAATGTAGTCCTGAATAGGACTGTTGTTGTTGACAGTGACTGACGTTTCGACAACCTGTGCGGTAGTCATCTTCAGAGTCAAAGTGAGTTGTATCACGTCAGTTGATGGTATTATACTCTGGTTATTGATCTGATTGGTCAATTACGTCGAGATGTTATTGGTCGTCTGTCAGTTAAGCCGTGATGTTATTGGCTATGAAGACTCGTAATCAGTAATAGTGTTTATGTCGCTTTTCCATCCTTTATCTGTTTTTAGGTTTTTTCAGTTCACTGTGAATAACCAGGTTAAAGAAATAAGTACAGCCCTTTCATCCAAGTCATCAATTTTATTTTGATTTTGGCTTTTTTATGTTATCTTACTTATAAGGACTTGAAACCAAGCAACATAGCTGTTAATGAAGATTGTGAGTTAAAGGTGAGTTGTTTTTTTCTGCATGTTTATTATCCATGTTGGATTTGAGGTCTCCTCTTGCCATAAAAAGATATTTTGGCACATTACTACCTCAATGATTAAAATAGAGCAACAGGAAAATATTGATGCAATCACTCAAAGTATATTCCTTATTGTAACACATCAGGAAAAAGATGTTGACTTATTTTTGTGCATTGTTAAGATAATATTAAATTTTAAGTTTATTAATAATTAAAATCACCGAGTTTTTATTGGTAGATTCTGGACTTTGGTCTTGCAAGGATGGCAGAAGAGGAGATGACTGGATACGTAGCCACACGCTGGTACAGGGCACCTGAAATCATGCTTAACTGGATGCACTACAACAAAACAGGTTTGCTGCATTCATTTTGTCATAATTTACTGTTGTCCTAAAATTGTTGTTTGTGAAATATAAAGATAATGACCTCAAGCTAATAATGTTTTTAAAATATTTTGACAGTGGACATTTGGTCTGTTGGATGTATTATGGCTGAGCTGTTGACCTCCAAGACATTGTTTCCTGGAAATGATCATATCCTTTCACCCAACAGACTGACCAGGGATCTTCTTAAGTCTCGGAAAGGGTGAAAAAATCGCGTGGAGAGGGAAGTGAAAGGGAGAGAGTCTGCAGACAAACCTTTGAGGCTACTATTCTGCCCTCTTGTCTTGTAACTGCCTATCATCTGTAAGCAAGATAATTATCTGTCACTTGCATACATGGGAATGTAATCAATTTTGTGTGTAAAAAGGGGGTTTGGTAGGCAACACACAACTTTTACCTCATGTCAAAATGCTGCTTGTCCCGGTGAGTTTTTTCTCTGGCTGGTAGATTATGCTCTGGAGGGTTAAGTTTTGACTCAGCAAATCTGATTTTTACCACTTATTTCATGCCAAGAGGTTGTGACACACATGTTGATATTCTGTGGTTATTTTTTCTGGTTGCTGTGATTTACCCTCTGATGCAAGAACATTTTATTTGAGCTCTTTTGAAATGTAAAGCTCCTCATTGCAGCTCATTATTAGCTCATTAGTCAAGCGCATGAAGACACCATGTTAAAGACCAGAAGACCTGTTTACAAGTGATTATTCAAATTGCATGCTATGTGCTGACCAAAAAGGCGATGTTTACCAAACCTGTCAACACTCAATGTTCTCTCCAATAGGAGTTTGATTCACAGCAGGTGCCGTGGAATGGTGGTTCCAAAGGTTTGCCTACAGGCTCTCTTACCCTTTCCTCAAACAGATGTAGCCTGTTCACAGGCTACTTGACTCCCATGGAAAGCTTCTTTGCAAGGCAGTTTATTGAGAGAATGGGTCATTTCCGAGTTGCCCCTAAGGTTAGCCTCTGTTTCAAAGCATAGAAAAGTGCAAAGACATTGATATGAAAATAATGGTTTTATCCTCATGCAAATAAAAGTGATTATCACAAGTTTTTGCACTTATAAGCCTCATTTGAAAGGTAAGAGCTTTTGGAACTCGGAAATGGCCCATGGTCAGTAAAAACATGGCAAACTGAAAGAATAGTAGTTCGCAAAAATGCGACCATTCTAAATGCAAATGTGTAATAAACTGAGTTAGCCCCTATAAAAATCAAAGGACTACCAATATGGTTGTGCTCAAAATCTGAAATTTTCCTGGATGTTGCAAACAGGAACCTGTACAAAATCCTCCAAATCAGAGCTTTGAATGCAATGAAAATGGTACTAAAATGTTTTAGATTATTCAAAGTAAAAGCAGTATTCCAGATGTGGAAACTGGTTAAACTGCGGAAAAATGCTGCTTAGTTTAACTTGAGGCTATGCTGTGGTAGTTGTTGGTTGTTTATCTTAACTTTACCAAAATATTGATCAATTGACACGGATAATGAAGCTTGTTGGCAAACCAGATCAAGAGTTTTTGGACAAAATTAGCAGTGATTCTGTAAGTACAGCCGATGTTTTGTTTTTATTTGTCTTGAAAAAATTTTGTGGAAATTTTAACGTGTCTTATATGTACAGTGTAGAGAGAAAACACCTTTGCATGGAAGTATAAATTTTATAATTTTATATACTCATTTTTTACTCATTTTTTACTCATTTTTTATGCTCATTGGCTCAGTTTGTCTTACTTTTAATTAGTAATAATTGAATACGTAGAGAAGGGATTATTTATACCACAAAAACAAAAATATGTTTTCTGTTTACAGTAAATAGTTCAAATAACTATTATATTATTTTATTTATAGTTATTATATTCCCTTCATACTATTGAAAATCAGTGCTTTAAAAATCAACTAGTGCCGTTTTCTTTCAAGAAAAATATATTTTAATGTCAATTTTTGTGTCTTCACAGGCAAGAAATTATATACTGTCAATGCCCGAGTATGAAAAGAAACCTTTCTCAGATGTCTTTCTACAGGCTAACCCTCAAGGTAACTAAATTGTTTAGTGTTGACTAAACAATAGTCAATATTTTCACCATACTGAAAATCTTCTTAGGAATATATATTAATTTTCATGAAAGGTTAATACGTTCCTTTTTACACAAGAATGTTTTCCATCTCAAACAATAATATCACTTTTTTTATAAGATAAACCATTATAATAAAACATAAAATAGCCTGTTCCTGGATACTAGCTATTTCCTATGGGACAGATCTCAAACCACTTTTTTGTTTGCTTGTTTATTTGTTTGTTCAATCAGCTGTAGATCTGCTGGAGAAAATGCTTCTTCTTGATACGGACAATAGACTGACTGCAGAAGAAGCCCTTGCTCATCCTTACCTTGCTACTTATGCTGACCCAGATGATGAGGTACAGACTTACACTCAATCTGCTTCTAAATTTTCCTTAATGTTACCTTAAGAAATCTGTCTTTGATCTGATAGCACTAGAATCTTAGGTTATTACTTATTTGCTGTACCCTGTGCAAGTATATCCTATGTGAGAGCTTTGCAAACTATTAGATTTAGATTAAGATTAGAAATTACAGAAGTTAATCATGTTCTTTGAGCCCATTCTGTTTTCCATTCTTTCTTTGTGGGGCCGGGGGTACAATGAACAGAATTTGATATACCACAGTAAGATCTAGTAACACTATTGTACTTGTTTGATCGTGTTTCAACAAGCTGTGCTGCTGTTGGATGAACTTTTGATGGTGTAGCCTAGTTTTAATATAAACAATACCAACAACAAATGAGTCAAATGAGTGATACATTGAATATTTCAAGAATACAGATACTCATCATTGACTGGTTATGTACCACAGATCCCTCCCTTTAGTTTTACCTTTTGATTCACTGAGTTCAGTCAGTACACGGCAGTTAACTGAACTGAAGTTTTGCAAATTAAAAATTCTTCCTACAGCCAACGTGTGAGCCATTTGATGAAGTTCAGTTTGAAGCTAAGGATTGGCCAACAGACAAATGGAGAGGTAAACTGTTTTGTTGTAATTTTATCTGTGTTTGTAATTTATGGATCAAAAATGACCTGAAGTCAAGTACGTTCCATGGTGAGATTTTAGGAGACATGCCTTCCCGTTAGTTCCTTCTTCAGGAGTCACCATGGATTGTGGAAACTCACTGATGGTGGAGGGGCTATACATGTAGCTGGGAGGAACCTGTTCCCAGGGATATCTCAACACTACGGGTGGGATTGAACGTGTTCTTTACCTCAATCCCCCGACCCCCTAAACCCCAGTGGGATGGTAGTTCTGCCTCTGTAATCATTCTTACATCATGTTTTTTTTCTTTTTTGAAGAACTATGTTATAAAGAAATTCTTGACTTTAGAGCGAAGAAAGAAGAGGATGCCATGCAGACTGGCTAATGAGAGTGAATGACATTGAGACAAGAACTTGGTTTTTTAAATTATCTCTACCATTTTAGTATCAGAGATGTCTTTTGAAGAAAAGTTGCTAAGATTATTGCCGCTTGGTACCTTTTGACCTCCAAACACCTGAAAAATTTTTAAGTCACTGAAAATATTGAAAACTGTCAAGTACATGTAAGACTATACTATTAGATATCATACTTTCAGCAAACCTAAATTTCATTCATGGAAAATCAACAACTTACATTGTTACTTAATTTATCACTCCACAGGTATTTTAAGTTTGTCATGTAATTGATGTAAAATACATTGTATCAAAAACTGTAGAAGAGTACAAAAGAAATGGAGGAAAATCTTTAATGGCTGAGCTGCATTTGCCTATGGTTAAAACACTTCGGCCCATCTTTTTAAGTTCTGTCAATTTCTAGAAAAGTCTGATTTCATCAAGACAAGGGCATGCTTTTGTTATTGTGTCCCTCCATGTTGTCAGTAAAAGACTTGCTTTGCCAATTCTGAGTTAGAACATGCAAAGACATACTGCCTGTTCTGTTTGATTGAATGCATGTATAAATAAAGAACTAAGAAATACCAAGCTAGTAAAAACTATGCACTTCCAACTTGTCAAAGTAAAGTGTAAAGTTTGTATACTGTAAAACGAGTGTTAAAGTATTAAAGGTACGTATTGCCATGTGTGTGATTGTTGTAATTTTATGGAAGATTAAGACAAGGAGGTGTATGCGCATCTATGGTCTTCAATTTTCAAGATCTTGCTGGCAAAATCTTAAGTTTTCAACACCTTTCCAGCAGGATATTGAATTTTCAGTTATTATACCCATACTATGTTATTTCTGAGTTATACTCTCTTATGAGACCAACGCTATAATTTCTTTTATGTGGTTTACTAAGGATGATAGATGCTATCCCCACCCTTTAGACCATTAGAGTGTTTGTCTTTTTCTGCTGCCAAGCAACTTTCTTGCAGTCAAATAACACCAACTACAACCTGTGTACAGCTACCTCTCCCCTAAAAACTCAGATTCCCTTGAAGGGGGTGGGAGGGGGGGCGCTGCACACTGGCTACTGCAATTTACTTAACATTATACTACCCAAAGTAAATATGGGGAAGGAAAGCTGTGGCACCAACTTTTTTAACATCACCAATCATCAATCAATCCAACTATTGAGTTGTGGTCCATGATGCCAAATTATCCTGGACATTGGTACATTATCAATAATCTTTGTCAAAGGTAGCGCTTATACAATGGCTTTGTAAATTTAGACCCTGGATTCAAAAATTACCAGGCAGAGATCAAGATTATTACCTTGACAGCGGGACTTTGCTGAAAATTCAACATCTTGCTAGCAAGATGTTAAAAAATTAAGTTTCTGAATTTTTAAGATTTTGCAACTCACCATATTGAAACCCTATACAGCCAGGAATCTCTTTTTTATTGGGTGCATTTGACATTACGGAAAATTCTGTTTTTAGATAACAGATTCTGAAATCGGAAGTGGCTTGATAAATATTGACCCAGGCACTGCCCAGTTCTTTTCAGCCAATTTTTTCCGCCTTTTCTTCTGGCAGAAAGAAGCTGGGTACCAGATAAAAAGTGAATCAAAGATGGCGGACACATGTTGCACCATAGCTTGTTGAGAAAATAATTTTTTCCTCCTGCATGGCCGACTAGTACGAGAACGATGTCAGCAACATTAAAACCATACACCAGTGACGACGACTTCCGTATTTTAAAGGGCGAACACGGAAAGATTAATTGGAAAGAATCTCGACTTAAAAGCTCAAGATTTTATTCAACTGTGGTTTCTATTTTAAGATTTTTACAATGGTTTCTTGGCATTCTTTTCTTTGGGCCAGTTCAACGTCTGTGGAGCCCTTCCCACATCATTTTGCCGTCAGCAAGTGTAACAGACAATAAGCCAAAAATGTCCCGAATTTTCGTACTGGATAGTGTTTCATCCTGTGATAACCTGCTACAGTCGTACCGTGCACAGTATCCTTTTAAGATGAATTTTGTTGGGCTAGACTGTGAGTGGGTGAACAAGAAAGGCCAAAAAAGCGCCCCTGTTGCTTTGCTTCAAATTGCAACTCCCCTTTGTGACTGTTTTCTTATTCGTTTGTGTAAAATGGGGAATCATCTACCACAAACTGTAAGAGATGTCTTGGAAGATAAGAACGTCCTTAAATTTGGTGTTGGTATACAAGATGATGCAAAGAAGCTTTCAGGGATGTTTGGCATGGCCGTGCTGGGCTGCGTGGATCTCAGGCATGTAGTACAGCGGTGCCGATTGGATCATAGTGGCGAGCGAAGGTACCTTATCTGTAGTCGTACTGCCTCTGTTGTCATGGCAGCTGATCAGTTTACCATGATAAGCACCCTCCCTCCTTGGGTGGTCATTTGCGGGAGGTTTGACCACATGAAAGAAATTTTCAACTCTTTGTTAATAATAATAATGGAATTTATTTAGCGCTTATACATCGCTGTTCTAAGCGCAATGTTGCAATGCTTCAAAGCACCAAAGTAACAGTAAATTTATAACAATTCCTGAGAGACCAGACTTGAACCAGTCTCAAAACAAGTTTCTTGTTGCATTTTTCTTGAAATGCTTGTCACTTCAGTAAAGAAGTATTTTGAGTTTGGAAGTCAAAGGGAAAGATAAATATTCACTGCATTATTGGTTTTGTTTTACAGTAGTCACAAGATGAGCCTTGATGCCTTAGCCAAGAGAATACTAGGTGTTGCAATGGATAAATCATGGAGGATTCGATGTAGCAATTGGGAAGCAGATCAGCTCAACACCAGACAGATTGAATATGCTATGAATGATGCTTTAGTTGCAAGCCACATTTTTCTAAGACTAATTAAATTGAAGGAAGAAGAAAGAAAAGTTAGCAGAACTTCTGACATTTTTGAGGATTGTTCTGAAAAGAAATATCAAGTTATTCAAAATGGTGATTTGACATATGCAGATTATTTTGACCACAGGGTCAGTGAAAATGAAACTCATTCTCAGTTAAATGAATTTGATGCACTTGCTGATGAGACATCTTCTGTTGATACGGATTTGGCAACTAGCAGTGAAAGCCCTGACTGTCATGTAGTAGGAAGAGAAACTAACATTGCACTTGCCAATGAAGCAATTAATAACATTGAATCACAAGAAACAGAGGACAAAGAAAAATATGACATAGAAAGCATGAGTCATGAAAAATCAAGTGAGGTTAATGTAGTCAGCAGCCTTGAGAGCCATCCTAGAGAAGATGATTTTGCATTTTGTAGTGATGTTGTACCAGATGCTGTTGATTGTACCAGTGTCTGTACTTTTGACGAGGAGGACATTTCTTTTGATGGTTATAAAGTCACAGCAGACCTAAATAAGATGGTATCTGAAGGAGGAGAAGGCTACTTTCCCAGAGAAGAAGTCATCAAACTTTTGCAGGACACGTCCTTTTGCCAAAGAGCACATTCTCTCTGTCAGGGAGTGACTGATCTTGCATTCAAGCATAAAAAAGGGAAGGTTACAACTAAGAGGAATACTAAAGAGAATGATGGGGCAAATGAATATCCTTCAATTGCAACTGATAAAAAGGCTTACAAGGGAACAAGAACTGTGAGAAAATCACCCCTTTACATGAATTGTATGTTAGCAGCCCCAGATGGTTCAAAGCTTTGCACTCTGAGTCGTAAAAAGGCAGATTGGTACATTGAAAGGGGACTAGGTGGGAAAATCTATCAGTACTTATCTTAGAAAGCATTAGTTTAATCTGTGTTTATTTCTAAGTAACTACTGAATAACTAACTAATATTGCTTGGTATCAAAACCCCCCAGAACAGACTCGCAACACCATTGGATTCAGGCGGTTTATAAATAATTATCCTACACATACAGATGATGATTTATTTTCCCCTAATAAATATACATTTAATATAATAGCTAAGGCCCATCAAAAGAGTAAATCACAAAATCATCATCATATTACAGGTTTCCTAACTAGTCTGTATTAAATCGTACACTAAGGTAATCAATGTATTTATTTCACAATTACAAATTCACCGAACTCTGCTGCTGTTAGATGCCATTAACTTTCATTGTAAGAGCTTATTGATTATATGTACACAGGTCAACCAACAACAGGAGAGAACCTTTAAAAATTAGAGTCTTTTTGACAGATAGGATTCTTCATTTCTTGTTTGAATTGTTAAATAGATGAGCATACATGCGTCATACAGTTGTGTAACTGTAGAACAACCATTAAAAATGATCTACTTTTTTGTAGGGGAACTAACTGGTCTTGACCCATACACTGTCCAGCTCAAATTTGAACCATCAGGAAGGCCAGGATCAGAAGACTCATATTACCTTAATTTCAAGGACAACATTTGTGTTGTTTGTGGAAGAGGTGACAGTTACTTGAGGAAAAACGTTGTGCCGCATGAATACCGTCGTTATTTCCCATCCTTCATGAAGGACCGTCACTCACATGATATCCTCTTATTGTGTTCTGAGTGCCACTCTTTATCAAACTGCTATGATTCAAAACTGCGAGCAGAGCTGTCAGAAAAGTATAATGCTCCACTAGGTAAGGGTTTCTGGGTAAGGTATACAGACAACTCTCTCTAAGACAAATACCTTTGGGACCTGACCTGCACTAAGAGTCTATCTTAGAGAGATGTCCATCAATAAAGAGAGTAAAGGAAGGCAGGGTCCAACCATAGATGACCATTTTACTTAGGTGTCCATCTGATACAGGTGTCCATTAAGAGAGAGTTCACTGTATGTCATTCAACCAGAGGGCTCTATTATAGCATTACACTAAATTTTACCACCTTCTCCTTAATTTTGTATTAACTGGTGGTTGGCATTGCCCAGGCGAAGTTGCAAGCCTAACTACTGTAGGATGAACCCAACCTAGCCCATGCACAGATGCCCCTTCCCCTAAAAAAGAGAGTGTGTCTGTAGACAGGAAAGGTCCAAACTGGCCTAAGCTAACTGAAGGTGACAGGAACTTGGCCTGGTATTAAGAGACTTACTTAAAACCTGTAGCACCCAACTCATTGACACAGTCATGAGTTAACACAGTTTAGTTCTATGCTTAGAACATACTAAAATCTTACCAATCCTTTTGTCATATTTAATCACTTTAATTTTGACCTTTCCTTTCAGGAAACGCCACCGTTGCTCGTCTTACCAACGATTCAGAACTGAGCAAAGTCAAATCCGCTGCAAAGGCCTTAAACTACGCATATGATCGGCTCCCTGAAGAAAGGCGTGAAACCTTATTAAACTGTGTTAAGAATTACTTCAATGTTCAGGTTGTTACCCCAGAAATGATCTCCCAAGCTGTAGTCATGGAAACAGCAAAAGAAAATCCCAATTTTGTGTCTCATGGACATGAAGTGGTGAGAAAGATTCGCGAGGAAGGAAAATTGCTCGAGTTTGAGAAAATGTGGCGGAAACACTTTATTGATACAATGCGCCCGCAGTACCTTCCGCCTTTGTGGTCAGTAGACCATCGTCACGAAACATTAAAGGAGAAACTTGAGAACAAAGTTGACGGCTGAATCGGTTCCTAAATTTTAAAATACCTTCACAAGACAGACGTTAAAATTAACGCGACGTTTCTTTTTATTAGTTTAACAGAGATTTCTTCTAAGAGAACAGAAAGATATCAGAAATGTTACAGGACATCGGTTTGCATAATTGTCGATTATTCGAACGATTGTTAGAACGAAACAAACCTTAAATGAATGTAGTTCATTTTGGCTGAGAATACTAGAACGTTAAAGGTGTGGGGTAAAAGAATAAAAAGTATGTATTTTGCAAAGTAGTTTTTGCCTTTTTGCTTTTTAATGAAAATAAAAAGAAGTAAAAAATTGCTGGTTTGTTCACAAGACGAATAAGATAGTAAAAATAAACGAGGCTGTTATGAATTTTGAAATCCTCGAGGTGATTTGTGTGGACTGCATTACGCCTCCAAATAAATAGTTTCACTTGTTCGGGGTCAAAAAGTTGCAGTATATAAGTACCGGCTTAGTCACGTGACTGTCTTTCCATAGCTGAGTACTGAATAATAGGAAAATGTAATCACAGGTAAAATGTTTTTTAACAATGTCTGTTTATAAAGTATCTACGTAGTGATGTCTTCAGAACATGCCAGGTTCGCCTCTCCAAAGTAGCTAAAGCAAACAAAAGTGGCTACCAGTTAGAAAAGTGAAGTATATAAATGAACGTTAAACAGGACATTTTTAAACGTAACGCTTTATATTTTACATCATTTAGTACCAAACCGGTCCACAAAAAGCAACAGATACGGTCACGTGTTATGTAGATTGAAAAAAAGCTGTACTTTGATCTATTGTGTCTTCGAAAATAGCGAGTGAGACGCTACAAAACCGTTTTTCTCTCGCCTCACCTGACGCTCGCAGGGGTGTGTAAGTGTGGCACGTCCCTTTACGTGCGGGAGAATTTTACGCCGGTGCTTCTCTCCTTACGAGCAGAGGTTTGAGGAAAACCCACTTTTTGCAGTCTATAACTTTTTTTACTGGAGCGAAGTTATTAATTTGAAAAGTTCTCTTACCTCATTTTCAATCATAGTTTCTGGTTCTTCGTTATCATTAAAAACAAGGAGGCCAGGCAGACCACTGCAATTGAAGGAAAAAACACGTGAGATTCTTACAACTCTGCTATTAAATGTTGGATAGATCCTCCTTTTTCAGAGCGTGAAAAAGTCAAATATTGCAACATTCAAAAAAAAAAAAAAAAAAGAAATAAGTTTATTGCAAAAGTGGACGGCCACATAATTCTATGGCACCTGGTGAGCTCGTCAATGTCATCTTGACTTGCCAAAGCCTCCAACTCTGCTGGGTGATCATTAGTGGATTCATTTTCAGCTAACTGTTCTGATTCGCTGAGAAGCTTCTCCAGAACTTCACCGTAGTACTTAACAGGACCACCAGATGAACTTTGAACTTGAATCATCTACAATTATTAAGATAGCAATATTAAAATTAGCCGCCAATAGAGGATCAAGCAAGGGTAAGAAAGGTATAATAATTAACCAATCACAATGAGCCTTATTTACCTGTAGTACAAAAACACTTGCATGGCAAGCAAACGGTTTGGAGTTGGTATGAAAACTTTTTTAACTTTTGAGATCCTTATTAAAAGTCGTTTTAGATATCCCAGGATAGAACCAAAATTTGTCGTAAAGATTGTTCATATAATTGCACATACATTTTGTTATAAACTTTTATGAGCTTTTTAGCTCACTAGCCACTGCGTGGGTAAATAAACGATTGACTGATTGATGGCAGTGGATCGGAGTATTAAGAGCAACCGTAAAATCTCATTCATTATGTAAACGAAGGAACTCATCCTCTTTTTTCCCGCAAAAGGAAGCTCAACACAACCTCGGCTGCTATTTCCGGTGGCAGTGATCGCTTTTCTCTTTCTTTGTCCACAATGAGCTCCTTTGCTACACCTATCTCTTCCTGCAATGAAGGTCTCCGCTTTCCTGTCGACGCAAACTGTTCCTTAACCGCACGGCATTTCTCCTTGGATCTTTCAACACTTTGTTTATAATCCCACTCTGGAGTGACAACCAAACGAGCAATTACCAACTCATCTGCAAAGGACATCCGACGACCGTTTGGAACTGAATCAGGTTCTGTGCCGCAGCAGTGCTTTATAACACGGCGCCTCTCAGATGCCTTTGTTTCAAAGTGTCTGTTCTTGCTATGCCCATCAATAATGTTCTTAGCTATCCATAAGCTATCAACAAGTGAATCCCTTCTTTCAGAAGTCTGCCTTTTTATAATCTTTCTCCGTTCCGCATTCCGGGAGTCTCGCCTCCTATCTTCCGCAATAATCTCATCTGGTGACCGCTGATTTGGAGACACCTTTGGTCGGGTGATATTTGGCTGTTTATGGGCAGCTACAGCAAAACAAATAGACAGATGTTACGATTCCGGCTTACTGGCATGAAACTGTAGGCTTAAACGAGGACTGATGAAATAAAAAATAAAATTTTAGTAATGTACCTGCAAGCCTTTTCTTCCTCGCTTTTCGTCCTTTTGGTGGAGGGAATGGGGGAGGGGTGGGTGGCACTGCGGGAACTGTGTCATATTCTGTAGGATAACTTGAGTTGACTCTAACACTCGACAAGTCATGATTGTACCATCCTGACGCAGAATCCTCCTGATTCATCCAGTGGCACAGAGTTGCATAATATTTTCTAACAGGCCTTAAACAAAGACAACAGGAAATGAACAAAGTGCAATGTACAAATATACCTCAGTGGAAGTGGCCAGCAAACAAATTTTTTTTCCAGAAAAGTCTACCAGTAAGAAGGGGACTTCCTGTCACAGGTTTACAAAGATCATGTGATCACGGACGTTGTCGAATTTTTGCCTAATTTAGTAATTACTGGCATTTTTTATTTATTTGTTTATTTATTACATATTGTACCTCCAGCTTTTTTAGCCATTGGTATCTTTTATAGTTATTAGTATCTTCATCAAGGGCAAGAAAAACTTTCGACGGAAAAGAAGGTTGAGCTGCTAAAAAATGGTTTATGGTTGTAAAATCGTCTTACCACGCAAATACGAAAAACGCAGTTGAAAGAAGCACAATCAAGACTCCACCAGCGACAAAGATGAACAGCAACGTATTATATCCTACAGAATGTTCTTGATCTTGACTTCTCTTTTCTTTGCTATCATTTACCGCTGGATCATCATGTAATCTTGTCTCTGCTGCCAGGGACAAACCACTCCATCGGACATTACCGCTGACTGGTTTTATAAACGGCTCATTCGCATTCATTTCAACAAAATGTCCACTCCCATCTGAGTCTGTTGCAGCTCCCTCTTCTCTTGAAGAGCTACTCTCTCCGCTTCCTTCCTCATCGTCTTCAAGATACCTTGAAAAAACAGATAAAGGATCAAGGACCCTAAGGCCCGATCTAGGTTTTTAATTGGGGTGAGCGGTGAAACGGGTAGCTCTACTCAGACACAAGCCGTCAATAGTATCGTAATAGGCCACTTCTGAGTTCCAAAAACTCTCACTTTCAAAATGAGGCCAAATGCAAAAACTATCTTGTGAAAATGAGTTTTACTTGCATGAGAATGAAAATCATTACCATATCAAAGGCTGAGCACTTAACCTCGTTTTGACACAGAGGCTCGGGGGAACTCGGGAATGGCCTATTTTATCTGTGGTGACGAAATGGTTTTCGGAATATAGAGGAGACTAAAGTGCATCTGGTTAAAGAATGGGTTGTACAAAAACACCCTCGCATGCATGCTCATGCTGGCAGCAGTAGGTCGTGTTTGTGTTGTTCAGTTCCACTCTGGAGTTCATAAATTTGCCGGAGACTTCGCAATGTTCAGCAATGATGATAAAAATCTTAACAGATAGCTACCCTGTAAACAGATAAGAATAAAAATGTCCATTCACCCGCTTGTTTCCAAGAACTCATCCTGACTAATCACTGAGCGATCATGTTGAAGAGAACGGCCTCCAGTTTCCACTGACTCAAAAGCCAATAATGGATAACTGTTTTGTGAGTAATGACCCACAGGTATAGAATAACCTAGAAACAGAAACATTTTTTGGTTGTTAATGAAAAAGGAAGTTCTAAAATAGCAACGCATAAATATGGCAATTTAGCCAAAATTGACTAACATTTGCATTTTTTTCAGTTTTCTGCGGGAATCAGATAGAATGCAAAAGTTTGAATCGATTTAGAGTTAGCAGTCATTTTCATCTCATTCCTTCATGCAGCCAAAAAGTATCTCGGCTACGTTTTAGTAAAAGTCGAATCACTTCGAGTTACTTTGAGAGCTTAGGTCTTGTGTGCATGAACACAGAGCCACAAGTTTTGAAGGCTACGATTTACCTCTTCGGCATCCTAAAAAAAGATTAAAAGAAGATGATCCAAGAATGGCTATCTATAGCCTGCGAGCAAGCTCTCCGGGGCACTCTGCTTTTCTGGCCCCTCTGCTAATTTGGCCCCGGAGAGCTTGCTCGCGGGCTAGATAGTATCCGTTCCTTTACTTAAAAGCTACGTCCATCCGTTACCTCAGCTTTCAAGTTTTGATGGAAGATTCGTTGAAGCGAAACTTAAAATACAAACTTACCCCGTGCGATAAGCACGATTGTCACGGCGATCAAACTAGTAAACACTTTAGCCATCCTCCTTTACGCCTATACATCGTTGGCACGCAAATAAAAATCGTATCACTTGTGAAAGAAGCTGATCAACGCAAACTTTTCCTTGTATTCTCCGGTACGTCACAATGCTTAATGACTAACATGTTAAATGGAAATTAAACGTCAGTGCTAACCAGGCTCAGATGAAAGATGATGTATGTGCAAAAAAAAAAAAGGAAGAAAACATGGTCAAATAATTCTTTTTCGGGCCGGACAAAAACACATTTTTTATATTCTCTAGAAGCGTAATAATATATTCGGAAGAGTTTAAAATGTTCGGTGATGAACATAACTGGTTGTACTGTAGTTTAATTGACAACGTTTTTTTAATAGAAACTGGACACTTGTTTAGTAAATTACGATCAGGGATCCGATTAGAGTATTAAAGTTTCAGTCATGGAAGTCTTTGCTTTTCTACAAGAAAAACGCCCCGCCCAATGTTTTGTTTTAGTGTTCAAACTTACCCACAAACCTCTTGGAGAATCGTCCTTTGCACATTTTTCTGCGCGCATATGTTATTTGGTGACGTCACACCCGCTGATCACAGAAAAAACACAAAACACTCAATTTGGGCTGTTGTATGTGGTGTTTTCTAGGATTTTTAGCATTTTAAAATCTCCACAATGACTATTTTACCGAAGAAGAAACATTCTGAGTCCAAGAAGAGTGAAACGACCTCAAATAACGAAAGCAGAACGCGAATACGAGGTAATTCGTCTTGGACTTCGTCGGCGAGCGTAACTGAGAGAGGTCGATCGAGCGAAGAGTATTCGAGTCATGAAGAACAGTATCTTGGAAATAGTTTTGAGAGTAGAGAAGCCACTGATGTAGCTTCTTGTAGTTCCAAAAGGCGACATAGAAGTCCCCCTCATCGCCACAAATACCATGAAAGGCATAGCGAGGAAACAGGTTACAACAGTTCCGATGAACATGACACTCAGACGACTGACCAACCTTTGTCTTCTGAAGAGGTACACCCCTCTCTTTATTTATACGTTTACTTGGGATTTTCGAAAGAACTGATCGCCATGTCTCATTTTCTTTCGTATTTCATTAAGGTGGAGAGGCAGTTTGAGCAAGCATTAAAGGAAAAGAAAGGTTTTATAGTCAAGAAAATGGGCCAAGATGGCGCGTGTTTATTTCGGGCTGTTGGTACGTAAACTCACAGTATATTAATCATCTCACGTCATGCTAAAAAGTTGCACCTTAAAATAATGGGTTTTTTTGTAAAATAAGTACCTTTTCCCTCCATTTGATATTTTCAAGGGCTGCTAGTATTCAACACATGGTTGAAGCTGGTACCTAGGTCATTTTTGCAACTGATTCACTATACAAAACCCTATATTTCGACCTCACATTTATTACTGAACGATGCAAACTTATATATTTAATTATTAGAGGAGACAAAGCTCGTTTCAGAATTCTCTTGCAATAAGAAGTATTTTTAGCCGTATTCTCCAAAAACATCTGTAAATCAAGTCAGTCATATCATGTAAATTGATGTACATGTGGCTCTGTCTTTTTGTAGGGCTTTGTCTGCTCTTGGTACCAAAATTTTCGCTCAGTATTAATATATCCACGGTTTTTTCCCATAACATACCAACTGGAAATGTGGGACAACTAGCCAGTGTGGCAATGTACTTTAGGTATTGTACGTGATCATGAGGAAGCGTGGGGTGAATTTCATTGACTATATTTGCTTGCATCTTGTGTGGAGTAATAAAACACTTTGTTGAACATGTGTTGGAAAACAAAACCTTTTAACTGTAATGTGATAGTGTAGTACAACTTGAAGGATGTATTGAGTCTTGCTGAAAATTTGCCTTTTAAGAGCTTTTGTCTACAAATCAAAATTGTCCAAAGCTTGTATATACACTTGTCTAGTTGAATCCCAATGCAACAGAGTTGCAACGGACTGTGAAAGTCATTGATATAGTGGGGTACATTATATGGAAATCTTATTTGTTATACTGAGCTGTTTGTTTGTGTGGCATATAATAGAATTGTTATGTTGTTGTTTCAATGAAATGAACTGTTTTGCAAGATACTTAATAAATTTTGTTTTTATTCCACATGCACACAAAAATATTAGCTTTGAATTCTTCCGTAGATTTTAAACAACCAGCACAGGCAGAAAGGATAGTGGACTGATTTCTTTTGTTTAAATTTAAAAACAAAGGAAACCTGTAATGTTTAACTTCGGTTGAATCATTGAGTTTTAACAGAAACTCATAAGGGGTTGAAAGGTGTAACTCACGTTCAATGCTCGTGAATATTCAATTTTACCATATTTGGAAACCTTAGTGACAGATATCCATTTTCAACACAATGGCTGCCGCGCGATCACCATGCAGATGTTTTAAGACGAGGTCTGCATTTCAGGCTTAAAAATGCATCATTAAAAAACAAAAAAATGGAAAGAGAAAGTTAAAAAGAATGCTCAGCTTTCTTCTTGTGGAAGAAGGGAAGCTTTTCATCAAGAAATCCTCCTTCGAGGAATTCAACCTTGTTTTCTTCACGACGGATCTCTGGTCTGTTTTGAAATGCAACCAAGGCAGTGAAGTTTTTGCTGAATTTTCAGGTACATTTTGCACTCTATAGCCAAGATAATTACGTTTTTCAAAGGGAATTTATGTATTTTTAAATGTCTCATAGACGTTTCATAAATTTTTCTCTTCGGCGCAAAAGAAAAATTACAAAATGTGCCCCGATTTGAGATGGATTTTGGGTTGAATTTTGCCATGTGCTCAGCCGATTTCACTTGCGTGAACGGATCCACGATCGAGATGGTGTTTTCCGAATTGCTTTAAAGGATTTTGAATAAAAATTTTTAACAAACGGCTTCTCTGTCTATTGTTTTGAGTTTGTTCATTCATAAACTTAGCTCAAAACATGATCGTGACTACAACATCTAAGCTGAATTTAAGTTTAACTGCTTCTCACATTCATCACACACATCACTTTTTGTGAAGATGTCAGGTTCAGGTTTTGGACTTTTTTCCTTACGCAGCTAATAAATTTTATTCCAAAATATTTTTTACTGTTTATTATAGACTTTTAAAATAAGAATTCTAAAAGCTTATTTGCATTATAAGTTTACTGTGCAGAGGGTCAACGAGGCATCGTTTTTTGAAGTGATGGAACTTCGAGAAGTTCCACTTGCGAGGACGTAAGTGGGTTTCATAATGTTTCGTTTGGCCCAGGTAGTAAGGCAACATCCAGCTCAGTGTTTCGGTAAGATTCCTGGTTTCAACCTTTCAAAGCTTTCTCGGCTTTCGGGAGTTTTTTCCTTCGTCTGTCGGCCATTTTTTTAAGCGGGCGCGGGAACATGAAGTAAAACTACGTCACGTTGTTTGCGAAGTTTGATTGGTTAGTTATATCTTCTTCTCGTTCCAAATATGGTACTTTTGAAAATGAATAATCACGAGCATCGGACAAAGCAAACATATGAGAGTTACACGTTTCAACCCCTTATGAGTTTCTGGTTTTAAGCAAAGAATCACAGGCAAATTTTTATTATTCAAACTGTTGCCTTTGACATTGCCATCTTACATTTTTGTGGATATAAAACAGTATTGTGTATGTACATGTACTTCTTTGCTACTTTATCCAAAAACAAGCCTCGCAACAAGCCACAAGTGCGGTGGTAGAAGGCCTACTACGGGTACCTCTCTATTACAGACAGATGACTGTCCAAACACAACTGGAAGTTGTGCAGCATCTAACTGTTATAACAAGTACAACCCTATAATGTCCTTATCAATGACACACGGAGAAGGCTTAACAGAGAGGAAAAAAAAGTTTTTTTATTATAGACCATTTGTTCTATGTATCAACAATGCTGTTATTGTTCAGTTGTATAGTTTTAGTCAAGAGTAGATACAGGATATTCAAAGGGGTAGACTTGTGCACATATTTCTAATGGTTCCCAAGCTAGTAATTCTCACCCTTTTCTCTCATCATGTGTTATTGTGTAGTTAGTGTAGTGCAAATTTTTCCTGTAATGAAGTGAGGTGTACTGTGGTTGAGGACAAGAGGTCATGAAATTTCTATACACCTCTGGTCTAAGGCATGATTTATCATCCCCCTCCCCTCCCCACTCTGCCTCCCTCTCCTGAGTCCACCACTAAACTGACTGAGGTAAATTTGTTTCAGCTGATCAAGTTTATGGTGACCAGGAGATGCACTCCGAGGTTAGAAGACACTGCATGGATTACATGGTATGTACAGGGCCGCTGATGTTTCTATTCAAGTTTAAGAAATCTGCGGGATTGTTGGTGCAGTATTAACTGTCAAACCCGAAACAAAGCTGCTCCTGCTCATTGCATTTGTACCTTGATTTACCATGACCACCTACATATATACCCTTGCACTCAAAATTAATACAGATGGCTGTGGTTGTCCATGTACACTGTGGCTGCTACTCTTTGGATATAATTAAGTTGTTGATTCACTGTATTACACTACTACAAGAAACTCTTTGCCAATATACCTCTGAGGGAAAAAAAACTTTATCAGTTGGGCTACAAGACAATACTGGACTCTTTCCTGTGCTTGTATTCTGATTATTGATTATTTTATCATTGTTTAAAATCCAGCTCAAGAATGCTGACTACTTCTCACAGTATGTTACTGAAGATTTTAATGGCTATATCAAGCGTAAACGGGAAATCCATTGTCATGGAAACCATATTGAGATGCAGGCTATGTGTGAGATGTACAACAGGACAATCGAAGTCTATCAGTACAGCACAGGTAAAAATAACAGCAAGTTAACTGTTCTTATGGGCTCATGTGTTTACTGAAAACAGTGTAAAAACTTATCACATAACTTATGACATGCAGGGTGGAAATATTTCAGTCTTCTGGTTGTTTGGACTAGTCCTTAAAATTCCTAAACCTGCTGAAGATCAAATGTAGAGATGCTAATTTATTTTCTGTTGTCTGTTGTACAGAACCGATCAACATCTTCCACAGTTCATACAAGACTGACTATGAACCAATTCGCCTTAGTTATAATGGTATCCACTATAATTCAGTGCTCAATCCCAATGAACCATCTGTTGGTGTAGGACTTGGCCTTTCTGGCTACAAACCATGGGTGAGTAAAGTTGTGCACTCAGTAGCTCACTCATGCTCATTAATTTATTATGCAGTACAGAGGAGATCCCATGAACAGTTGAGTGTATCTGTAGTTTGCTTAGATTCCAGTTACTTGTTCAAAGAGTAATACCTGGCTGTATTTCTGCTTGTAATCAGAGAGATTTGAAGGGAGCACAACTCTCTTCAGTGTTGTTCTGCCACTTTGTGCTTGTGTTATACCAGTATCCACAGACATTTTACTGCTGTGGGAACATATTTCAGCTTTATACAGTCGACTCTCGATAACTCAAACCTTCAAGGGAATCAAAAAAAGTTCGAGTTATCGGGAGTTCGAGTTATCAGAAGCTCAAAGAGAATAGCCGCGAGTAAGGTAAAAACAGTTTTTACTGCACAGTGAACATTTTAATCACATTTAATTGTAGAAATGTCAAGTGAAAATTAAAAGATACTTCTAGATTATAAATCAGAACGTAATGTAACAAAACATAGCCTAAGAGCATGCGTTTTACCGTTTTGAGAAGTAAAGCTGCTTCATGTTAGCCTGTGACAATCAACATCAGCCTCCATCAGTAAACTATACTCCTACAACTCGTTAATAGGAAATCCAAAATTCAATGTTTCGGACATCAGTAGATGGCTTTTTTCCCGACTTTTTAAGGGCTCAAAACATGGTTCGAGTTATTGAGGGTAACATTATATGGAAAATGACCTGATTTGAAACAAAAATTGGTTCGAGTTAGCAGGAGTTTGAGTTATCGAGGGTTCGAATTACCGAGAGTAAAATTACAGTAAATGTATGACGAAAATCCAGGGGAAATCGATTTTGGTTCGAGTTAGCGCGAGGTTCGAGTCAGCAAGGGTTCGAGTTATGGGCAGTCGACTGTATTCAAAATACTGTGTTTAAGATGTCTTCTGTTGTTTTATTGTTTTACATATTTACTTTTATTTGTTTTAATATTACTTACATTCTATATCTTGAAGAATAAAATAAGAACAGATGTGTCTGAGATGCTGATGCTAAACATTCTATGGTTTTGATGCAATATGTGTCATTTGGTGTTTCCATTTGTAGGGAACGCTGGTTAATGATGCATTCAAACAATCAGAGGACTGGCATATTGAACAGGTATTTTTGTTAGTTGCAAAATCAGAGTTCAAGCACCATCCACTCAAGATAAAAGTAAATAACTGTTGTAACAGAAAAGATAGGTCTTGGGGCCCAACCTGTCATTGGACTAAATGACTGGCTAAAGACCCTCACTGTGAAGCTTAAGCTACATTGTAAGTGAAGAGATATTAAGATCCAACATGACAATGTTCAAACATAATGTTTCTGTTTTGTCCTACTAAAATGGCAACCCAGACATGTAAGCAATTTTACGGGTATGTCCTTTCGTTAGAAGAAAGTTATTGGCAGCCCTGTCTCACCCATCCAAAGTTAAAACAACATCTTTCCTATTTGATTTACATATGTACATAACATGTTAACTGCTTGCAGCAAATGTTGGCTGATAAACTTCGTTGTACTGACTGGGAGGCCACAAATGAAGCCATGGAGGAAGCAGTTGCTCGTGAATCTTATTTGGAATGGCTTAGGGAACGTGAGAAGAGGGCCAGAGGAGCCAAAACTCTGGTAAGTTTACCATGAAAATAAAAAAGCTAAAAAGGGGCAAATTTTGACTTTTTGTACCAACTGCTTGTAAGAAAAAAAATAAGCCACACTGACAAGCTTAAACTTTTGGGAGGATAATTGCATTGTAAACATCTATGTATGCTCAATTTTCCAGCTGAAACCAGTGAATTTTAGTATTGAGTGTGGTTGAATTTTTGATTTATTATCAATTTCCTTATTTTCACATGTGGCACCTTTTTACCTCAGAGACTACTAAGTAGAGAAATTTGCGGTATGGAGTTAATACACACTGTATAATGTTGAGTGAAAGTTTATGCGATTTGTGCTCTAGCCTCGTTCCAGTCCCACTGCTACCAGTAGTACATCAACCTGTACAGAATCCAAGCGACCCAACTCCCCACACCACCGGGAACGGGATCGAGATGTACCTGAGAGTGCCCCTCCTAGTAAGTCACCTCGTCATTCACCCAGCTCTCCTCGTCATGAAAATTTTGCAAGTTCCACTTCATCAGAGGCCAAGTCATGTCCCTCTGCCAGTCAGGCCACCACAACTTGTACTGTTAGCTCCATGAAGGATACTGATTATAATTCCAAGCCAGGGTGTTCAACAGAGTCATCTAACCCTCCCTCTCCCCCTGGGGCTACAGGAGGTGCTACTGCTGAACCTAACTATTTGGATTATCTACCTCCAACTGGATATGGTAAGAACTTGGGTCCCTAGAAAATAATATTATTATGCATGCTTTGCCATTAGGTTGAAAAGTCTGGCTAACCTGTTAGTGATGCATTCCACTTCCTAATTTACGACATTACAGTTTCATTTGCAACTAAATCCTTTCATTCTTCAGTGATAACACAATGTTTATGCTAGTGTTTGAGATTATAGGTCAGAGCACACTAGGGGACAAGAGACAACAACATATCACAGGGCCGACAGTTTGCAGCAACAAATTGCTTTGTGTGTACTGGAGAATCTTGTCACCTCAACAAACCACCTAACTTCAAACTGATTTGATTTTGTACAACTTGTTGTGGTGACAAAATTCTGTGCTCACCGAGACAAATTCCCATATAAATTATCCAATTTACAGAAACTGATTTGTTGCTGTAATGGGTCAGTGCAACTTGTTGCTGCCACAAACAAATTACCACAGCAGTCCCTGGGCGCTTTGTAAATTGAGGTTCCACTGTAGTGTGGAAGTTTGTGCTGATTTAGGCCGCAGCGTCTCCTCCGATTACTTTCTGTAAACCATTGAAAATATTCCCTTAATCGCTCTAGAAAAAAAACTTTCAATATATTTCTCGTTCTTTTAAGCTTGCCCCTTCGACGGTGCAAGTTTTGGACTTCGCCAATAGACACCGAGACGAATATGTAGATAGCGAACTCGAACGTAGCGAATTTGACAAGTAGCAAAACTGTTGTAAAGTTGCAAAGCTTTTCTCCTCCTCGATCAACAGTGGTTTAGCTTCTTTCCATAATAACATGGCTGAACTTTTTCTCTTCTTAGGCTTCTCAGAATGGGAGGATGAGAGTATTTTAGCAGCTGTCTTAGCAGAATCTCAAAAGGAATATCTTGAAAAACTTAAGAAAGGTGCCGTGAAAGAAAAGTGTAGCGATGAAGATTCAAAATCCTAGCAGTTTCAACACCCAAAGATACATTATTGCCAGTATCAAATTGTAGAATCATGTTATAAAATTATACATATAATTATTGGTTTTTGGTTTGTAAGGGTTACATAGGATTTTCAATGTAGCAAAGTTTCTCAATTCAAGCTGATAAGTGCTTGTTTTATGGTAACTATAGAATTCTCTATTTCAGTTAATGTGGATTAAATTCATGTACTGTATCCTTTATTTACGTTTTTTTTACGTTATTTTGGTGTTAGAATGATTTTTGATTTACTAGTCGTAACCTATTTTATTATATTTTGGGGCATCTTGTATGACCATTCATCCCAAACATGGTTCACAGCACTTGAGAGTTGGCCTGAGTAGATTGCTGGTTCTTAATGAAGCAGTCTTTTAGAAACCGCTCACTTTTTTGTCATGATGCGTTACATTCCCTGCAGACTAACTTTACACTAATCCCCGTTTAGACTTTTCAAAATTTAGGTCAAAGTAATGTGTGATTGGTTGTTTATTGTTTAATCCGCTGCATTTGAATTTGAAACGTTATTTAACACAAGTGGCTTTTCCTTTTTGGGAAAAGTACCACAGTATTCGACGTAAGAGACATACGAGTTTCTTGGACATTTGTTAAAAAGGTATTTCTTCATTGGTTGTCATGTGATGTGTATATAAAGTAGCGTATATTGCTACAAAGAATAACTAAGAATGACAATAAAACAAAATTACTTGAACTTAACATGTTTTAAGCGATAGTTTCTGTCGTTATCACGGTTATGTATTGCAATGACGCATCCTGGACTGAAAACCCTCAGGGAATTGTGAAAGGCGGTGATTTCTCTCCCATCCGCCCCAGTCCCACTGGTCCAATTGTCTCGAGAAGTGTTGGTTGATAACACGATTGTATGAAATGTTATCAGCGATTGTTGCACAAACTATAGCGACTCTTTGAAGTCCAGGAGCACAGGATCCTAAGAATATCTTCCGTGAACCACAGCGTCACCGATAGCTGTTTCCCAGTCAATTGCTTGCTGTACTTAGTGTTCTGTATTCCAACAAGCTATAAGCAAAAGGGAGAAAAGCAAGACAATATTACTTTTGACACTGAAAAAAAAAAAATTTGCATTCCACCAGTAGCTTGCGAACAGGCTTCCAAGTGGAGCCGGGTGAAAAGCCGAGCGTGGCTTGGGGGAAGAAAAAAGGCCTTCTTCTCCCCCAGGTCACGCTTAGCTCGCTTTGCTCGCCGAATTTCTTTTTTACCCACCCATACAGGGTATCACACCTGTGGATGCTTACCACTCGATCCCAATCGTTTATCTCCAAGTCGTAGACTTGCATATAAACCCCCGCACCGGAGGCTCCATTCTCTGTGGAACATTCCTGATAAACCACCCCGTAGGCTTCTCCCTGCACCTGACACACCCGATACATAAGATGCTTTGGCTTGTCGACGTCATCAAATGCTGAAAAGTAAACGTAACTTTTCGCTTCCACAGCAACGGAAGAATTTACAGTGGCGGGAGACAAGAAAGGACGGTTATGCTTCTTAGTAAGGACCAAAAGGGCAAAGTCATCTTTTATGGACGGTCTCAACTGCAAGAAAAAAAACCAGAAAATATTGAGAAGAAATCCTGTTTATAGAGAAACGCCTTTTTATATGCACTCTTGTCTAACAATGCAAAAACTGTCAAATCTTATTATATTCTGTTTGTAGAGTTCCAATGACATGTAGTAAGTGTACCCCTTTAGTCCATCCTTTGGAAACAAATATTCGTTTGACAGAAATCCAGATGAAATCGCCAGATGATGTTAAAAAGCCAACTTGAATTCGCTTATCTGAAATGCAACAGAAATCTGTTAACAAAGCCAGCTGTTGGGGAAAAACCGGAGGGAGTCTGGAAACAAGAAGGAGAACATCCAAAGTCGAGAACGTGTTATTATCTTTTGGAAAAGGAAAGCGGGAATAGTACAAGTACTCTATCATTACTGCTGGAAGAACGCTCTCCACTAGTAAGAGCAGACAATTTATGCAAGTATTTACCGACAGTTCGCCTTGATCCTCTGTTCGTTGTCACGCAATGTGCAGCAGTGATCACGTGACGCTCAGTGACAGCCACGCCTGTGCACCTGGTACTTAGTTTAACCGCGGCTGAGAATGGAAACTTTTCCGCGGCTATTTTGCTGGGAATGTGAAAACGTTTGCTGTATGTAGAAACATCTCGTCTGACCTTACAAGGGCTTCGTGCATCGGCTGCTGAAACAAAATGAACGCAACAGTGGTTAAAAAAAAACAGTGTTAGAGGATAGGATTTGGTCATGGCTCCCAAGAAAATCATAAGTTAACAAAAGTATGAAGTATTTTAACGTTCATTAAACTTATCATCATGTTGAGGCCAAGACGTAAAAGTATAAGATGTACTTTTTCCGGGACTTTCTTCATGTTTTCCGTCGCGTAGTTTCGTTGCCAAATTAATTGCTGTTGAATCACATTTCCTTGTTCAAACGTTGCTTATCTCAGGTCATGTTTTCTTTTTAGAAATTTTATATCAAGTAACTTAAGAACATGTTTAGCGTCAAAACATTTATGAAAAATGGCGGTATGTGGGTACAGACTCAGCCCTCAAATATACCGGCTCGTTCTCTTTACTTCTGAGACGTAAAGATGAGTAAATCGAGCTCAAACTTCGGCTGGTACTGAGACCTTTTCAAACTAAATGGGCATATGATAAAACATAGACTGGACTGGGTTGGTAAAACATGGATTGGATTAATAGAACATGGCATCCTTCAGATTTCCTGTACTAAATGGATGTACCAAATGTGTGAAAGTCTTATTGAATTTTTGCAGAGAATCTGTTAGGGAGGCGAGAGAAAATCATTTCTCGGTAGAACTAGGAATCCTCGACTAAAACGCGATCTTGATTTTGAGAAACGTCAAATAGAATGTCAGAAATTGGACCTTTTCCATACAAACACATACCATTATCACCAGACTCCAGTAAACGAGAGCCATACCTCAGCTTAGACCAAAATCGATTCCCACCCTTAACCTATTCGGAATACCGAGAGACTAAGAACCCACTCTTTATTTCTGTACCACTGAAGATCAAAACGCAAACAGCAGTCAGTGAATAATAAAAAAATGTTCAACAGCTCAGTGATTGACCTCTATGCATTTAAAGAGTTTACTTAAAGATCTTCTTTATTTATATATTTATTCGTTCTGTCTGAGCTCTGCGATCCCCAGAAAACCTAGGAACAGAGAATGAACAAGTTCCAAGTCTAGATTACACAGATTCCTTACCTATCAATTCATCAGCTTGAACTTGAATGATTCCACATATTCTGGTCGCAAAAATATACATACTTAGTACGCTCAAAATTGCGGCCGTCATTTGTGACAAAAGTGTGGTTTGATCTTTGTTTGATCGGTTTAACTTTTTCTTTGCGTCGAAGATTAGTTAAAGAGCGATGCGTGAGAAAAATGCCCTGCAATCAAATAGAAGTTCTTGGACGATCCCCGCGTGAAAGGTCTCGTTTTTCAAACCACGAACAAGCGCTTTATGTAATTGAATAGAAATCGTATCTTTTTTGTGGTAGGATATATGCGAATTAGGTGTCATCACAGGCTCGTTTAATCGTTTCCGATGGATGCCGACAGTCAAACTCTCAGGGAGCTGAGGGTGTTTAAGTAAAACGCGTTTTTTTCCTTGGAGAGTAACAAGGGACTATGATTGCTTGCTACAAGCTAAAAAGTGGACAAAACAGAACTATCTGAATTGAAATTTAATTCATCCGTTATTTAAATTTGTAAAATACAAACTCATTTTTCCTGGGTGAAATCTTCTTGCCCTCTCCTTCCCCTTGAATAGTTGTCGCATTGCTGACACGCGATAGTTTTGGCGCATATTGACATTATAATCTACAAAAAGAAAAGTACTAAATAAGATTAAAACACCCATATCATCCCTCCTCAGTTAGTTGATATTCCACTTCTATTTCGAGTCTTCAATTGAGAATTTTCCCTCTGATGTTTTTGCCGCCCTTATTTATGGTTGTTTCGCATCCTTGATATCTCAACCTCATCAAGGTTTCGAAGCTAGGATTTCTCTTAACGATTTAATTGTATTTTTTGAAATACTCAGCTAAATTTATTACTGAGAGAATCAGGCCATTGGTCACTTCGTTTCACCGAAGAGTACGTACACGCAAAGGTAAAAGACACATCATGCGCGAAAGAGTACTGTTCATTTGTGCCCTCCTCTCTTAAATACAGGTCAATACAATATGAAGAGTTAGAATTTTTAAGTCCTTAGACATACTGTAATGGTTAATCTACAATGGGATTGTTGTTGCATCTATAAACTCATCTTTACGATCTGTGTACCGATAATTGCAAGTTCTCCTCACATTTTCTCGCAATAGCTGAGGTTGATTTCTGCTGCTGCATACATGCTTGAGATAAACAAACATGCACAAAGGATGTAACTTTAAGTAAGCATGACCAATCATAAATGATGTGATGTTGGTATTTTATCAATTTTCGACGTGGTATTTGGGTGTTTGTCACAAATGTTTCTTACGATATTGCTGTATTGGATACCCACCCCAATGTCCCACTCTTCAGTCTGTTTTCATATTGCTATGATGTTAAAAAACTATATAGCAGAGTTTTAGATATATATTTTTTTTTTCACGAAGGACTGCAAAGGACCGCAAACGAATCTGCCGAGCAACGTAGAATCTATAAAGACCTGATCAGCAAAAGTAATAATCCATATTAAACTCTGCAAGCAGAATACTGCAATGCTGATCGTAGTACGATCGGCATTGCAGTTTTCTGCTTGCAGAATTTAATGTCTACATTTACATGGTGTTGAATTACATGGTATGAAAATAAAAGATGTGATTAAGTTAATATGTTAAACTAGTGGACACTCTTCGGATAAATTCTGGGTAAGATGCCTAACTAACAACATCCGATGATAACGTAGTCTGCTACACAGCCGTTTTCAGTGTCGTCACGCAACGCTAACGGCTATGTAGCAGACTAATGATAACGCGTTCCACGCAGGGATTGATCTCATATAGAAAGAGTGTTTGTAAGCGTCGACTGAAGAGGATGGTAGCTTGATGTTAAAGTCGTGACTCGCCCTTGTACGGCCATAAGCAGGCACGGAGGTAAGGTCGTAGGGAAGGGAGATGTTGACTTGACCTCTATGAATCTTATAAAACATGCCGAGATTGCATATCCTGCGCCTTAACTGCAGTACCCTGCGAGCAGAGGCCCTTCGATTTTCCTAGATAAGTCGGGAAGAGGAAGATCGAAGGGCCTCTGCTGGTAGGGTATGACTCAGTACAGCGTAGGCCAGTGCAAATCAGTAAGCATAGATCAAACGCTACTATAGCGGCTGTAATCGCTGTTGACAAAACGTGCTGCGCGGTGTTGAACAGGATTCGACACAGTCAATCCCTTTATTTGTATTAGGGGCACCCAACGACAATTTTCGGAAAAATATCTGTTCGGAAGACGATTTGAGATCTAGAATTTTCGGAACATTTGTTGTAAAATTTCTTGCTTGCCTGCCTCTCCTAGGATTTTCGAACATCTTAAAAATGGTATAATTGCGTATTTTTAACGGATTTTTACCCTAAAAAGGTCACCTAGAATTTTCGGGAGCCTTTTTTCAGGTTGAAATTTTCGAAAAGGTAAGTTTTGATCCCTATACTTCAAATCACTAGACTTTCAGCTAGGAAATCCGAACAGATGAAAAATTTTTAGGGGATAAAAATATGCCTTTATCTACCGTTTAAATACTAAAATACGTTTAACAATGCTATGTTTAAGTGCTTTTGAACTATATTCTCGTTGGGTGCCCCTGTTGTATGCGGAGACCAAGCAACCGTTAGTATGCGCGTGCCTTAACCGATCGATCGCACGCGGAGAGATTCCTTTCAGAAGGATCCTCAAAACTCTCAAGTACTCGTCATTGTAAGAAGTAATAATTATATTTACTATTTATCTAACCCATAACTCGCGAAAGTTCATGAACAAGTAATAAACATGAAAATGTTTATTTTCCTGACTCTATTGAGCGCTCTTTACGAGTCCTCGAGAAACGTGAAACGAGCACTGCGAAAGCCCGCGCGCGAGAGGCACGCGCCAATCGAGAGACTGGGTCCTAAACGAAACTAATATGGCGACGGATTATTGAGGACAGAACACGTGTGTAGTAAATGGGATCAAAAGTAAGTTAATTACACTTCTGAAACTTGGATTTTAGCTTCAGCAGTTCTTTTACCTACTCGTCAACACTTGGCTTTATTTATGATCTAAAAATTCTCGAACTTGGCATGGCAGAAGTCGTGAAAAATCTGGCACGGGTCTTGTGAGGTAAGCTTGCATGTATGTGTAGTTATATTGTAGCTAACCTGCGATTAGGCGGTCCTTCTTCCCTTTTGTAACAAAAAAAGCCTGTTCGCAGGTTATATTGTGGCTTAAGGTAAGCCTAAGCTTAAATTTAATACTATTTCGCAGAAAATGATGGTCTCATAAGCAAGTAATATTGGTGATGGTAATTGAAGGATTAAGCTTATGACCTAAATCATCAAGTAAATCTAGGAGATCTGGTACAAATTAAGGTGAAACATAACATTTGGCAGGTACAGTCACAGGTCACAGGTCACAAGTACAGGTCATTGTTTTGTTGATAAATAACTGAAATAAGCTAAAACTCTATTTCGGGTTTTGATTCCTCATATATAGAAAATTTGGTAATCACGAGAGCGTACACTGAATGAATGACCGAATGTCTGTCCGCACCACAGGAATACCAATGTTCAATCTCACACTTTCTAGCTAGTTTAATTTGGGAGCACAGGAAAACTGATATTGCACATATATTGCACATCAATGTTGTGATCAATTGACAGCTGTCAAAACAGGGTATCCACCGACCGGTATCACCTGACTGTATCGCGGGCTCAGGTGTCGACACGTCGAGGTTGAGTATTTTTTTAAAGTTAAAGTTATCTGCTGACAAGTTACTAGTTTTCAAATGATCTCAGGTTTAGTTTTGTTTAAAATTCATATGAAATGTTATGTTTATGTGCTGCACAATAATATTAAAAGTTTGATTTTAAACTTACCTCGGATGCGAAAATTCAACCGGCTATTACAGGCAGGGAAGACAGTTAGTTGCCTTTGACTTTTCTCACCTTAGTCATGCGTTGGTCACGCTCTACGTCCAATTTTTATGCTCTGATTGGTCAAAATTTGACAGGTGAGTTCATGTGGAAAATTTATGCAGCATCTTGAAACTTGTTTACTTTGACAGCTGAAGATGACAGAGTTTTGTGTCAACTTGTAATGTTTTATACTGTCTTTTCTGCTGGAAGTACATCTGTTATCAAGAGTCTTTGTTATTTATGGCTAGTTTGTTTATTGGGTTTTTGGTTGGGAAATATGCTTGTCAAAGTCGGAAATCCGATTTCGGATGGCGTCATTTTTGTTTTTGGCCTTGCTTGATGCGTAAGAGGATTTAAAAGCCTGAAGCGATTCTGTCCTTACTTGATAGCTTTATACCTGCCAACGTTTTCTGAGATATAAGCGTGAGATTTTTATCCTGGGAGTGCTGGGATTTTTGAAGACGACACGATCATTTCCGAAGATTCCCGAAGAATTCCGAAGTCTTCCGAAGATGTCCGAAGTCTGCCGAAGGATAAGTTTTCACTTGCCTTTCACTTCAAAAATCAGAGATCGCGAGGAAGGTATTGTCATTTATTCATTTCACACATGGTTTTCGTTCCTTACGTGGGTTTGAGTTAACATATTTTTGGAAATTGTGTCAAGCAAGACGGCAACAACTCACATTTGTCAATCAGGCGTGAGAAATTGGCCCGCTAGCGTGAGCCGGCGTGAGATCGAAGTTTTCAACCTGCAGGCGTGAGACTCACGCCTAAGGCATGAGAGTTGGCAGGTATATAGCTTTCAGGAGCTACATCTCAAATGGTAAGCCTGAATGATTATTGTATTCGATGTTTGCTTTTTATATCTTATTTAATGAAGTCGAGCATAGTTTATGCAGCTATTTAGTTTATGCACGGTGATCAAGAGCCATCTTGGCTCTTGAATGTGATTGAAGATGATTGCTATTTTTTGGGTGTACATATAAGGCTATCAACTCAATGTAAGATTTGGTTCACTCTTGGACTGTTTGCAAATTATTTTTTTCTAAAATGACTTAGCCTTTCCCTCAAAAGTCGCATGAATGTGCTCTAAAGTTTACTGATTTTTGGAATACAAGTTTATTGATTGATTTTAATTACAAATTTATTAATGCGAGCTTCGCTTTTAGCCCTGGCTAAATCTATATATTATTTATGTTGTTGACCTTTGTATCAGTTGTTAAATTAACCTAGCGAGGCAGAAACACAAGTTTGCTTTGGAAGGTACATACACATGTAGTGGCAGTAACGTCATTGATTGTAATGTCGATTTTCACTGGGTGCAGTGAAAGGCTGATATGTTTACTTCCTATGTGAAAAAATGTTTAAGACGGAATCCATCAGGAAATTGAGTAATTTTAATTTTCAGTGGACAAAAACCTTGTACCAGAATAATTTAAACAATATCGCATTCTTTTTTACTTTAAGAGCTACACTGTATAAATGTAATTAGTTACCTGTAATAACACCAAAGAAAATTTTTTATTAGGGCTCAAGAAAATAAATGTCAAATTTCACAAAAAGACACCTTACACATGAAATTTTCAGAATTTTACCTGTATTTTCACAATTCTTGTGAAATTTGACATTTGTTTTCTCAGGCTCCCATGATAAATAGTCTTTGGTGTTATTACAGGTAATTAATTATATCTTCAGCCCTTGAAAAATGTAAAAAACAATGCGATATTGTTTAAATTATTCTGGTACAAGGTTTTTGTCCACTGAAAATTGAAATTACTCAATTTCCAGATGGATTCCGTCTTAAAATGTTTACAGCTGGTTAATCGCGACCAATTATCCTCATGCAAATGCAGGAAACTGCAACTCTAAAAGGCCGATAATAAGAGACTTTGCGACAGTTTATGAGACACTTATTGGCTGTTGGCCTTAACATATTCTTCAAGTGCGATGAAAAGAGTTAAAGTAGGGCTTTTACCGTCAAAACCCTGCTTAGTTTCTTTGTATATAATCATGTTTGAATCCTTGATAAATACAGCTACACCAGCTTCAGACAGCATTTACTGTCAGAATTTTGTGGGCCAAATGCTTTAAATATAATAATTTTTCTTGCCTAATTAATTTGGTATCGTGGCACAGGAGACAAGGAGATGACTATACATTTAGGTGGACTTGTTTTTTTTTAACTACAATTTTTGTACGTATTGGCTTGTTTCCGTTCATTCATACTGCTGCCCTTTTACAGCCTCACAAGGTGTTGCAAGGTGACCTGTACTCTAGCTTGCACTTGTGATCTGACCTGTGACCTGTGTTTTGTACCTGCCTCACCCACAAGGCCTCTGTCATTGTCTGCTTACCACAGCTTTCCCTAGATTGCAGGTTCGTTTTGCAGAAAAGAGAGTTGTTTGGGGTTTGGCAGTTGTTTGGCACTTTGCAAAATACGCCTGCTGCACTTACATGTTAGAAAAATAGGAGCTCTTGCCTCGAGGAACTGCATTACCAAAATGTAGCCCGTAAACATGCCTTTGGTTGAGCGGGGAACTCGAAAAACAGGCCTTTGGTGGAGTGGGGAACTCGACCGGGGAAGGCCTTTAGTCGAGCAGGGAACTAGGGAGAGAGAAAAGTGAAAAGGCCTGTAGCCCAGGGGCCCCACTCACATATTTTAATGACAGGGGGGGGGGGGGGGGGTCCGAAGGTTTTTTTGGGGTCTGACATTTTGGCCAAAAGGGATTTTTTTGGGTCTATGAAAGACGCCAGGATTTTTTTGGGTCGCAAAAACAACACAGGGATTTTTTTGGGTATTGTATTTTTCATCAGCTCAAATCAACAATAACATAAGCGCAATTTATAGTTTTGTTTCTGACCAAAACCAAAGTTGAAGTTGGCATGTTTTAGCTTTCCAGAAGATAAATAATAAAATTTGCTGATGCAAAAACACTGAGGGATTTTGTTGGGTATGCTAAAAAAAGTAGGGAATTTTTTGGGTAGACAAATTCTGAAGTTGGGATTTTTTTGGGTATAAAATAATTATGAACCTCTGTCGGACCCCCCGTCATTAAAATATGTGAGTGGGGCCCCTGGGGCCTGTAGACAAACATTTAGGACCGCTGTTCCACGGCACTTGCTGTGCATCAGATCCTAATGCAAGTTCTTATTGGCAAGAACACTGACTGTTGACAGGTCTGATTGACATCGGCTTTTCGG